AAAAATTTATTAAGGCTTATTCTGTGGGGGCATTGGTTAAGCATCTGCCTTCAGCTCATGTCATGATCTCAGGGTTCTAGGGACCAATCCCCACATCGGGCTCCCTGCTTTTCCCTCTCCCTCCGCTGCTCCCCCTGCTTGTACTCTCTCTGTCAAATGAATACGTAAAATTTTAATTAAAAAAAAAAAAACAACTCATTTTGTGGTGTAACATATGGTCTGTTCAGGAGAATGTTCTATGTGTACTTGAGAAAACTACATATTCTGTGGCTGTTGGGTGGAGTATTGTGCGTGTTTTTAGGTCCAGTTGATCGGCCATGCTGCTCAAATTCTCCATTTCGTGATCATCTTTCTGGTTCCATCCATGGTTGAAAGTGGGTGGGGGGGTTGGGAGGACTGAAGGTCTCAATGTGGAACTATTTTTTTTTTTTTTAAGATTTTATTTGAGAGCGAGAACATGATTGAGGGAGAGAGACAGGGGAAGCAGGCTCCCCACCGAGCAGAGAGCCCGATACGGGGCTCCATCCCAGGACCCTGAGATCATGACTTGAACCAAAGGCAGAGGCTTAACCGACTGTGCCCCCCCCAGGTGCCCTCAGTGGAAAACTCTTTTTCCCCCTTCGATTCTGTCCCTCTTTGCTTCTGATACTGAGAAGCTCGGATACCTGATGCATTTATACTTAAAATTATTGTTCTTGGAGAATTGACCCCTTTATTGTCACATAATGTCCTTTCCTGTCCCTTGTAACAGTTTTTTTTTTTTTTTTTTTCCCTTAAATCTGATTTTTCTGATATCGGCACAGCTCCCCCTGCTCTCTCCTGGTTACTCTTTGTAGAGAAGATCTCTTTCCATCCTTCGGCTTTCAACCTGTGTGTGTCCTCAGATCAAAAGCCCGTCTTCCGCAGTCGGCATGAAGTCAATTACTGGACTTTTCACCTCCAGAATTTGGTTATTACAGTTTCTCTTTGTTCAAATTCTCCTGCTCGAAAGTGGTTTTCTTCACGGCATTTAGTCGTCTGCCTGCCTTCTCCTTCAGGTGATTGAGGGTATTTTGGAGGGTGGTTTTAAAGTGTCTGCCATGAAAGTCCGAGAGGCCTCTGTACCCTGGTTGTTGGTTTCTGGAGGTTTTCTGTACTCCTTTGAATGGGCCCTCCTTCCTGGTTGCTTTGTATGTCTGGTCATCTTTGATTGAAAACTGGGCATTTAAAAAAACCCGCCACCTCTCCTAGTCTTTGCAGACTGTCCCTGCCCAGGGGAAGATCTTCACGGATCAGCCCGGGGGAAAGGCACAGGGTTCTTGCTAACGGCTGTCTCTCCCCTGAGCCTGTGTGTATGCTTTAATTCCACACCCCCAGAACACCCAGTTGCTTTTATATATCTTAATTTCCCTCGGAACCTCACCCCTGCTTCTTATGGGTTTGGATACAGCACTGCATTCCTCTAGCCGTCATCTCGCCCCTAGCCCCCTGGGGGTCTGCAGACTCCTTGAAGACCCCTCTGGCGCGGATGGGTACCCATAACTGCTTTCAGCAACTTCCATCCCGGCATCCAGACTCTGCCACCATTCTCACCAGCACCCCGAGCCCTCTGGCAGCCCCCAGGTGCATCCGAACATCGAAAGCCAAGTTCCCCACTTTTCCTTCCACCCCGAGGACGGAGTCCGGGATGGGCTGGCTGGCTTGAAACCGTACTGGAACAGGCAAGCAGAGCCCATCCCAGTGGTCTCTTGTGCTCAGCCTTTTCCTGGTTGGGCGCCCATTTGGAGGCTGCTGCTGCTTTTTGAGTTGTCACAGAGTACTGTAGTCCATTTTATTATACATTTGGTATTTCCAAGAAGGAGCGAGGGTCTGGGCTTCTAGGCCTGCCCTCCTCTGGATTTTGATCGAGATATTTCCAACGCATTATTAGCTAGCTCGCTGGAAGCCTTCTGCATGATCTCCCTTTGTCAGTATGTCCCTCGGATCCCACAGATTGTTGGATTTGGCTTATTGCTGTATCCGTGACCTCCATACCCGAGGGCACCGTTGGGCTTCTTCCTTTATTGTTATTGTGGGATGTTCATATCATCCTACTTCATCAAAATGCGAAGAGAAAGGTTTTCTTTTTCTCTTCTGGAACAGGGATGGTCAATGATTATGACTTGCCTGTTGCAATCTGGCCCTGCTGTGTCACAGTTACAACTTCTTGTTTTGAAATAATGATAGATTTGCAGAAAGTTCAACGGTAGGAAGTACAGAGCGGGCCTGTGTGTATCTCAGTTCCTCCCCATGGTCACATCTTCCATTATTATTAGTAGCATATCAAAACCCAGAAACGGACGTTGGTAGAAATGCATCTATGTCGTTCTGACATCTCATCCCAGGCGTGGACTCGTGTTACTACTTCTACCATCAGAAGCCGGAATTGTTTCTGCCAGCACACACATCTCCCTTGTGCCACCACAGGGCGGTGGCCATGACCGCTCCTTCCCCCACCACCCTGACCCCCAGCAGCCACTAACTTACTCTCCATCTTTACAACCGGTCATTTTCAGCATGTTATAAAAACAAAATCTGATAACACGTGACCTTCTGAGTCTGGCTTTCTTTTGATTCAGTGTCAGGTTCTCAAGACTCATCTGAGTTGTTGCCTGTATCAGGAGTGTGTTCCTTTCTGGGGCGCCTGGGTGGCTCAGTCGTTGGGCATCTGCCTTTGGCTCCGGTCACGATCTCCGGGTCCTGGGATCGAGCCCCACATCGGGCTCCCTGCTCCACGAGGAGCCTCCTTCTCCCTCTCTCTCTCTCTGCCTGCTTGTGCGTGCTCTCTGTCAAACTTTAAAAAAAAAAAAAAAAAAAAGGATGCTCCTTTTCATTGCTGAGCAGGATCCCAGGGAAGAGGGATGTACGAAAAGTAGGCTCTTCTGGTTAAGTTCTGGGCTATTAAAATACGGTGTTCGAATACTCACATACAGGCTTTTGCCCGAAGCATGTTTCTTAATTTCTCTGGGGCGAAGGTCTAGGAATGCAGTTGCTGGAACAGGCGGTCAGCACATGCTTAGCCTTTTTCCAGAGTGACTGGACCGTTTCCCATTCTCCTAGCAGCAATACACACAAGAACCAGCTTCTCCATGTTTTTGCCAGTATTTGGTGCTATTTTTTTTTTAAAACTGTCCTAGTCGGTATGTAGTGGTCTCATGTCCCTAAGGGCTGGAACTGTTCATTTTTTGTGTGTGCCACTCTTATGTCCTCTTAGGTGAAACGTCTCCAGGGGTTTTGCCCATTTTCCATTTTGTTTTTTGGTTTCTTAACTGTTACATTTGAGTTTACATATAAGATAGGAGTCTTGTGTCAGATATATGCCTTGTATTTTGTCTTTCCACAGTCTTAAAGACGGTCTTTCACAGAACAGAGTAATTTTAACCTTGATGAAATCTATTTTTTGGTGTCCTCTTCCCTCAGCTTTCCCTGATGATTTTGAGAGAACATTTTAGCCTATAGGTTCAGCTGACTGAAGGGCTAGGAGACTCTGGAGGTTAAACATTCTTTATCCAACCACCGTATTTTAACCTACGTCCGGAAATGGATCAGCGAAGTTGGCGAGTGGCTTTTCAAAATCGCTGCTGATCTGTAGTTTCGACTTCTTGTTCGTTCCATTAATTTCTCCCTCCTGCTTCCCCTGGTTCACAGGGAGGACCGGCCAACACTTTCCCTAATGGACATAGATACTTGTGACTTCACAGTCGTTGCCAGTACTCTGCTGTTGCAACACGGAGGCAGCCACGGATGGTGCAGGAGTGTCCATCAGCGGGGAGGACATTTGCAGATAACTCGGGTCAGAGTTGAGCTGGGTTTCAAATCTAAGGAGGCAGTTGTCCTCTTAGTCCTTTAAAGGTGTACATTCTACCATGTTTGGTCCTTGCTGGTGGGACGCTGGTCGTCTACTTGTTCCTTCAAAGACCCACGCTGATGTGTCTTAATAAGGGGTGGGATGGACAGTATCTGGGACACCTTGTGCTTCTGGAATCCAGGGAGTTCCAGCTCTCAAACCTCTTTATTTTCTCCTCCTGAACTTTCTGTGAGACTCTTTTATATTTTCTTGTTCATTAATTTTTTCTTTGCTCAAATCTGGTTTTTTTTTTTTTTTAAGTATTTATTTTTAGAAAGAGGGCGTGTGAGCTGATGGGAGGGAGAGAGAGAATGTTAAGCAGGCTCCACGCTTAGTGCAGAGCCAGACCTGGGGCCTGACCCCATGACCCTGAGATCATGACCAGAGCTAAAATCAGGAGTCAGACACTTAACAGATTTGGGGTGCCTGGGTGGCTCAGAGGGTTAAGTTTTAAATTTCAGTTAACATATGTATTTAAGAGTTTCAAAATCTAGCATCTGAAGGTCTTATGGCATGGGTAAGAGTCGTTGTCTGACCAGACTCTACTTGGGCTCTGTGGAAATTTCAGTGAGGCCTTCTTTGGGGGTTCTGTCTCTCCCTGGGCCAGGTCTAACAAGCATTCTGCTAGGTCATTTAAGCCAGGATGACAGGTCCCCTTGCCATCCGACAGGGTTCCTCCGATCAGCCGGGGCTGCCTCTAGCAAGTTCCTGGCAGGGTGGGTTCGCAGAACTTCGCCGTCCCCGATGGTTCCTCTTGGTAATTTTGCATCCACAGACCACCCCCACCCGGGCCCTGCTCCTTGACTCTCAGTCCCCACTTTTCCCTGTTGTAACCAGAGCCTGATCTCTCTCTCCTCTATGGTCGGACCCCCTTGCAGTGGTTCCTGTCCCTCTCCAACAGTCCCCCTGAATACAGCCTGCCTGACGCTTCTTTTCCGAGCGTCATGAATAATGTCTCCTTTACCAGGGGCCCTACTCCTGCTCTGCGGTGCACGTGCTGACTTCCATCCCTGAGCCATGGGGCTTTAGCTGTGGGAATCGGAATCTTGCCCAGCGGCTGCCGCAGGGCTTTCCAGACTTCGGAGAGACTGAACATTCAAACCCCTGAGTGGCAGATCTGTGGTTTGTGGTTCAGGGAGGTGAGTTTATTGTTGTCTATGCTACTGTCTCCTCTGTCAGCTCTCGGGACTCACTGGACTTGGCTTGGGCAGGGCAGTCTTGGGGCATCTCCTTCTCAGTAAGTGCTCCTTTGCACAACACTTTGTCTTAACTCTCAGCTCCTGCCGGGCGGACAGGCACTCCGTTGTCATGCCGTGAACTAAGAGACAGTAACTAGTTTCCCTCCACGGAGGGCTGGGGCGGCTTACCGCACTGTGGAGGAGGGTCCAGGGGCACGAAGGCCCGGGCACACAAGTGGACGTAGGCAGCCGCCAGGTTACAGGCCAGGTGGAGCTCCTGAGGGCCACAGGCGTCCTGGACGCACAGGCTCAGGAATGGCCCGGGGTCCACCTGAAATCCAGCACCCAGAGTCACGGTCCTTGCCCACTGCACCCTTGGGAGTAGCGCAGGGGAGGGGTGAAGGCAAGATCGGGGCCACTTTTGGTCTCCTGGTCTACCTGCTGCATGGTTTCTGCTGGGGTCCAGACCCAGCCTGACACTCACCACCCTGAAGCAGTTCCCCAGGCAGGAACGGGGGTCCTGGAAGAAGGCCCAGCAGGTGGGGCTCCGGCCGGGGCATTCCTCAGTTTTTTCCACGGCCTTGCAGTCGCCACCCACCTGGAGAGGCAAAGCCCAGACTCAGGCCTCCCGCCTGGACCTCCATCTTCTTGGGCAGCTAGAGCAGGTGCATTAGTCTTCGGAGGCAATGACTACCCCCCTCGGCCTGGGACATTGTCTCCAGAGTATGCCTGCCCCCAGCCACTTTCTACCCTCAGTGCCCCCAGGATGGACAAGCCTGCAGGGGGAGGGGCCGGTGCACCAGCTCACCTGCCAGGCCAGGGCGAGCTCCTCCAGGCTGTGGGCCACTGTGCCATCCGGCAGTGTCTGCTCATTGGCTGCCTCGTTGTCATTGGTGCCCAGAAGGCCAGCAGACACCCCTGTGGGGCAAGGGGGCCATGGGAGGAGTCTGTCCTGTCCCAGGTTCCAGGGTTGCCCCAGCTCTCCACCCCTGATGCCCCCACCACCACCGGGGCTCTGACTCTCCCTCAGAGGGAGAGGAGAAAAGAGAGAAAGGCAAGGAAGGGAGGAAAGTGTCTGTGCCCCATCTGGACCTTCCTTCTGCCCGCCATCTTCATCCCGAGTGGCCTGGGCCCGCAGGAAAGCTAACTAGATTGAGGGAGCAAGCGGGAACTGCCCTCAACCCGGAGGGGAACGTTCCCGAAAAGGGGCGGAACATGGGGCCAGGGAGCACTGGGCTCCTTTCCTGGCCGTGGGAACGGGGGCCAGTACACTGACCTCAGTCAGGTCACCCCTACTACAGCCCACAGCCGGGAGGAGAGGAGGGGGCACTTGTGGGATTAGAGAGGCAGGGTCAAGGCCCGTGGGCACAGAGCCGAACAGTTATCTGTCCTTCTGCAGTGGGGACGGTGCCCGCACTGGCATGATCCAGCAGGGAGAGATGCTCTGGGAACCCCTTCCCATCTGAGTCCTTCAGACTTCTTCTCCCGCCTACTTAGGTCATAAGCCCTAAGGAGCAGCCGCAGGGAGTCCGTGGGTGTCCTACTCACCACCCCTCAAGAGCACCCCTCGCCAGGGCTCTGCTGGCCTCAGCCCTGGAAGCTGACTGTGGCCTCAGCACGGCCAGCAGCACCGGCTCGGAGGCTGCCCCCCCCAGGGCCCAGACCCACCGTGGAGCCAGAGACCCAGAGTCAGGCTGCAGAGGCCAGCTCGGACGTCACAGGCGACAGAGACGCCGTCCTCACTGCTCAGCTCAATCCGGGGGACGTCCGTCCTTGTCTTGGCAGGTGGAGGATCCACGTGTGGACAGCTCTGTGTCGGCCGGGAGGAGTCGTGGAGCCTGTAGGTCTGGGGGCCGGACGGGGCAGAGCGGACAGATGGTGGGCGATGTGGGGCGCCAGGGGGAAGGGTCAGGGGCCCAGGACACAGGTGTGTGGATGGGACGGCAGGCAGGAACGTGTTGTTGGCCTGGGCCACCTGCCCCTCACACTCTCGTGTGCTCACCTGCAGGCTCGGGTAGACGACCAGGGTGGTGCGGTTCAACTCCACAGACAAGGACAGGAGCCCCGAGGGGGCCCGGTTCAGCGTCAGCGAGAACGTGTCATGGGCAAAGTCCTTGGCCAGCAGCAGACGGCCACAGCGCACACCCAGGCTCCACACCTGGCCATCGAAGGTCACCACGTGCCTGGCTCCGGCCACCACAGCGTGGTCTGGGAAGAAGCAAGCCCAGGACAGGTAAGACGGGTCAGCTCTGCCTGCTGGCCTGGGGGCCCTGCACCCAGGGGAACCCCAGGGTGTCCGGGGCCGCTCAGGCCAGTGTCCTCTTAGACGCCCCCCTGGGGAGAAGGGGCATCTATCCCCAGTTCTCCCCCCCCCACCCACCCCGCAGCCCAGCACCCCGAGCTGAGCCAGCTCCAGCCATGTCAACAGTAAAAAGAAAAAAGGGACTGATACATGATTTCATTTATTCAGAACAGACAAATCCATGGAGCCCAAGGTGATGGCTAAGGAACCGAGGATGCTTGTGAGGTAATGAAAATGCTCTACAACTTATGGGGGGAGGAGGGGGTGTGTATCTCTGTGAATATACCCAAGCCACCGAACTATATGCTTGAAATAAATGGCGTTGTATGTGAATTATGTGTCAGTGAAGCAGTTGAAAAACAACCACTGTAAAAAAAAAAAAGTGCATAAAACTATGGCCAAAGACTCCATCCAGTGTAAGGAAGGTTCCAATGTAAGGGGGCCTAGCTCTGCCCTCTTTAAGGTGGGCAGAAGATGGTCTGGCAAGGGGACAGCGTGACCCACCGGGCCAGTTCCCCTGCTGAGCAGTGACGTGGGGTGGCATCTGGATGGGTGGAGCTGGGGACTTGGGGGATGCATTAGTGGACACAGTCCCAGGCCAGCGAGCTGCAGGCCCGCCCAGCTGCACAAAGAGGGTCCTTGAACACCCCTTCACCAGCCATCAGAGCTGACGGTGACATGTGTAAGGAACCCCAAGACCAGCTGGTCTGAGCTCACTGTGCTGCCTAACAGAGACTGTGGCCCCTGACTCTAAGACGGGGTCTGCGTGCCTCGAGCCTCAGCATTCCCACATGGACACTGAGGAGAACCATACTGACCCCCCAGCCCTACCAGTCCCTGAGGGCCACGCCTGCCCATGGACTTGAGACCTCCCCCAGCATCAAGGAGCTCGGCTCACAAACCACACGTGTCTGTGACCCAGAGGGGTGAGCGGTGTTGCCACCTCCCCTGGACAAAGGGGAAACCAAGGCCCAGAGAGAGGGGAAGACGCGCCCAGGCCACACTCGGGCACGAGCTGGATGCAAACTCCCTCAGGGCCCCAAGCCCCTGGAGCCACATCCGGTCCGGGCCCAGCCCGTGGCAGCAGGCCCTGCCTGACCCGGAGTCTGGACTCAATTAGCCGCCTTCCAGCTCCAACTGGAGGTCTGCCTTTGTGGCTCCAGCTCTGTCCATGGGGAGGGAGCTGGCCTCGAGCCCTAAGCTGCTTGGCCCACTTTGGGCTTGGGCCTCCGGCTTTCCTACTCTGGCCGGAAGCCCAGAGCTGCAGCCCAGCCCTCATCCAGGATGACCTTGGGCAGGCCAGGGAGCTCTGGGCCCTGTGGTACTGGGCTCAGGCTCCAGAGGCCACCCAGGACCAGCCCCCCATCTCTCTGCCTGCCCCTGCCACATCCCGCTGCCATGCGGCCCAGGGCTTCCCCGGGGAGGAGGGGGCCCGAGACTCACATTCGTGGGGGCTCTCCAGCCAGCGGCGCCGGAGCCCATAGTACTCAGCCAGCACGTTGGTCCTGGACAGCGCTCGGAGCGGCCGCAGCAGCTTCTCCACCACGTAGCTGGTCACCCGGGCCACGGCCAGGGGCTCGTCCACCGCGGGCAGCAGCGGCAGAGTCACCAGCACCGAACAGTCCCTGGGCGGAGCACAGAGGAGCTGGAGACCCCAGCCCGAGCCGTCTGTGCTTCAGGAACGAGCAAGAAGCACTGGAGGGTCCGGGCTCGGGGCAGACCCTGCGGCTTCCCGGGAGGACACAGGTGTCTGCGCTCCTGCTGGGCGTGGGAACGTGCGTGCTGCCCCCCCCCCCCCCCAGGGCTGCGGGTCCGCGGGCCCATCTGGGGGAACCCTGAGGATGGGCAGGCACCCGTCTGGGTGGATGAGGGCAGCAAAAGCATGGGAGAAAGGGGGGGTCAGAGCCAAAGGGGACCTTGGGAGTTCATCGAGGGAGGACCCTGAAACTCGGTGGAAAACGGGGGCTTAGGTCGACCTTGTGGGGTGTGAGGGAGGAGAGAGGTCTCAGCACCTGTTCGGGCTGGAGGGGGATGGGGAATGGTGGCCGCCCTCGACCGTGGGTGGAGGGGGTGCAGGGGGCCAGCGGGGAGGGCTTTTACCTCCCCCAGGAGGCCAGAAGTAGCTCCGAGGCCTCCCTGCCTGGCGCAGCCCTTCCTTAGCATCAGCACCCACTGGTGACCCCTTGCCAGCCCGGGGCCGGCCCGGGGCGGGAGGCAGGCAGGACAGTCCCCGTGGTACCTGGCTGAGAAGCGGTACAGGGCCAGCACGGGCCGACAGAGCCTCCTCAGGGCCTGTGACAAAGTGGCTTCGGCCCAAGACAGCATCTGGTGGGCGGCCTGCTGGGGCAGGGGGAGCCATCAGGGTTGGCCCCAGCTGGCAGGCCCACATCCCACCCCCTCACCCCGCCTCACCAGCTCCAAGGCTGCCCCGATGGGCCTGGGTGCCAGGGCCTGCCACAGCCGCACGGCCCCCTCCAGCCGCTCTCGCCACACCTCATCCAGGGGCTGCGGCGCCACCTCCAGGTAGGCGTCCTTCAGCGTGGCCAGGGGCCCTGCAACGGGGGGCCAACACCCACCGTGAGCCCCCTCCACACGCCCCCACCTCCACAGTCCGGGTGGCAGGCACGATGCCACGATCCCAGACCCCAGCAGGGAGACCAGCCCCCTAGACCACCCGTTCGTAGGGACAAGTGGCTTGTGCCCGACCCCCCCCCTTTCCCTGCAAGTCCAGAATGGTGGGGTGCACCAGGGGAGGCTTCCTACGTGCCCAGCCCCCAGGAAAACCCTTGGTGCAGAGTCTTCCCCGGCAGACCAGTGGTGAACACCTGTCGTCACCATGGGGTGTTGGGGAAATTGAGGGTGTCCTGGGTGACCTCCCCTAGAGAAGATTCTGGAAGCTTGGGCCTTCTTTCTCTCCCTTGCTCAGGCCTTGGCCCCTGTACCCCTTCCCTTTGCTGATCTTGCTCTGTGGGCTTTCGCTGTAACAAATCCTAGCCGCAAGCACGCAGATATTCTGAGAACTGAGCCCTAGCGAGCCACGGGAGCTGGGGGGAGGCTGTGGGGATTCTGACCCAGAGATACAAGCAGGTGGGAGAGGAGGACCAGCGGGCGGCCCTGGTGCTCCTGTGGGGAGGCCGGAGGTTCCCAGCATCAATCAGAGGACGCTCGGGGCAGCGGCTACTTAGTAACCACAACGGGAGCCCGAACCACAGAGCCACGCGGGTGCTAATCCCAGAGCCAGAAATGGGCTGTGGAGTCTCCCAGCGCTGGGCCCAACAGCAAGCAAGCTGAAACCCAAAAGAAATCAGGCAGGAACTAAGAAAAAAAAAAATCCCAGTTCCCAAAAAACTAAGGCAGCGGGCATGAGGAAGATGAGCTTGGGGACCTCCAGGAGTGGAACAGGAAGGCCGCAAGGCCCTGGAGGCCCTGCCGAGGGGCGGGCTCCCGCTGGGGCCCTCGCTCACGCACTCACGTTCCAGCTCGTCCCGCAGCTGCTCCAGCCCCGCCTGCAGCCTGTCCAGGTAGAGGGGCAAGTGGTATGTCAGCGCCTGCCGGGCCTGGCTCTGGCCCCACGCCGTGGCCACTGCCCAGCCACTCGCCGCCACGGCCCCCAGGCCTGCGTGGGACAACTGCAGGAGGGGGCCCACCGCGCTATCCGAGGGGCCCGCCGGCCGCACCTGGGCAGGGAAATCGAGGCAGGATCAGTGGGAGGATCTGGGGCACCCTGCCTGGTGAGTGGAGGGCGTCTCCCCACAGCCCAGTATGTCCCTGGCCCCCCAGTGCGGTCCACCCACCAGGTGCCAGAACCTCTCCATGTAGGCATCCAGGCCTCGGATCTCCCTCTCCAGCCGGGCTCCCACCTGGGCCCCAATGGCTGCGATCCTGGACTGTGGACAGAGAGGGACAGGCTGGGGGCACCAGGGTTGGGGGGGTGCTTCACAGAATTGGAGGGGCCGACAGGTTCTTGGTACCAGCCCTAGGGCCCCAGGATGTGTTTGCAGGCCAGAGAGCTGCCTCTGGTTCTCTGGGCCCTGTTGGACCCCAAGGGCTGGCACCCCTGGTGCCAGGGCCTCTGTCCCAGGGAGAACAGCGCCCCCCAGCCCCGGGCTGTCTCACCTCCACGCGGCCCAGCAGGGCTCCGGGGCAGCCGTGCGCTGCCAGGCGGAGAACCTGGGGGGCAGCCTGCAGGCTCAGGCGTCCCAGGGGCTGCACGGGCCGCCCACCGTCCAGGAGCAGGGCCTCCGCCTCGGCCGTCCGCCCGTGGGCACATGCCCGCAGCAGCACGCTCTCCTCTCGGCGTCCTGGGGCCAGGAAGGGTCCTGCTGTTGCCCCCAGGGCTCGGCTGGCTGCCGCCCAACTGTGCACACCGCCTCCTCTCCACGAAGAGCTTCCCGTCACCCCCGGGCCCTAATGTTTGCGGGCCTGGAAGCGCACCCCCCAAATCAGCTTCCCAGCCCTGCTGAGGCCTGGGGTCCTCCTTGCAGCCCACACCCACCTCCGCTCTGCCCAGCTAGAGCCTCTGCCAGCCTCCCCAGGCATCACAAGCCCATGCAGGTGGCCGCAGGGAGCTCACCGTCTCCTCCGAGCTGGGGGTGCCATGAAGTCCTAACGGGGCTCTCTCACTCAACTCTCAACACCCCAATCTCTGTCCTGAGGTCCAGCTGGGCTGCACCCCAGTCATCTGAGCGATCCCCGCTGTCTCTACTCACCTTCCTCATGGGCCCCAGTGGCCTGGAGGCAGCTCTGGGCCTGGGACACCGACAGCCTCACTTTCTTGTCCCCGTCGTCCAGGATTCCCTCCAGCTGGATGCTCGCCTGAGAAGCCGAGGTGGACAGCCGGCCCCGCAGGCTGAGCTGCTGAGCCTTGGGGCTGAGGATCTGCGAGCAGGAGGACAGAGAGCAAAGTGAGGCCTGGCCCCCCACTCTTGCTGGCCCCAGGTCCAGGGAGAAGAAAGGCAGCACCCACCCCCTGCCCCACATCTCCCAGAGCACGGGGACACCTACGTACTTCCCTACAAGGTTCGCTACCCCTGCCAACTGCAGAAGGCAGTCCTCTGTTCAGCAGCCCTAGGGTTCTGATTCGGGGGCTCCCTACAATGTTCCAGAAAAATCCGTCCACAAGGTTTCCAGGTGGGCGGGGTACAGCCCAGAGAACTTTATGAAATTTTACAGTGTCATGAGGACCAAATAAGGATGGGAAAGGCCTCTCTCCACCGCGTGGACCCCCACATGAGGCAGGGGCTCAATCCCAGGCTGGCAGGCCTTGGGGCACTGCAATTCCAGAAGCTGGAGCACCCAGGGGCCGGGCTGGCAGTCAGGGAAATGAAGCGGCCAGCCCCGGACCACCTTGGAAAGCAATGCTCTTTTGAAATCACCATGCTACAGTGCAGGGAAACAGAGGCAGAAAAGCCGTCCCCCATCCAGCTCTGGAGGCCGGAAGCAAACAACCACCCCAGGAGCACCTACTATGCATGGACACGTGCAAACAGCTCTGCTGAGGAGATGGGATTTGTGCCCACTGGACAGAGGAGAAAACTGAGGTCAGAAGAAGGAAAGCCCCAAAGTCAGGTGCACTCGGCCAGGGAGACACAGAGGTGGGCAGACGGGAGCAGTGATGGGATACCTACTGTGTGCCTGTGCCAAAGGGGGCAGAGAAAGGGGGTGCCCAGAACCCTACAACTGCCCTGATACGCCTGCTCCCCACTTACAGATGAGGGAGGGCGGGCTCAGTGAGGGCCCTTCCCAAGATCACTGGGCCAGTGGGGACAGAGCAGGCATGGAGCTCGGCTGTGTTCCCTCCTACCTTCCAGGAGGCAGGAAGACCCATAGAATATGTGTTACTGGGGCGGGGGGCTCCCTCTCAGGCCCTGCTCCCAATGATCTATACGCAATAACATGTGTAATCCTCAACGCCATGAATCCCGGGGAGGGAGGGTAGGTGCAATGACGAGGCTGGGATTCCAACCCAGACAGTCCAGCCGCTGCCTCGTCTCAGGGCTGGGGCTGGGCCAGGCGGGAGTGTCCCCACCAGGTTGCCAGCCTGCAGTTCTAAAAGTGGCCACTAGGAGGCAGGGCCATCCAGGCAGTGGTGGCCTTGCAGGCCAGAGCAGGAGGGAGGGCATCCTGGTGGGGGGGGGGGCGGAGGGGCGCTGACAGCCCTGACCTGGCCACTCACCTCCAGCTCCCCGGAGAAGTCTGGTGCCCGAGGCTTGCTGTGGTCGCGGACGGTCAGGTTGAGGCGCAGACCATGGTCTGGGTCCGGGGCGAGGCCCAGTTGGCAGTGGGAACGCAGCAGAAGCCCACTGTGGCCCAGGGTGTGCTCCCCAGAGACTAAGAGAGCCTAGAATGATGGGGGGTGTCAGCGGTCAGGGAGGAATGGGGCAGCAGCTTCCTCTCCCCACCATGCCTTGGTCTCTTCCAGACCTCCAGGGCTGTTACAGTAGCCTATTGGGTCTCCCTTCTTCCAGTTCAGCCCATGGTCCCTGCTTCACACTGTAGCCAGACTAACCTTGAAAATGCAAATCAGACATTATTCTGTCTTCCCGCTGTACCGAGAAAAAAAGGGGTTGCCTTGATATGGTCCACGAGTCAGCATTACCTTCTTAACCTCACGTCCTTCCTCTCTATAAAGGCTGCTCTATGTTCCTCCAATACCCAAAGCATGTCCCGTCACAGGGCCTTTGCACTGTCTGTTGCCTCTGCAGAACTTGTACTTGTCAGCGAGGCCCCCACAATCCCCCGTCCCCTCTCCCTGTGTCATTCCTTCACGGCACTCATTACACCTGAGTATGTATCTTGTTTAACTTTTTCAACCCGCTGGAACATGAGCTCCAGGGGGTGGGGCACCGGGTCTGTCCCTTTCACCATCCTTGCCCCTGCACCTAGTAAAGGGCCCTGCATTAAGTAAAACCCACGAATGCTTTCTTAATGGATGGATGGAGTTGGCAAACTGTCCCAAGAGCCAAGTTTGGCTCAGTGCTTGTTCTTTTAAATAAACATGCATTGGAAGATAGCCACACCCATTCATTTACATAAGTCCCATGACAGTGAGGTTGAGTGATTGTAACAGAGATCACATGGCTTGAGATGAGAAAATATTTGCTATCTGACCCTGTACAGGGAAAACTCTGCCCCTGGGATGAATGGATAGATGGGAAAATGGATGGATGGATGGATGGATGGATGGATGGATGGATGGAAGGATGGATGGTTGGGGGTAGGAGGCTGAGTAGGTGATGGGTGGGTGCGTGGATGGATGGACAGAAGGACAGACAAGAGAGTGGAAAGTAGGTGGATGAAAGGATGGATGGATGGGTGGGTAGATGGACAGAAGAACGGACAGGAGAGTGGGAAGTAGGTGGATGGATGGACGGACGGGTGAGAGGGTGGGTGAGTAGGTGGGTGGATGGACAGACAGCCAGAGAGGAGGTTGGGGAGAGATGGATGGAAGGATGGAAGGGTGGGTAGGTAGGAGGAGGGACCAAAGACCCAGCTAAGAACCCAGGAAGACTGTTGGGGGAAGGAGTCCCAACCCCTCACCTCCAACCACGATGAGGCTGAGTGCCTTTCATTTACTTGTAAAGCTCTCGTCCTGTGTCCCATCTCTGGTATCTCCCCCTCCCGCTCCTTGCAGAAGCCTACTGCCTCTTCTGCTGCTCAGATGGGACACAGAGGGCTGACCTGCCCTGCCCAGGATCGCCCCACCAGCAGACGGCAGAGCGGGCACGTGGGCACCGAGCGCCCACGCTCACACCCCTGCGCTCTGCAGATGTTGTCCTCTCTCCTCCTCCTCCCTGCATGGGTCCCTGCTCAGCTTCCCTGGGCCAGACTCACCCTGGGCAGGTCGCAGAGCCCCAGGTGCAGGGAGTGGTGCAGCCAGTGGGCGTAATCGGTCTCCACCTGTCCCTGGAGGCGGTGTGTGGCGCAGGTGCCGGCGAAGGTGAAGACGTGCTCGAGCGCGGCCTGTACGTGGAGCCGGTCTGGCTGGGACGGCCAGTGCCTCTGCAATGCGAGGGCACCGTGAGGCCACAACAGCCCTTTGCACTCTGGGCAGGTGTTTGCTGGGAGCACCGGGGGCCTAGCCTAAGGAGTCCCAGAACCCATGGTGCAAGACCCCAGCAGGAACAGGGCTGACTTTCAGGGCCAGCTGCCCACATTTCTCCTCGGCCCAGTCCCTGTCCCAGGCTCTACAGAACAGTGCTTGGCCCCAGCAGCAGTCCCCCGTAGGCAGTGATACTGGGGAGACCTTGACCCTGACACCTCCAGGAACCTGAACTCATGCTCCCAAAAGCGCCCTGGTGTCACCAGCCCCTTCCCTTTTCTGTTCTGAGTGCTCACCTCAGGCAGGACGCCTTGCTTCCCTCATCTCCCAGAGCTGTCCCTACATGCCAGTCAGGGAGGGATTTTTGTTCCCATTTTACAGACGAGCGCACCAGGACTCACACTGGAGAAATGAAATGCTCACGATCCTGCAGCCCGGCTAGCACTGGCATAGGACCCCATGGCCTCAGAGCCAGGCACTTTCTACAGCAAGTACCCCCACCCCACCTCCAGGGGTGACCTGCCTGGGACCCGGCTTTCTAGGCCTCACCTCATACGTCAGGTTCTGCTGCACCCGGCGTCGGTCCCAGGACAGATCGAGCTGCTCGCTGAACACGGCTGGGGTCTGTGTTAAGGCCCCACAGGCCCTGAGGGCACTCAGACCCCAAATTTCCTGGAGCTGACAAGAGGATGGAGTGTGGGACTTGGGGGAGTCCACACAGAGACTCCGAGTTAGGGAGAGCCCCGTGCGTGGCTTGGCAGTCCAGCCAGTGCATACCTGCCCCGGGGAGGCAGCCAGGCAGCCATCCCAGATGGTACTGAACTCTGAGGACCTGTTGGTCCAAGCGAGGTGCAAGGTCACGGGCTGCCCTCTGTCCCAGGCCAGCTGGACCTGCACGGAGACGGAGGGTGGTGGAGGGGAGGGGCGGAGGAGAGGCTGATGCTCTCCATCTGGGTGTGTGCTAGGGATGGAGGAGAAGGGAGTAGGGGGGTGGGACAGGCTGGCGCAAGTGCGTAGAGTGGGGAGGGTGGAGCCCGCCACTGTAGGGGACGAAGGCGGGAGCTAGAGACACTGGCCTCCCTCCTGCCCTTATCTGCAGGCGTCAGAGCCAAGCCCAGTCTGGGAGACCGAAGATGCCTCATTGCCAGTACCCAGCCTGGCTGTCTCAAAGCCAGAAGGAACTCCGCGCCCCTCACTCACAGCCCCTGGGCTGCTCTGGACTGAACAGTGGGCCCGCCCCCCTGCTCTTCTGTTGAAGCCCTCACCCCCAGAGGGGCGGTATTAGGACACAGGGCAGGTGGGAGGGGAGCTGGTATCGATGAGGTCATAGGGTGGCCTCCATAGGGGATTAATGCTCCTCCGAGCAGAGACCCCAGAGAGCTCTCCCCCCTGGTGCGTGAGGACGCAGGAGAAGATGTGAGTCAGCCAGAGAGCGCTCACCAGAACCTGACCAGGCTGCCAACCTCATCTCGGGCTTCTAGAAGTGGGAGAAATGCCTGTTCCTGTTTAAAGCAACCAAAACCACCCAGCCACACGCCCAGAGTGGTTTGTGATAGCAGCCCAAGCCGACTACGGCAGGGGCCCTCAGCTGACCTCCTTGTTCCCAGCGCCTGCCCTGCCACTTAACTCCGTCCCAGCCTAACTGTCCCTGGCTCTTCCTGAAGCTCGCCAGCCTATTCCTACCTCAGGTCCTTTGCACTCGCTGTTCCGTTCCCCCCTTGGAATGCTATTCCCTTGCTTGCCAGAAGGTGGATCCCTCGCATCTGGAGGCCCTCAACTGTCAAGCTGCCTACCCCAGGAGGCCCTCCCTGACCACCCCATCCGATGAGTGTCTGTCTCTGCCTCCTCACCACTTTCTTCACGGGGCTTATCACAGCTCTTCATTTTTTCTTCATTCGCTGGCTTGAATTTTAGACAGGGTCTCTGGCCTGGCCCAGAGGATCTACTTTTGACCCTGACCAACTGCCTTCCATTTCACAGCTGAGAACGCCAAGGCTCAGAGAGGGTCCATGAGCGGCCCGAGGCCACTGGCTGGTCAAGGAGCCCAGCCACCCTGCGTGGACCCCCTGCGGCTCCTGACTCAACTGACAAGGATATAAATGAGGAGTCACTGTATGTATGTACGTATGCGTGTCCAGTGAGATCATGCATGTAAGCTCTTGCCCTGCTGACGTGTGGGCTCTTTAAATGCAGGACTTTGTGCTCCCAGCCCTGCCTGGCATGCAGCAGGTGCTTAATAAGGAATCAGTGAAGGAATGAACAAATGACGGATGCTTCGGGCTGCAAGCTTCAGGAGTCTGACTCTGGAAGAGTCCTTCCCAACGGGAGACAAGCACAACCTTCTGCCCCTGCGGTACCCAGGTGGTGGGCTGGGGGCTCAGCCATGCAGCTCCCCACACCCCCAGAGTCCCCCACCAGGGGCCCACTGGACGCTCCCCACTCACCTCTGCGCTCCGCCGGCCACCCCTGCCCTCAGCGAGGCCGCTGGCCTCGATGCGCCACAAGGAGAGGCTGAAGGGGTGAGCCAGGGCCAGGCGGCCGGCCAGCTTGCCCTTCCCCAGCTGCAGAGAGGACGAGACCAGCACCTGGGGTGGGGGGACAGGCTGAGCTGGAGGCCTTGCCCAGAGGGGCCACTCCCTCCCCACCCCCTGACCCTGCACAGTCTCCCAGGGCCAGGGCATGGGGGCAGTGGGCTCTGAGCGCACAGCCCAGCACTGAGGGGGCCCTTGGGAGAGGCAGCCCATTTCTGCAGAGGAGAAGTCGAGGCTTAGAACGGAGCAGACAGGGAGAGTGTATGACTGAGGGGACTGGAGGCCTTTCTAAGAATGCCAGCCCTGCTTTCCACTAGCTCTGTGACTCCCGGCCAGTGGCTGTACCTCTCTGGGCTCTGATTCCATCACGTGAAAGGGGGACTGAAGAGCCCCCGGCAGGTGTCAGCCAGTGGCATTCTTGTGGTTCATGCATTGCTGGAACCCGATTCCACCCCCTACCCAGGGCCTTTCCTGCCATCTCCCGGGGACTGGGTCCCGCCAGGCAGGCCTGAGCCCCAAGTGTCCCCCTCAGGTTCCAGGCTCGGTGGAGTTCCTGGGGTCTCCTTCCGGCCCTGACACCTACCTGGTCCTTGCCATCCCAGCCCACGACCAGGTCATCCCGGTGTCTGTGTCGTGAGTGCTCGCAGGACAGATGGAGGCTGCCACGCCACGGTGGGGACAGGGACAGAGGCAGTGGGTGGGTGAGCTCTGCTGGGAGGGGGACACAGGGAGAGGCAGGCACGTGAGGGGAGCACATGGGCTCAGGGGCATCTCAGCGGACACAGCCACCAACTCAGGCAGGTGGCCATGGGGGCCCCCTCGTGCTTGGGTCATCTGCTCAAAATTCAGGGGGTCAGTCCTCACTCGGCCACACCACTCCGTGCACTCCCCAAGCTGTCCCCAGGAGAGCTCCAAATCTTTGTCACCCAGCAAAACCTGCCTGGTGCAGCTCCCAGCCAATGTCCTGCACCATCTGACCTCCCTCACGCTCGCGGGTCCCCGGTGTCCCACTGGGGCCACACTCAGCTGTCCTCCGCTCTCCTTCTGTCCAGAGTGTGACACAGGTGGTGCCCCCATAGCTGAGGCCTCACAGCGGACAGTCTCCGGGCCTCTAGGTTTCCCTCCCTTGTCCCCTCGGTGGAAGCCAGCTGCCCTGACCTCCTGCTTCAGGTGACCCCAGCTTGTGAGGCCACCAGTGAGTCCTGTCTTCCCAGACCCGTGGGTAGGAGGCCAGCAGAGATGCCACGGTAGACAGAGGCCACCTCAGGGACCTCTCAACTCTCTGGAAGGGGTGCCACCTGTCCCCAGGCCGGCTCCTGGGAACTGCGCCCAGAGACACTGACACAGATGCGTCTTGAGGAGCCATCACTGGTCCAAGGAACAGTGACCACATTTGTGGGCCCCACACTCAGCGCCGTAACCCTCAGTCCTTCCACTCCCTGATCCCCCAGCTCCCATGCTCTGTAACCACAGAGCAGGGTCCTCGGGCTGCTCAGCACCCCCACAAGCCCCGTGCACGCACGCCTGTATACATACATGCACACGCATGCTGTCCTGGTGGGCGGAGGAGTCCCGCGTTTCCTCTGCCTTGTGTGGAACACAGGTGGCAGCAGCCGTGACCCTGGGGGGATGCCGTCTGACCACCCAGCAAGCCGTGCCCCCGGGAGCGGGTCTGCACTGTGTTTCCCACTTGGCAGACGGCAGGTCAGGCTTTGCTCTGTGTGGTGGGGGCTCGTCTCACAGAAAGTGACAGTCCGTGTGACAGCACGGCCCCTTCCAAGCCCTTGGGGGACACAGGTGGCACCCTAGGGCTGCTGGGGGGACAGTACTCGCCTCCCCTGCTGACCATCGGCCCCTGCTCTGAAACCCCCTGGGGCTGCTCAGGGCCCCATCTAACACACTTCCTGTCTTCTTACACTCAGGGTACCCCTAACTCTGGGCTGGGGGGCCGGGACGCTGTGTGACCTGGGTCCCTCAGCCCTCCCGCTGGCCTCCTCTCCTCCCCCCAACTTCAGTGCACTCCGGCCACACCGGCCTTGCTGCTGTGGCTCCAGCACCCACTTTGTTCCCACCTCAGGGCCTTTGCACCTGCTTTCCCCTTTGCCTGAGATGCCCCTCCTCAGATCCCTGCCATGGCCAGTTCTTCCTCATCATTCAAGGCTCCACACGGACGTTACCTCCTCAAACGCACCTTCCCCCCCCCCCCCCCCGAAGGAGCCCTGCACCCCTCAATTCAACCCTTCTCACTCTCAGAAACACTCTGATGCGATTTCCTTCATGTTCACACCCCTGCTTACCACCTCTGCCCCTGTCGGCAGGGACCTAGGGCAGTCTTACTTCCAGATGGATTCCAGATGGTGCTGCCTGGGACAGCACCCGGGATAAGCAGTTGTTCAAAGACGGTTTGCTGAGCGAACAGGGCCCCCTACTGGTGACCCCGCAGACACTCACCCTGGACGCTGAGGTTCCCAGCGGGCCTGGGGAAGGGCCCCAAGAGGCTCCCGTTGAGCACCGCCTCCTGATCATCCCACAGAACTGTCTGGTGCAGAATGTGGGTCCCGCGGGCTGTCTTGTACAAGGTCTGCAGGACCAGCTGCCTGGGAAGGGCTCTGAGCTGGAAGAGAAAGACAGCTGTGGGTCACCGGGGAGCCCGGCCCACGCTCCTGCTTCGGGTCGGAAAGAAGAGGTACTTTCAGAGGAGGAAAGACAGGGAACGTCTGTGGGGCATGAACGGTTTACTGGGACATCATAAAGCCAAAGGCTCCCCAGGGATGGGCAGACAATGGGAGGGAGGGGTGTGGGGCACGGGGAGCGGGACACAGGGAGACTGTGTCACCCTCTGAACACATCACCACCTCTCAGCTCTACTTCCAAGCTGTGTGGCCTTGGGCCGGTTTCCTAACTTCTCTGAGCTCAGTTTCCCCGTCTATAAGAGCAGATGAGACGGACAGCACTAACCTCTGAGATGATGCGAGGGTGTGTCCGCCCAGGGCCGACCCGTGGGCAGTGCGGCGTGGGAGCTACTGAGGTTGGGACTAGGGTTTCTCAGGCAGGTACTGAGCATGTATTAATTTCCGGACCCAGGGCTGAGCATGGGGGTACAAATAACCAAGACGGGTCCTGGCCCTTCAGGGGCTCCTGGCGGATGGGGAGATACAGAGACAGAAAATGACAGGCCCAGGTGACAAGGGTGGCATGAAAGATATTCAACAGGCAAAGGAACACAGAGAAAGAAGTTGGAGAACAATGCAAGGAAGGGCATTCTAGGCAGGAGGATGGGTCTGGGCAAAGGCTCAGAGAAGGGGACTCTCCCCGTTAGGTGGGTGCCCCCTTTGGAGGGGGGGGGGTGTCAGGGGCCCTGCAGGGAGACTTGCCAGGAGGAGGGAGGAGTTTACTTTTGAAGGTCTTACTGCCCTACCTTGACTCAAGACACCATTATTTCTTGCCCCGCTAAGCACAGTGGCTTCCTCACTGCTGTCTCTGCTGCCCCCTGTAGGTCGCTCCCCATACAGCCGCTGGAGGGATCTGAAATCTTCATTTGGACTGTGTCCCCCAAAAAGCTTCCAATTTCAGAAAACTAAATCCAAACTCCTCCCTGTGGCTTGTCATGCCCTAAGATCGGACCCCACGATCTCCTACTGCCCCACCCTGCTCCAGGCCAGCGGCCATGCCTCAAACAAGCCTACTCGTTCCTGCCCCAGGCCCTTTGTATGTGTTGTTCCCTCAGCCTGGAATGCCCTTCCACCAGATTTTCAAATGGCTGCCACTTGCTTGTCATCTGGGACTAGCTCAGATGTCACCTTCTTTGTGAGGCCTTCCTGGCCACCTGAAGAGCTGCCTGGCCACACACCCACTCTTAATCACCCCATTTTCTTTTCTCCCTAGAATGTATCCATCTGGATACATTCCATCTGGAATGTTTTCTTATTTGTGTGATTTCCTCCCCAGCAGACTGTGCAATTGGTGAGAGGAAGGACCCACCAGTCCTGTCCCTGGCAATACTCTCAGCTTCTTGAGTGGTTCCTGCCCTGGGCCCTACCAGGGGTTCAACAAATAACATGGGAGGGAGGAAGGAATGCACAATGAGAGCAGCTGAGAACCCATTCCAGCACGTTTCCCCCCACTCCAGAGCCCCTACAAATCCCTCTCTTCTCCCGGAGCTGCCCACGGAGTCCCCTTCCCCCCACAGCCTGCCCTGGCTGCCCTCCATGCACCTGGGGGAAGGTCTGCTTCAGCCTGATGGTGTTGGTGACACTGGCCTTTGTCATCACCAGCCTGGTGCCCACATGGAAATGATGGTCCTCCCCCTCGAAGAAAATCGTGCTCTCAGCCTCACGCTCCAAATACTGTAGCTGGGCAAGAAGAAAAGCAGGTGAGATATTTTCTCCTTGGTCTCTGATCGCATATTTCTACAGATCCTGGTTCCAGGCTGGAGGCTGTGGCCCCAGACACCCACGGCTTCCTGGACTGTTTGGAATCTGGTGAAAGGAGGGTCCTGAGCCTTGGTCTGGGCCAATGACAGCCACCTCCCCGTCCTTCCTGCTGCTGTCCCACTGATTGGAAGACAGCTACAGGCCTGGGGCCATCAGGCAAGAATTCCAGTTGCACTACCATAGTGGACGGCAGGGGGCAGTCTCGTGCAAGGAACGAGGCACCGGCTGGGCCATCCAACATATGCCACCTCCAGCACTCCGTCACAGGGGGTAGGTCACCTCTGCCTAGGTCCTTCACGACGGGAGTCTCTGCTTTCTAACCTGATACACTGGGATGGTGACACTTCATTCATGTGTCGATGTGAAAATTGTACCAGACAGTGTGCTCTCTTCCAGACTGGCTCCGTGACAGAATCAGGTAGGGCGCCAGCTACACACGGAGACTCTGTCCCCTACCGACAGCTGGGAGAGACAGAACCTCCGCGAACAGGCTGGGGAGACATTCTTAAATAGCCCCGCAGAGAGGTCTGACCTCAGTCCAAGCTGAATTCGGTCACCCTGAATCTTGAACAAAGAGTCTGACAAATCCACACGGAGGATTTCTGCAAAATAAGTGCCTGGACATTTCAAAATTGTCAACGTGTGACTTCTTAAAGGTGGTTAAGGACTGGGGCGCTGGGTGGTGGCGCCCGTTAAGCGTCCCACTCTTGATTTTGGCTCCGGTCATGATCTCGGGGTTCTAAGATCGAGCCCCTTACCAGGCTCTATGCTCCGCGTGAACCCAGCTTGAGATCCTCCCTCTCCCTCTGCCCCTCCTCTCTGCGTGGGCGCGCGTGCGTGTACGTATACACACACACACACACACACACACACAGTCGCTCTGTCTCTGTCTCTCTCTCAAATCTTTTTTTAAAAGGTGGTTAAAGGGGCGCCTCAGTGACTCAGTGGGTTAAAGCCTCTGCCTTCAGCTCAGGTCATGATCTCAGGGTCCTGGGATCGAGCCCCGCATCAGACTCTCTGCTCAGCGGGGAGCCTGCTTCCTCCCTTCTCTCTCTCTGCCTGCCTCTCTGCCTCCTGTCAAATAAATAAATAAAATCTTAAAAAAAATAATAATAAAAGGTGGTTAAAGACAATGAAATGCTTAGGGGCAAAGTCTATCGATACCCGCAACTTACTTTGAAATGTGTCAAAAATTCAGGATAAAGCACTGACAAAGCAAGTAGAGTGGAACAGGGGTGAGAAAATGGAGGCAGTGGGTATGTGGACATTCACTATAAAACTGCTTTAATTTTCCAGGGTCTAAAACATTTAATAACAGAATAATGGGGGAAAACTAGGTACGGGCTGGGAGAAGAATATCTGGATCAGGGGTCTGCTTTAGGCCACATTCGGCCCACCACATGGTTTTGTAAATAAATATTGTAACACAGCCATGGCCGTTTAGTTACATCCTGTCTATGGCTGCTTTTCTGTGATGGTGGCAGCTCTGAGCAGTTACAACAGAGATCGTACTGGGTTTAAAGGATAAAACAACTACTTATAGTCCAAGTTTGCAGACCTCTCTGTTCTAGATTAACTCCCTCAAGAAACAGGGCAGCTAAATACTCTGGGTGATCCTGAAATGTCTCTTGGGTTTAAAACAAACTGAAAACACACAAACGAAAAATTCAGCATTAAAGAACATTATTGGGGAAACTGGGAAAGGTTATTAGGGACCGTATATTAAATAACAGCATGACTACATCATGTTAAACTTCCTGAATTTTCTAATTATGCTGTGTTATGTAAGGAAATTGCCTTGTCATTGGAACCACTCAGCCAAGCATGTAGGAGTAAAGAGGTATGTGTCCAGAAACATGTCCATCTCGTCCCTTAATGGTAAAATGAACGTGGGCATGTGTATGACTAGACAAAGAAGGTATGTGACACATAAGTACAAACAAAGTTGTGGCAGGTTATTAACAACTAGGGAATGTTCTCGGTCCTAAAATAACTTTTCTATATGTTGAAAACTCTTCAAAATAAAGACCGGGGGGAAACAAAGAGGCCCCTGAACGCGCAGTTGGCAGGGATGCTTGGGAAACACTAAAACCATGTGGGAACGTGCTAGGGCAGGGCCAGGCACACAGTAGGTACTCTGGGAACAAAGGCAGCCGTCCTGGGCAGGGAGACCAGTTAACAAAACTGGGTGGCTGGGGCGCTAACCAAGCAAGGAGCTGGGCAAATGTAACAACCAGTCACTCACTCATTAGCCAACATCTTTCATGAGCACCTACTATGTGCTGGGCCCTGGGCCAGGTGCTGGGCATTCCTGATTTGGGGAAGAGGGGCAGACAGGCAAACAGGTCATGGCAACAGAGTGCGGGGGGGGCCACCAGCCTGGGCCTCTTGTCAACCCCCCACCTCCACCCCAGGGCCCCCAAATGCTACATGCAAGCCAGATGCATGACCGCGGGCTGTCCTGGGGGTTCCAGGTGGGGAAAGGATTTGCGGACAAGGGCGGGAAGATGTGCGGGGAGCCTGGGCCGTCAGAAGAAGCTGGGGCACCCGGGAGGCGGTGGGGCTCGGCTCAAAGGCAGCCCGCCAGGTCTGGTGAGGCGGCGCCAGGCTCCAGGCATGGCGTGGGCAGGCAGGCCTCTCCTACTCCCCAGGGTCTTGTGGGCCCAGCTGGGGGCTCCGGGCCTGGCCCAGGAATGTAAGCCTGGGGATGTCTGAGAAAGCTGGAGCCAGGGGTTTCAGGGGGCAGCCCCCTGGGGCCTGCAGCAGGCCTGTGCACACAGATGTGGATGTGTAAGCCCTCCCCGGCGGGGCCCGGCCGGCATGGCCCCCGCCCACCACGGGCAGGGCGTCTGGAACCAGTTAGGGCTCAGAGGCAGCTGGGCACAGTTACCTTGGCTGAGGCTGAGGCTCTGCGGGGGAAGCGGCCCAGGAGGGCGGGGAGGCTGTGCCGGCCGGACAGCTGCAGCTCTTTCCTGGAAGGAGACAAAGAGAGTGTCTGAGGCCGGCCTGCGGGCGCCCAGGGCTGGGTCAGGATTCAGACCAGCCTCCCCCACCCGCAGAGGGCAGGAGATCCACGGACACACCCAGAACCCAGGCAGGGCCGTTCATGTGCCCCGGGCCTGAGGGCCGAGCAGGGCCGTGGTTAGGGCCACAGCCTGGTGCCAGGTGACCCACGTTTCGACCCCCACCTGGCCCGTGCCTGGTTCTGGCATGTGGGATATAGCACCTCTGGGCCTCAGTTTCCCCTTCAGCAAAATGGGCTGCAGGGGTACTGGGCTGAGTGTCTCCGGTCAGGTTTGGGCAGGGGAGGCCTCCGCAGGGTCTGGACAGCAGGATTTTAACTGTACTCACTCCTGGTAGCCCTGTGCTCACCGTGGCCCTTCAGGCCGGGGTGCTCGGGGCTCCCCACTGATGCTGTGGGGCACTGCCCCCTTCTGGTCCTTCTTCCACAGCAGCGCTGCTATCTTGGGCCAGATGGCCCATAGCCGTGGGCCGACCTGTGCCCTTGGTGAGGGTTAGCGCTGCCTCTGGCCTCTGCCCACTAGAAGCCACCGGAAATTTCCCCAGACGTCGCCAAGTGACCCCGGGTGGGCAAACCCACCCCAGGTGAGAACCATTGGTCTAGACCACTCCCAGCTGGCTTCCTCATGCCCCTCAGGGACCCCGTGTGGGTGCTGGAGCCAGGCAACCCTCGCCCCGGACACATACACGTGCGAGGCCGCTGAGCTCTGGGCCAGGCAGCCAGGAGATCCCCACACTGAAGAGCTATAATAATTATTAATTTGTATGAGGCCTAGCATGCATTTCACTTGTGAGACCAAGTCCTCGTCCATGTCATACCCCCGAACGTCAAGGTTATTTTACTAGCTGTGTGACCTCGGGTGAGTTACTTTGCTTCTCTGTGCTTCTCCTCTCCACATCTGGGCAGTGGGGCTGCGGGGAGGGGTCAAGGAGGTGCTGGGGGTTGGAGGTGAGCACACAGCAGGGGCTCCACTGATGTCTCCCCCGCACCCCCTCTTCTGGTGGGAGGAGAGGGGACCCCCAGAGCTGCAGAGAACCCCTCACCGGAACTCATGGCTCTGGCCACGCACGTCGAGGACCAGGCTGGCTTGAGAATCGCAGGTCAGCCGTAGGGAAGACAGCATCTGTTCCTCTGCCCAGAGCTTCTGGAACACGAACTGTGGAAGGGACAGGCGTGAGGTGTGAGGAGTGCAGCGGGCCCGAGGACCCGCGTTGGCCCCACTCTGCAGCTCCCTCCCGGCAGCCGGCACTGCACCCCACCAGACCCGCACCCCAGACATCGGCAAAGAATGAGCCCCCCCCACATCTCCCCATCACTGGCCTGAAGCCAAGGAAAGGGGGTTTAGAGGTGGTGAGGGAGAGTGGAAACCGGGTCTACTCAGTTGTGGGGTACAGGGACCAAGGACAAGGACCCACTGTGTGAGGGGTACCCGGGGATCTCCACACGGCAGAGTGCAGTGGGGGCAGGGCAGTACTGGTCACCGGAAACAAGAGGTTGTGAATGAAGCTTCCGGAATGGGCAGCCAGAGAGCCCAGCCCGGACAGGTGACCAGGGCCTGGCCCCATTCAGGAGACCACAGCAGATTCCCCCTCTCAGAGGTGGGAGGGCATCGTGGGAAAGGGCCTAGGTGCTAGCCTGAGTCCCTTTTGCTGCCCCCTTGCTACGTGACCTTGAGTAGGTGACATACACACGCGTGTCCCACAGATGGGGATGACGGGGACTGTCGTCACAGCAGCAAATGCTTCTGCAGCAAATGCTTCTACAGCATCTGTTTGACCAGATACCACCACTGTCTCCATCCTCCCAAACCCCATGCTGTCCGTACAACTATCATCCCCATTTCAGGAACAGACTGAGGGCACAGAGAGGCTAAGGAATTTGCCTGAGGTCACACAGCATGCTGTGTGAGTCAGCTGGGATCTGAAGTCCAGAGCTGGGGTTCTTAAGAACTATGCCACCTGCCCATCGTGGGGCATTAGGAGGAGGAAAGGAATCAGGCCATGGAAAACCCCCAGGACGGCACTGAGCATGGAGCAGGGGCTCCAACAGCAAAAGCTGGGCTTTGGCTCGAGGGCGAGAGTAGAAAGGCAGAAAGCACACAGGGCGGGGACCTGGAACGGGGGCTTCCAGCATTTACAAATTGTAAAGTGCTGGAGAGACACTGCGCAGGACATCTGTTGGGCGAGTCCGTAGTCGGTCCCCTGCACACTGGGGAACAGGACGGAGTGGACGGAATTAGCAGGGAGCCCAGCCTGGTGGGGGCAGGGGGTGCACCCACTCCTCACCTGGGTGGTCGAGGGCAGGCCCAGCCTCCAGAGAGCGGGGGCCGCATGGCTGGCGTTCACCAGCAGCTCCAGGGAGCCATTCACCGGCCAGGACACCAGGGCTGCCACGTCCATGCTGACACCACCATCCCCTCCGTGGAGGGCCACGCTGGCCCGGGTCTGGGTCTCTAGGGGCAGAGGAGGGCACAGGCTGCTGGGGGCTCGGTTCACCTCCCTGTGCATGTGGGACCGATGCCAGACAAGGCTTTTGCTTCTCAAGAGCCTCTGGGACTTCATCTGCCAGGTGGTATCCCCCTCGATGTGCGTGGCCGGGCCGGCTCCTCTCCCCAGGATTGCTGGTGAGATGACACCTCTGAGAACCCACCTGAAGTACCCCCTGACCCTTCCTTCTCCCTCCCTGGGGTCGGTCAGCCCTGGGAGGGCAGGACCTTCCGTCTGTTCCCTGCTCTGTTCCCAGCACTTGGCACAGCTCTGGACACATCGCAGGCAGTGGGGAAATAGACAAATAAATACTGATCTCCGGGTTTATCAAACATCCAAAGGATATCAAATGATACTAACCTGGAGCCTGCCCGGCCCAGGATGGAGGGTCCCCGCCCATCCCACCCACCTGGGGAACCTCCAGGGTCCTGCCTCCCAGGGATGGCGGGGGTGGGGTTGGTGCAGCTCATAGCTACTGCCCGTGACACCTGACCCAGCGCCATCACCTGCCATCTGGGCCCATCGGGGCAGGTAGCGCTCTAAGCCTCGATTTCCTCATCAATAAAGTGGGCACAGCCAGCCCACCTTGAGTGACCCTGCTAAGAAGAGAGAGAACACCCCTGAGAACACCTGCCCGTCAGACACACAGGTCCCAGGAAGGGTTCTCTTCCTTCCTTCCCAGGCGGTGTTCAACCCCAAGCACCCGCTGTGCGTGGGGCCCAAGGAGGAGGGGACCCACATTGAAGGGGACCCACATTGAAGGAGCCCCAGTCTCCAAGCCCGGGGAAGTTCCAGATGGTCAGAGACAGCAAGAATGTTAAGGCCAAGCAGAAAATGCCCCCCACCGAGGGGCTGGGACAGCCGGACGTGAGCAGCCGTATGGAGCGGAGACCTCTCCCTGGCTGCAGGTGACCACGCCAGACCTCTCAGGGGCGAGGAACTGGGTCACCCTGGAATGACTGTCCCATCATTGACACACCACGTCCCCAAAAAGCCCTTCCTCGGAGCAGTCTGTGAGGTCAATCCCCCTGTTGGCTCCAAGTACCCAGTCACCTCACAGGGGGCTGAAAGCCAAGGATGGAAAAGTTTGAGGCCAGGAGAAGATGACCCAAGGGACAGGGGAGCCCCCGAGGGGTCCTGATCTCTGCATTCTACACAGGGGGCCAGCAGGGGGCCTGGAGCCACGCTGCCTGGATTCAGGTCTTGATCTCATCGTGCCAAGGCTGTGTGACCTGGAGCAAGTGACTCAACCACTCTGAGCTTCCTTTCCTCCCCTGCAGAATGGGAACAGTTACTAACCCCTACCTCATATATTCACGAATTCACTCAACAGATTAACTGAATAACTACTAGGCTCCACTCTCTAAAACAGGCAAAAATCATCCCTGTCCTTGTGGAGAGTGCATTCTAGGGTGGGGTGGGCAAAAGACAGGCAATGAGAAATGAAGATCCTGAGTCAGTCGGTCCCATAGGATGTTAGAGCGACCAAGCCAGAAACAGGGCTGGGGCGAGCGCGAGGGAGGTGGGGTTGCCAGTAAATAAGCTGGGTGGGGAAAGCCTCACTGAAGAGAGGACACTTGAAAACCATCTGAAGGCAGGGAGGGATTGAGACAAGCAGACGTGCAGGGCAAGAGCCTCCCAGACAGAGGAACAGACTATGCAAAGGTCCTGAGGCAGGAGCCAGCCCAATGTGTTTGAAGACTAGCAAGGAGTGAAATGAGCAGGGGCCAGAAGACGGGGTGAGAGAACAGAGGGTGTGGATCCTGAGGGCTCAGAGGCCCCACTACGGGCTTCGAGCTTCCCTGGGCCTGAACGGATGGCTGAGCAGACTCACTGAGCTTCTGTGTTCAGAGAGCTTGCCTGGTATATGGTAAGCACCCCATCAACACTGGCTCTTACTACTTCTCCCCTCCATTAGAGGTTAAACTGCTTATCCCTAAAAATCATGTTGAAGCCGTAAGCATCAGTACCAATGAAATGTGGCCTTATCTGGAAATGGGGGCCCAGCAGAGCGGATCAGGTCGAGACGCGGTCTTGCTGAAGTAGGGAAGGCCCTCAGCCAGTGACCGGGGTCCTTAAAAGAAGAGAAGAGGCCCAGGCACAGAGGCAGAGATCAGAGGGAGGCAGCCACGAGCCAAGGATCGGCTGGGGCCTCCAGATAGAAGATGCCAGAAAGGATCCCCCCATCGAGCCTTCGGCAGAAGCACAGCCCTGCGGACACCTGGGCTCCAGGACTGCTACAGAGGACACACCTTTGCAAGTCTAGGAAAGGAATACAGTCTCCCCCCAGGAACCAGGGCTTCAAGGGCAAGGATGTCCTTTGGTTCTGAGAGTGGCAAGCAGGCCCCGGGGTGGGGGGAACCGGCCCTCCGGTCCTGGGGCGGGGCCCTGGGTGCCTTACCGTGTGTCTGCAGCTTGGCGCTCAGGCGGGCCTGGCCTGGGAGCCCGGCCTGCAACAGGGTCACGCTGTTGTGCTCGCTCCAGCCAGAGAGCTGCAGGTGTCCCGCACGGTGACGGCCACTCACGGAGTAGTTCACAGACATGGGCCCTGCTGAGATGCATCCGGAATGCTGGAAGCTGGAACCGCTGCTGGGAACGTCCACAGAGGCCTGGAATGACACGCCGGAGAGTGTGGCTCGCCGGGGGCAGAGACAGCCAGCCTGGCCCAGCTCGCTCCGGCTCCCGCAGACCCACAGCACTGTGTGTGGGCGGGGGCAGCTGAGACCCACCACCTAGCGGGAGTCGCAAGGGAAAGAGCAAGGGGACATGCGCTGTGTTGCTGGGTGGGGCGTGCTGGCCCAGGAACAGCTGCCTGCAGCTACGGGGTTTCCATGTGGGGTAGTTAAGAAGTTCTGGCATGAGAGAACCGAGGCACACTACTATGAGTGGGCCTGATGCCCTTGAAAATACTTAAAATGGGGGACGCCTGAGTGGCTCAGTGGGTTAGGCATCTGCCTTCAGCTCAGGTCATGATCCAGGGTCCTAGGATCGAGTCCCACGCTGGGCTCCTTGCTCAGCAGGGACCCTGCTTCTCCCTCTGCCTGCTACTCCTCCTGCTTGTGCTCTCTCAGACCATTAAAATTTTTTTTAAATACTTAAAATGTAATACTTTTATATATTGTACTACAATAAAAAATGTTTGCAAAATACACATAACTTTGGAAGGTTTTCGACAGGCATGAGCTCTCTCTGTCTCCAAGCAGCCCCCCCGACCCATTTTCAGCTCTCTACCTGGCCTCCAAAGGGTAAGTTTGCGGCCTCTGTCCCCCATTGGAGCAACAGCGACCAGCACGGGCATAAAGCCCCTCGCTGCGTGGCATCAGCGGCTTTACAAAGCAGGAAGTTCTGTCCCGCCCTTCGGTGATGCTGGCTGAGCGCCTACTAAATGCTGGGCCCTGTCCTGCACCTGGAGATGCCATCGTGCACCAAACACGGGATTGCCGGGGCTGTGCAGCCTGGAGGCCGGCTGCGGGAGACAGACCAGGACAAGGTAGAAGGCATCGCGGGCCGGATGGAAAGAGGATGGAAAAGAGAAAGCAATCGGGGAGCATGTGAGATACTAAGAAATACACAGGCGTAGGTATCTATGCCTTTGCCCCCGGTTCCTGCCCACATCTGGTCTGTGATCCCTGTTCCTGACCCAGAGCTCCCGCCCTCGCAAGCTCCCCAGTGAGTGAGAGAGGGGAGCGTCTTACTGGAGCTCCTCAATCCCTTGGAATTTCGTGGGTGAGACTACTGAGGGGACTCTGGGTGGGCTCCCCAGAAGGACCAAGCCCTGGTGAGAAGCTGGAACCTTTAGCCACCGCCCCCGTCCTCAGGGAGGGGAGGAGAGGCTGTGGGGCGAGTGAAAGATCCGGCACACTCATGGGATGAAGGCCCGTGAAAATCCCTCAACCGTGGGGCTCGGGGGCTTTAGGGCAGGCTGAACACATCCACGGGCAGGGAAGGGGGCACCCGCGAATGGATCGTGGGTGGGGGAGTCCCCACCCGTCTGGTCCCACGTGTGCTCTGAGTGGCAGACGAGAAACAAAGCCATCTTCTTTACAGAGGGTTCGGGTAGGGGAGACAGGGGCCAGGGCAGGGGTCTTCAGGGAAGCCCGGAGAAGGGACATGGGTGCAAAGACCCGGGGAGGCCGAGCGGGCGGTGGGCTTCGAAGGGAGGAAACATCTGGCGAGCCTGAGTACGGGGGACAGGGAGCCAGAGGACAGTCAGCCCCCCGTGGGTGAACTCGGGGGGGGGGGGGGGGGTCCCTGGGGGGGTGAGCTCAGAGAGAGCACAGCACCAGATCCTTGCACGAGGTTTTTGGACGTGGAGGGGCTCTGGGTGGAGACCCAAGGGGGCAGCAATGAAGGCAGGAGCCCAGCTAGGTGGCTGGAACCTGGGTGTGACCCAAGGTGGCCTGGAGCAGATGACACAGCTGGAAGTGGGGGACAAGGGGTCGGGCTCCGGGCACATCTGGGAGGACATGCCATCTGTGTCTGCTGAAGGCGGGGTCCGGGGTGTGAGTGAAACAGGGATGAAGGCTGACACCAAGGGTTTTGCGGTGATGCTGGGGGTGCGGGGACGAGGTGCCACTGAGATACGGAAATGGGAGGGGCAGGCGGCCGGGCTGGGCAAGCCAGGAGCCCACCCGCCTCCAAGGGGAGAGAAACATGTATACAGACCTGCGGGTGTGGGGCCTAAAGAAGGAGAAAGGGGGGAGCTTCTGTGCAGCAGAGAGAGATACCGGCGCAGAATGCCCAGGCTGAGAGCAGGTAGATAAGGCTAAAACGGGGTCAAGGACACGCCCTGGTCCACAGGGAGGCTTTGGACCCAGGGGCACGTGGCTAGGCTAGGGAGAGGAGCCCTAACCCTACTATCGAGATGAGGAGATTGAGGCTCAGAGGGAAGTCTGAACCTTGTTCCACCTCCCCTTTGTATCCACCTTACTCCCAAGAACGTTTGTTGAGTGAATGCATGAAAGCACAAACGCACGCATGAGTTTCCATTATGACCGGCGCTCGCCGAGGCTGACCTGCAGGCCCAGCTTGTCCGCCAGCCACGGCGTCCGCAGCACGGGGATGTTGTGCCGGAGCGTGTAGGACAGGGAGACGTGCTCTGGCTGCCGAGTGAACGTCAGCTCCTCCGACACCTGCCCGCGGGGACAACTGTGAGACCTGGGCCTTGGGCTGGGCTGTCCCCAGGACCCCCACAACCCCCTGCCCCCAGCTCCTGGAGGCCCCACCTGCAGAGCCCCACACCTGTTTGTCGTCGACTCGGACCCACAGGGTTCGTCTGTAGCCCAGCCTGTGGCTCTCGGTGGCCAGATCCAGCAGGACACGGGCTGGGAGGCCCAAGGGGCTGGGCTGGGGGAGGCTGTGTACCAGCAACATAGCCACCTCCCGCTGGGTCTGCGAAGGAGGCAGAGAAGCAGACTCCGTGCCTGGCAGGTGGCCAGAGTGCCCCACGGAGGGGAGCATAAAGTACTCAGACATTAAATCAAGCCCCGTCTCCCCCTCCCTGTTGTCTACCGCGCCCTAGAAGAACAGTCAGGGGAATTTCCACCAAAGGCAGCGAACGTATTTTGGGATGCCGGATAGAAAGGAAGGGGCAAGTGCAAAGTTCACGGGGGAGGAGAGGAACCTCAGAAAGGCAGGCTTCGGCGAGGTTGAGGGAGGGACCCACAGACTGTTTGAGAAGGACGTGCCTTAGGGGCGCCTGGGTGGCTCAGTGGGTTAAGCCGCTGCCTTCGGCTCAGGTCATGATCTCAGGTTCCTGGGATCGAGTCCCACATCGGGCTCTCTGCTCAGCAGGGAGCCTGCTTCCCTCTCTCTCTCTCTCTCTCTGCCTGCCTCTCTGTCTACTTGTGATCCCTCTCTGACAAATAAATAAATAAAATCTTTAAAAAAAAAAAATAAAAAAAAAAAAAAAGAGAAGGACGTGCCTTGCAGGTTGGGATGCAGCAGAGAGAAAAACATCTGGACAAATAAAAGACCAAAAAAAAAAAAAATCCCGAGACGTTCAGACGATGCTCACAGAAGGGCGTGAAGAATGACCTGCAAGGCTGCTCCGCCTACTGAAGTGATGGTCAGCGACTTTCCCAGGCAGCTCGGGGCTGGCTGGCGAGCTCTGAGAGAATCAATCAGGCGGGGCTGAGCCCACACCCCCTCTCTGATCTAGCGGTTCCACTCAGCCCGTGTTCACCGGAACACAAGCATACCAGCGAGCTTGAGGCAGTGTTATTTGCAAGAGGCAAAAAGTGGACGCTTGCATCCCTAAGAATTGAAAGCCGGGTCTTGGAAAGAGATCTGCGTGACCGTGGTCCTAGGAGCACTGCTCCCAGTACTCAAAGGTCAGAAACAACTTGAACATCAGCAGACAGATGATCAACACGGTGTGGTCTGTCCACAGACACAAGTCCCCCAAGTCCCCGTGGCGTTGCTGGGACTTAAGGAAGGAGGGACACTCTTACAGCAGCGACAATGGGGGGGAAACCTGAGGGCGTGATGGTTGGCAAACAGAGCCAGTCACAGAAAGACAGATGCTGTGTGATTCCGCCTGCAGGAGGTGCCCTGAGTAGTCAAACCCAAAGAGACAGAAAGGGGAAGGGTGGTTGCCAGGGGCTGGGGGGAGCAGGGAACGGGGAGTTGCTGTGTCATGGGCATAGAGTTTCCCTTGTGCAGTAGGAAGACAGTCCCGGAGATGGAGGGTGGGGAGGGCTGCACAGGAACATGGGTATTTGGAAGACCACTGAACTTTCGACTTAGAAATGGTTAGAAGGTTAATTTTTTAAAAATTACATATTTATTTGTCAGAGAGAGAGAGAGCAAGCACAAGCAGGGGAAGCAGCAGGCAGAGGGAGAAGCAGGCTTCCCACTGAGCAAGGAGCCCGATGCAGGGCTCGATCCCAGAACCCTGAGATCGTGACCTGAGCTGAAGGCAGACGTTTAACCGACGGAGCTCTCCAGGCATCCCAAGATGGTAAATATGTATTTTACAATAAAAAAAATTCTTAAACAAAATAAAAACAGGTGCATGACGAATTAATAAGATCTACAGTAAAAGGATGACAGCCCCCAAAAGCTAATGGGTAGAAGGACAGAGAGCCTGTAATACATCCACACTGTCAAATACTATACGGCAATGAGGTATGATCGACAACAAGGCAGGAAATCTCACAAACCTAATGGTTTTTTGGTTTGGCTCTTAAAAGATGCACTTATTTGAGGGGAGAAGGAAGAAGGAGAGGGAGAGAAAGCCTTAAGCAGACTCCACGCTGAGTGCAGAGCCCGACACAGGGCTCGAACTCACAGCCCCGAGATAGGGACCTGAGCCGGAACCAAAAGACGGATGCTCCAACGACCGTGCCCTCCAGGAGCCCCGCACAAAAATGTTGAAGAGGAGGCAGGTGTGAAAAGGAAGACGCTGCGTGCTTCTACGGACGGACGGGACATTCAAGAACATGCATGTGGGGGGATTCCTGGGTGTGCCCGGTGAGAAGAAGGGGGCCCGAGTGAGGCTTCTGGGGTTCTGGTCACATTCTGCGCTTTGAGGTAGGTGGTATTTGCTTTGTAAAAATGCCACCAAGCTGAGTACTTTCCATCTCTGCCCGCTCCCTGTCATGTTTGTTATTACATTTCCATAAAACCTTTTTTTTTTTTTTAAAAAAGCAAACGAGCAAGAGAAAAGTGGGGGGCCGTGGGGCTTCTTGTTGGAAGCCTCATGCCTCCACGTACGGGTCCCGAGGCTCCCATCTCGAAGCTAGGAGAGCACCCGGTGCTTCTCCTCGGGCCTCAGCACCCCTTCTCTGGTGTCCCCAGGCACCCCGACCCCTGTGATCTGACCTCGGTAGCCTTGAGGGTGAGCAGTCCTCCCAGTGAGCTCTGGTTCATGGCGACTCGGACCCGGGCGTCCACAGCCACAGAGTTCACGGCGACGGCCCCGGAGCTGTTGACTCGGTCAGGGAACCCCAGGGCCTGGAGAGGTTTTGAGACACCAAAGCCAGGCTCTCAATCAGGGGTCCTAAGACCTCCCTCTCGAACTGTCCACCCAGTGGGATGTGAACGTCTTTCTAGGACAGGGTTTGTGGCTTTGATCACGGTCTCAAAGTGCCCGAGGGCCCCCTGGCTGCAGCTCTCTCCACTGTTGAATGAGTTTCCCCCTCCTGCCTCCCCGCCCTTCCCGAATCCCCAGGGATCTGATTTTGGCATCAGGAGACCCCGGTCTTGTGGACCAACCTGCCCAACAATCTTACAACCAGAGGAGCTGGAGAGCCCTCCTCCTCTCCCCCTCCCCTCCCGGGGCAGACCCAGCTCTCCCAGAGAGCTCCCAGCACTCGCAAGAGCCCTCCAAGGCTTCCTTGCCTTAGCACGGGGCAGGGAAAGACACGTCCATTCTCCAGCCCCCACCGCGCCCTGGGCCGTGATGGGCCGCGGGTGTCTGCTGTTTTAACTACTCCTGATAGCAGAGGCGTCTTTACGACTCATTTTGTGATAAAACTGAGACCCAGAAAGGAAGGATGACTTGCTCAAGGCCACCCAAAGACAAGGGGGCAGAGCCACGTCTCAGTCTAATGCTTCCTGGCCTCCCAGGTGGCCTTGCCGGCATGGGCTTTGCTGAGACCCGCACCTGCCTGACACAGCCTCCAACCCTCTTACCCCCTCCCTCCTTGAAAGGCCTTTCTCCCAGGCCTCCAGGCCCCTCCTCCCTTGGGTTTCTCGCCCTCCCTTGCTTGTCCTTGGTAGCTGGTACCCAGAGCTGCTCCCTGATGCCCCGCCCCAGTCCACACCCACCCCACGGACATCTCAGCCAGTCCCCCGGCTTTCAGAGACTACAGCCAAGCTCCAGACTCCGAGAGCTGCCCCCCACAGCTTCACCTGGGCATCCAACAACCCTGGCAAGTTTAACACGTCCAAGATGGGACTGGGTTGGGGACGCCTCCCCAGCCCTCCTCTTCCCACTGTGCTGCCCATTACAGGCACCAGCAACCCCAGCCCTCTCAATGCACAGGACACAAGCAGAGGAGACGCCCTGTTCCCCTGCCCCCTCTCTCACACCCCCGCTCCCAAACCTCCAACCAGTTCTCTGTCTCAGCCTCTACAAAGGATCCTGAATCTGAGCGCTCTCCCACCTCCTGTGCTTTTCATACAGCAGGAGTCAACAAAGGAAGGTGGATGGGCCACACCCAGCCCATTACCTGCTGTTACAAATAAAGCTTTCTCGGCACATGGTCACGCCCATTTGTGTGTTTATTGTTTATATGGTGTTTTGTGCTGTAACCACAGGGCTGAGTAGTTACCACAGAGGCTACACAACCTGCAAAAGCCGAAGATATTTACTCTCTGGCCTTTTAGAGAAAGGCTTTGGTGACCCTGGTTCTAGCAAATGCTTTGCCTCTCTGGCTCTGCCTCAGGACCTTTGCACTGGCCCTGCCTAGAAGGCTCTCTCCCCAGATAGCCACGTTCCTTCTTCTCCTTCAAGTCTCTGCTCAAATGTCATCTTGTCTTTGGGGCCAATCTTGACTAACTTTTAAAAATTGCAGTGTGTGTCCTGTTATTCACGCCGCCGTTCCCACTTTCTGCCTCGCCGTAGTCCTTACCACTAACTGATACGGCCTGCACTTCGCTGATGGATGCCTGGGGTTGCCTGCCTCCCGCAGGCAGGCATTTCCCTCTGCTGTATTTCCAGGGCACAGAGTGGGCTCAATAAGTGTTTGACGAGTCCCTTCCTCTGGGGTTTAATCTCTCTCATTTCTCCAGTGGTTGTAAAGAAGGCCCCGCCCTGCCCCTGGAGACTGTGGGGCCTACCCACCCACCATGCCTCAGAGCCCCTTACCTGCAGGGCCTCGCAGGAGCTCTCAGCCAGCACCCACCAGTGCAGCCCGTGGTCTAGGCGCAGCTTGCCACCGCCCTGCAGCTCACAGGCCCCCGCCTGCAGCTCCAGACCCAGCCGGTGCCCGGCTGCCCACCCAAGCTGGACGCTCAGCAAGGCCTCCGGGGGGATGGCCCGCAGCATGGGCAGCGTGTGACTCAGTTTCACTCGGAGTGTGGCCTCTGATGGGTGCACGGCCGCCGCCAAGGTCAGGGACGCGGTCTGGCCGGGCGATGCGAGGGCCCCGGACACCGCTGCTTCTCCACCTGTGGCTTGCAGGGAGCCATTGAGCTGCGTCCCTGCTGGGAGGCCCAGGCCCTGGCAGACCAGAAGGGGGTCAGAGAGAGGTCCCAGGTCAGGAGCGAATCTGATTCTCCATCTGCCACCATCTCATCCCTCCAGCCCCCCAGCCCCCCAATCTGTGCTTCCCTCACCCCACAAAAGAGCAGCAGTCCCAACACACAAGTAACCAGTGTAGAATGTCAGTACCCACACAGCCTCATGCTAAGTGCTCTGCAGGAATCACCTTTCTTCAGCCTGTCCCCAGCCCGGAGCTGGGCAGTCGCTGTCCCCATGTGACAGACGGGGAGACTGAGGCTCAAAGAGGCAAAACGAATGAATGTCCACAATACCAGGGGTTACCAGCAGAGCTCAGGTCTGTACCCAATTGGTCTTCTACAGTCTGTGCCTTTAATCTAGGCCATCAGGTAGGATAGTCACTAACCACATGGGGCTGTTTCCATTGAAATTAAAATGAAGCAAAAGGAGGAATTCAGCTTCTCGGTTGCACCAGTGAGTGCCCTGCTCGGTAGCTACGTGAGGCTAGTGGCTACTGTCCCGGACAGCAAAAGAAGAACTTATCCATCATCCTAGAGTGTGAGTGGGTGGGTCTCCCATGATGCTTTACGCTCTCGTGGGTGGCTCAGGGGTGTGCTGATTTAATAGTGATGGCATCTGTGAGTGCCCGGGGATGCCGAGGGGACCAGACCCTGTCCCTACCCCCAGGAGGCTCCACTGGGAGGGGAGAGACAAGGTGACAGGCAGGATGACAGTCTGTACTGTCTGACTCAGTGTCCCCCTTTCCTGAGACTCAGGTTCTCCTCCCCCAAATATCACAGGAGAATTCTCAGACCATCTCGTGGCCCAGATAAAGCCCAGGCTGTGGTTTCATAACCGAGACGTGCCTGTCCCCACTGTCAGCAGAGGAGAGAGCCCCTCATTGCCTTCCTGCACTCAGAAGGTCACTGAAATGACAAATTCATAAATTGCAACTGTGTGGTCCTTCCACGGCACAGCTCTGAGTGACCCTTATCTCTCTCGGCCTCAATTTTCCCATCTGCCAAAGGGGAATATAAGACTAGAGAGGAACCGAGTGCTGGAGAGAGAATTTGGGGAAGAGTGGCAGGGGTCTTGAGAAGCGCGGAGGAGGGAGCCGGCCAGGCTCAGGCCGCACACTGGCAGGGGCTCTGGAGGCCTCCCCCCGCCCCCAGCTGCCTCGTTGGCCCACCATACACACCTCCAGCAGCAGGCAGCCAGGCTCGGTGGCCAGTGTCCACGCGCTCTGGTTCCCACGCTGCTCCAGCATGCCCTGTAGCCGGCATGGCCCCAGTTGGAGGGCCAGGGAGCTGCGGGCAGCAGGGTGGGGCTGGACAGCCAGGCTGATGGCGCTGCTGGGGGGCAGTCCCAGGCGGCCCAGCAGGGGCAGGGAGTGGACCAGGTGCCCGACAACAGAGGTCTGGGGCCCACAGGTGCGGGCCAGCTGCAGGAGGGCATCTCCTCGGTCACTGTGGAGGCCCGTGGCCAGACTGACCTCACAGGGGCCCCAGCTCAGGCTGCCCTCGGCGTGCAGGGCCTGCGGGAGGCCCGTTGCCTGGAAATGGAGAAGTGGCTGGAGTTAAGGGCAGCTTTGGAAGCCAATGTCGGGGAGCTGGGCATGAGCCTGGCTGGGAAGACGGCGGTGTCGCCGTACGGGCTCAACTCCACCAGCACCTCCCTCTGCAAAGTAGCCAATACCCTGGGTACCCCATGGACAAAGGTAGGCTCCAGTTCTGGGTCCACCACTGACTCTATCTTGCTGAACCTGAACCTCAGTTTACCCATCTGGGAAATGGGGGTTGATCACAGCACCCTGAGTCCCTGGGAAATGTCAACGAGTTAATGCTTGTGACTGGCTGGCCAGAGGCAGGCACCCAGAAAACACCGGCTGCTGGAAATTCAGCACTGACATCAATGATCGTTGGCTGGAGGGCGGAGAGCCTAAGTAACTTGTCCCACTGGGGCTGACGACATGCCCCTCACGGAGGCACGGACCCAAGATGGAAACGAGAGGGGAGTGATGCGCTTAATTCCACTCCGGTCTCCCAGCTTTTCTGGGCCCCAGACCCCAGGACTAGGGACACAAGCAGCCCCTTCCTAGCGGGAGTGAGGATTTGAGGAGCACATCTGAGAAGCTTCAGAGAGTACTCAGCACACAGTGCTCACAAAAGTCAGCACGTACTTCTCAATATTCTCATGAGTCCTCCCAGACCCTGAATCCTAGAGGCAGGATGAGCGAGATCAAGAGAAAAGAATAAACTTGAGCCCCAGAACAGAAGCCAACCAGGGGGGCCCCCTTTGTGAAAAGGAAGACTATTCACGTCCGGGTTCCATTTTTGGCTCAAAGTTTTGTACTCGATGCCTCCCCCCAAATCAGGGGATAATGGCAAGACAACAGAAGTTTTTCATGCTGAGAGCAGAGCTGGGTATACAGTAGGAAGTTAATAATATAGAGGGGGGCAGGGGTCTGGCCAGGCCTCTGCACTGCTGGGTGTGGGGTGGGGAGGGGGCTTACCTCCAGCAGAGGACAGTGGTTCACCAGGGACAGGGTCCAATTGGTGTGAGTGATGTTGGCCTCAGGACTGACATCCCCACGCGCAGTCAGGGCACACTGGCCAAGGGCCACCTCCAGCCCGGCCCTGGGGGGATCGTGTCCTCCTAGAGACACCTGGATGTGGTTGTCGGGGGCAACCCCCAGAGCCTGAAGGGGAGGCCATGTGTGCTGGAGGCTGGCGTCCAGGTGGGTACGGTGGTGGCCACAGGCTGTGTGGACGTGGGTCCGGGCGAATGTGTCCCCGGAAGTTATCTGAGCCTCCAGCCTAGCCGTGCAGGTGTGGACCAGGAGGGAGCCATTCAAGGACAACACGGCCAGATTCTGCCCCCAAGAAAGGCATGGTGAGGCCGAGCAGGGGTCCCCAGAACACCCCATGAAGCGGTGGTGTGCCTCTGCCTGGCCCGGGTGGTCAAGGGAACCCCCGACCCCTGGGACACCCACATACCCAGGGAACCAGCTCTAGTCCTGACAAGTACTTCTCCCTGAAGAGCTGGAAACGGCTACTCAGGGAGTCATGAAGAAGTTCGGCCCCTCAGAGAATTTCGGGTCCCTGATGTCCCCTCCCCGTAGGCCCGTCTCTGGGTCGCCCCACCCTGAGCGTCATGGTCCCATTTCTGTGACAGAGTCTCAAGTCACTCAACGTCGCTCACGTGGCTTGTCGGGGACATGTCCTTTCTTAATGCCCCCAGAGGAAGTCACCGCTTCTCGGGGTGGGGGGGTAATGTATTCTCAGGATCTGGGGGCCCAGCCTGCAGCCTCGTCAGAGAACCCGGAGCTGCTCACAGCCCCTTCCCCTGGGGCGGGACAGCAGCACCAACACGCGGGAGTGAACGCACACTATTGGTCCCACCGCACTAAACGGAGGCCACACAGGAGGGGTGCATGGCTGGGGGGCCCAGACCACAGGCTCTCCTGCCTCTCCCTCCTGTTCTAGAACTAAGGAATGCCTTGATTTCTAGCCCTTTCCTGGAATTCCAGAGCACAGCTACCTGAAGGAAGGGCTATCCACTCACCACTCCCGTCCCAACCCCCTTCCCCAGTTACTCTTTCTAGCAACCAAGCCCCCCCCCCACCCCCGACTGGGCGCCAGGCGCACAGCTCCCCATTCCATGTGCCCTGGCTTTCAGCTTCATGGGGGGAAGGCAGCCCCTCTGTCCAGCCTGTTAAAAACCCTTACAGTCCTGACCCCCTATTCTCTTAGTTAACTCTCCCACCATTTAGGCCCCAGTGTGACCTTGGGAAAGAGACCCAGCTCCTGCGGGGGATGCCAGCACACAGCCAGGCCAGGACGGCGAGCCGCAGGGGCAGCATACCTCTGTCCTCCACCCCCCGCGGTCCTCTGGGCTACGTCCCCCTCCACTGCCATCAAGCCACAGACTCTGCCAGGCCAGGCCTGCAACCAGCTGCCCACTCAGGTGCCTACAGAGCAGCACTGACAAGGTCTGCAGGAAGCCCTGTGGTTGCCCCAGTGTCTAGTTTACCCCAGGTCCAGGAGCCACAGGACCCGCCAGAGCTCAGGGAGCTCACCTTGCCATGAACTGCCTGTCTGACAGAGAGGACCCACTGCCCACCTATGACAGGGACCCATGTACCTCAAGAGGCTGCCCCGCAAAGTCCCCCTTGCAAAGCCCTGAGAGCTGGGTGGGAGAGGCGTCTCCGCTGCAGTTGACCTGTGGGGAGCAGGGGGGTTAGGAGGCCACGCTGACCGCCTCCACTGGGAATATGGGGACGGGAAGCCTCTGCCCCCAACCTAGAGCCCAGACGGAGCACAGACCTCCAGCTCCACCCTGTCTCCCTTTGTGGAAGCCTCCCTGGGAACAGCCCCCAAGGAGAAGTCCAGAAACCCCAGTGCTACCCCACAGCACCTTCATTAAACTGAAGGAACCGGAGCTCATGTGCTCACGCGCCTGTGTGTGCCAGGCTCTAACTGGTTCTGGGAACCATCAGCAGTCGCGTTTTTCGGATTAGGACACTGAGGCCCAGAGAGAGCAAGCGGCTTGCCCAAAGTCACGCAGAAGGTAAGCCAGGAGGTAGCGGGGCTGCAGGGGGCCACACTGCACCCCGCGCACCCGAATCCGCTCGTCCTGCCTCCCACACACCGCGGACGGTCCGGCCACCCCCGCGCCGGCACGCAGGAGGCTTCCTGCTTTTCGTTCTGGACAATAATGCCAAAGTCAGCTGTGCGTGCGGTTCCCTCGGCAGTGATGGAGTTTCCTCCAGCGGAAGTATCCAGAGGACTAGCCGCCCACCAGGGTATGGGAAGTTTTAACTTTGCTAGATGGGGCTGGGGGGTGGGAGTGGCAGGACAGGTGGGCAAGAGGACGAGTGGACAGAAGAAAGAAGAAAGAGATACAGGCACGGTGGCGTGGATGGAAGGGATGGAGGATGGAAGGGAGAATGGGAAGTTGCGAGGGATGATGAGGGGTCGGGAGGGGCCAAGCCGGGTGGGAGGAGCCAGGCTGGGTGGGAGGGGACGGACAGGGTTGGGCAGGACCAGGGGAGGGTCCTGGGTGTTGTCAGGAGCAGGTGGGTAAGGTGACCCCCAAAGTTGGAGAGACAGGAGGCACCTCTGGTGCACCCACTGGGGGCGGGTCACTCACCCAGAGCCGAGCGGGCACGGTGCCCAGCAGCGCTGAGAGGCCGTGGTGCAGCCCCAGGACTAGCCCGTGGTGGCCGCTCTGTCGCCTCGTCTCTAGGACCACACGGAGCTGCTCGCCATCCACGCTTGCCATCAGCCCAGCCACCACGCGGTGTCCCATGCTCTGGGCAGAAGCAAAGCTGTGGGTGTCCCTGGGACCCAATACCTCCCCAACCCCAGCCAGCACCCAGCCCCCAGCCCCCAACTCACCTGGAAGTGGCCTTGGCCGTCCACGGAGAAGGGGAGGCCCCAGCGCCCGAGGCCAGGCACTGTGTGGGCCAGGCTGGCGTGGAGCCGGCTGCCCGGGGCTCCAGGGGCCGGGCCATCCAGGCTGAGGGCGGCATCCAGCTGACCCCATGCATTCCACAGCGCCAGGCTCGCCGACAGGTCAGAAGCCCCATGGGTGTGTGACAGGAGCATCTCTGCCTCCGAGGGGAGTCCTGGGGGCAAAAGGAACCACAGAGATGGCTGAGCCCAGTCTACACTCTGCAGGACAGGGTCCGCAGGCCTTGGGGCAAACTCTGGCCTCCCAGGTCCCACTTCCCCTAATATATCTGATGGAAGCATATAAAGCGTCAGCATTAAACCATGTCTGATCCTCAGAAGAGATGCCACGCTCAGCAAGTGAGAGGTCGGGTGTCCCCTTTCCATTTCTAACCCCCAGAGACACGAACTAGCTTTCAGGGAGTAGGAGGGGAATGGGGGGGTCCGACCCACTCTCCCCTAGCTGCTGCACCCTTGTGCCACCCCCCACCAAGGCCTTCCTTAAGTCCCCAAGGAGCTAGAGCTGGGGGTGTCCTATCTCCTAACTGTGGTGCAGGAGCATATCCTAGAGCCCGGAGAGACCAGCTTCTAAGACTGAAAAGCTGGGGCGGGGGTATGGTGGGGGTTCGTGGGGTAGGGGCTGGCAGCAGGGGCTCTCTGCCACCAGGCTGGGAAGCATGTCATTACTCAGCAAATGCTGCTGTCCCTGCCTTGTGTGTTCTGAATGAGTCACCAACACCCCGAGGAAGACAAGGAAGATGGAAGCCCTGGGAGATGCTGGCTGGGGAAGGGACCAGAGCCGGAAGGCGGGTTTGGGGGCTGGGGGCTCCTTTCTCTCCCCTCCCCCTTGGCTTCAGGCACTGGGAGCCCTTGGGGAGGAAGACATGTGGCCCCATCCACCCCTCCTACCTGCCTCACTCAAGGTGCTGATGTTGTGACTCAGGCTACCCGAGAGCTGGCCGTGCCCGGGGCCCCAGGCGCAGACCCCACCCAGAGCCAGGCTGGCCTCATCGGCTCGGAGGCGGGCCTGGCCCCCAAGGCTCCCCGTCTGGGCCTGCAGACGCCCTCTCAGCCAGAGCTCTCTTGGCAAGACCTGGCTGCTGTTCTGGGTGAGGATGCCAGTCACGGTGTGTATGCTGGTGCTGTTCCCTGCCGTCTCATGCTTGTCCCGCAGGAGGAAGCCCAGAACGGCTGAGTCAGCAGTGACCCTGACGGTACCTGCAGAGGACGGCAGAGAATTTGTACAGAGCAAGGGGTCAGCCCAGGAGACTGGGCTGCTCTGGGCAGGAGGGAAAATGATCCTGGGGTAGGAAGCTCCTAGATCTGTGATGTACTTCTGACTCTTGTCCTGGGGGAGGAGCCCATCTGGGAAACAGACCAAATTACACCAGCTCCCTCCCAGGATGCTCTGACGACCGAGCAAGCTAATTCACAAAGAAAAAGACTTTGCGGGGGGTGGTGGGAAAAGAAGCAAGCCTGCCAGGGGATGCCAGTTAATACCAGCGCTCCACTCCCACTCAAGAGACTCACGGCCATATTGATAGAAGGGCCCATTATACAGACAATGAAACTGAGACCCAGGAAGACTTGAGGGATTCAACCTGGAACTCCAGGGACAGAAAAGGTCTCATCCTTTCTTGGGGGTCTCATCCACCCAGAGAAGAAGATTCCATACTTTTGGGCAAGTCCATGTCCATATATAACTCATGCAATAGGGAAATTCTTGCTGTTATCAGAACTGTTTGCCTCTCCTGCCCCTACCAGGTTCTCTCGAAGCCTCGGTGTGGTCCAAGTGCCCTTATACCTCCCCCTCCTATCACTTAAGGTTGGACTCATGGGTTATGACCTCCAGGAAGGAGGCCCTTTTGCACCCCTGGGTGCTTTAACCCCCTTTGTTCTGTGCTTTCAGACACAGAAGGCACGCAAGTCTCGATCACAGAGTACACACCACTTTCTGCACAGATAGAGTCTCTCGCAGAATCTTGTGATCATCTTTTTCCAAATTCCTTACGTCATAGGGCCCTACGTCACCATATCCTAGAAGGTATTAGTAACCAGTTAATCATGGGTAACCAGACTAAGATTTCACTAGACTGTTAAGAAGTGAAAGCGAAATGTGGTTGATGGGACAGCATAGAGTCCAGGAACAGACCCCCACACACAGCTGACTGGTATCTGACGAAGGTACAAAGATAATTCTGCAGAGAGAGGATGGTCGTTGTAATGAATGTGCTGAAAGACTGAAAATCCACAAGCAAAAAAATCATCTTGACCTTGACCTGATCATACACCCGAATTAATTCAAAATCAACCGCGAGCCCAAATTTAGAAACCTAAAACCATAAAACTTCTAAGATGGAGCCTCAGGTTTAGTAAATAGAGATGTCTTATATGACAGCCCAAGCATTATTCATTTAAAAAAAAAAATCAGTTGGACTTGATCAAAATTTAAAGTTTCTGCTCCTCAAAAGACCCCCGTGAAAGACTATAAAGCGACAGCTTGGGAGAAGATATTTTCAAAACACACATCTTACGCAGGACTTGTGTAAGTAATTCCCAAATTCAATTTGGGAATTCAGGAAAACGACTCAATTTTTTAAATGGACACTTGACTCATGAACACTTAGAGGTAGCCCATAAGCCTCTGAAAAGATGCTCGACATAATTAGTCCTGAGGAAAACACAAATTTAAACCAAAAGGAGATTCAATTATAAATCACAAGTGAAAACCCCAATACTAAAAATTGACAACACCAATGGCCAGCAAGGGTGCAACGAGGATTCTCACCACGCTGGTGGGAATGTGACATGGGACAGCCACTCTGGAAACATTCTGGTAGTTTCCTATAGATTTCAATGTATATTTGCTGTACAATCCTACAATCCTGCTTCTAGGTATTTGTTCAAGAGCAAAGAAACCGTACAGTCCCACAAAAACCTGTAGGCTGATCATTATGACAACTTCATTTGTAACTGGAAAATACTGGAAACAACCCAAACATCCTTCCACTGTGATAACCAAACCACAGAGTACTACTCAGCAATGAAAAGGATACACTATAGATATGGGCCGCAGCTTAGATGCATCGCAACCACATTATTGGACAAAAGATACTGTACTCCGAAGTTTACATACTCTATGTTCCCACAGATGTCACATTACAGAAAGACCAAAACTGTGGGGATGGACAGCATCTCAGTGGTTGCCTGGGATGGGGGTGGAAGAAAGACTGACTACAATGGGTGGCAGGAAGGGATTTTGGGGGGAGATGGGACTGTTCCGTATCAAGACCGTGGTAGCTACACAACTCTCAGAGGTTATCAAACTGTAAAGGGCTTTTTCCTGTATGGAAATTACACTCCGAGAAATTATACCTCAGTAATTGCCTTCAAAAATGAAATAGTAGGTGTTCAGTGTCGAAGGATGAAAGAGAGACCATCAGCGTAACTCAAAGTAAACTGGACAAGAAGAGTTCTCTGTGACCTTTTTTTACTCAATTGCATTTAAATTTTTTCAAACCTTTCTTATTTTATGATGAAATTTGGTTTTGGCACATTTTCGCCAAACTGGGAATTGGAGGGTTCATGTTAATGTTGCTACTGGGCCAGAGAAGGGCATTCACCTCTTGGGCAAAAGCAGAGTCTTCAGGTTCTGAACCACTGGGCCCTGGACAGATGTCCAGCTGGGTTGCTAGGGTCAAGGATGCTTGAGCAAAAGGTCCCTTTTTTGTGTAATCCTGGCTTCGGGAACACTGTTAATGTTTCACATAATCAGAAAACAAATGTAGAAAATCAGTAAGGATAAGGGAAAACCTAAAAATGGAATACAAACAGAAACCAGTGAACCTGACTGCCTTTCAAATGATTAACAGAATCACATGGCGGAATGGGGGGTGGGGGTTTAACCCTAATGAACTTGTGAACACAGTGTTTGGATTTATGCCTTCAGTGACTGCCCAGGTGGATCTCAACCACATTATGTTCAGGCCAAAGATGGAAAGAACTCTAATCAAATGTTGAATTCTAGTTAATAAAGCTGACTTTCACAGAGGTATAGGTTAGGAACTCTGAAACTACTTCCTATGTATCCTTGGGCTGAACAAGTAAGTAAATACATTGTGGATGATTGGAATCAGGTTTCTTTTTGTTGGAGAAGAAAATGAAAATACAAAAATGGAAAACAATGAGAATGACTTGAGGATACATTGAAATTGAGGACATCAGTGATACCATTAAAACTAATGGTTTTAAACTTACCTATCTGTAGACAGATATAGAAATGTGTATGTGTGAGAGAGAGAATGTGTATATACTTCTATTTTCTAGATCAATCCATTGAGAAGGCCCAGGACTAACAGTCCAGTAGCAATAAACATAGCTAGCACCCAGATCTTACTTTCTACCTACTATTTTGCATTTGAAAAAAAAAATATGGGAAAACAGAAAAAAAGAGTAAAATATACATGAATCCAATTATATCTATAATTACATTAAATATCAATCAACTAACTAGTATAATTAAAAGGCAGAGATTGTCACACTAGACATAAAAGCAAAATCCAACTATATGTGGTCTACAAGAAATTTACCTTAACTATAAGGAAACAGCTATGTTTAAAGAAAAAACACATACAATGTAAATGCCAATAAAAAAGCAAGAGCAGGGGCGCCCGGGTGGCTCAGTGGGTTAAAGCCTCTGCCTTCGGCTCAGGTCATGATCCCAGGGTCCTGGGATCAAGCCCCACGTCGGGCTCTCTGCTCCACAGGGAGCCTGCTTCCTCCCCTCTCTCTCTGCCTGCCTCTCTGCCTATTTGTGATTTCTCTCTCTCTGTCAAATAAATAAAATCTTAAAAAAAAAAAAAAAGCAAGAGCAGGTACATTAGGCATATTTCACAATAAATGGGTTGATTCATCAAAAAAGTATAACAATCATAAATGGTCATATACCTATTTCCAACATGTCAATACACTTGGAGCAAAATGGACAGAATCAATGGACGAAATCCATAATCACAGTTGGAGAGGTTAACACTCTTCTCTCATTAATTGATACAATAACAAGACAAAAAGAAAATCAGTAAGGATATATATCAGAACAGCATAACCAAGCACATTGACCTAACTGACCTTTATAGAACATTACACCCAACAACAGCAGAACACAAATTCTTTGTCAGTGCAGAAGATATGTTCACAAGATAGATTATATACTGGCTCATAAAACAAATCACAAAAAATTTTAAAAACCTGACCCTCTGGCCACAATGGAAATAAATATCAAGAAGCTACCCAGAGATTTTTCAAATATTTGGAAATTAAGCAACATGTTTCCAAATAACTGATGGATCAAGGAAAAAATCACAAGAGATATCCAAAAATATTTCAAAATAAATAATAACAAAATCAAAATTCGTGAGAAGCAGCTCACAGAATAGTGGGAGCCAAACATACAGTTTTACATGCTTATATTGGGAAAGAAAAAAGATCTAAAAATCAACCACTTGAAGGTCCACCTTAATAAACTAGAGTAAATCCAAATTAAGGTTAAGAAAGGAAGTAAGAGATAAGGGCTGGAATCAAAGATACTGGAAAGAGACAACTAGAGAGAAACAAAACTAAATGTTGGTTGACAAGATCAATGAAACTGATGAGATCCTAATTAGCCCAAAGGAACAGAGAGAAGCACAAAGTAACAACTATCAAGAAGGAGAGCACAGACAGCACTATAGATCCCACATACATTGAAAGGATAATAATAGATACAATGAACTACTTTATGCCAATAAATTGACAACTTAGTTGAAACAGACAAATTCCTTGAAAAGTATAACTTACGAACTGACACATGATGAAATAGAAAACCTCAATAACATGCCTGCATGTCCCAAAAAACGTTTCCACAAAGAACACTTGGGGTGACTTTGTGGGTAGAGTCTATCAGATCCTTTAAGGAGCATGAACACCAACCTTACACAAACTCTTTTGGAAAATAAAAGAGAAGGAAATATTCTTCAACCTGTTCTATGAGATCAGAATATGAAGGAAAAAATAAAAACAGGGGAGAAACCTGGCAGGCACTATGTTAACCAAGTGATCAAAGCTAATGTCACCAGTACTGGGACATACTGATGTCAGGTACCTCTGGATATGAAAATATGATGACTCATTACTACTCTGACCTCCTTGAAAGTAGTCATGAGGAAGCGTAAGACCAACCCCCAAATAAGGGATGGTCTACAAAATGACTGTGCCGTACCCTTTGAAAATGTAAATATCACAAAAGGGAAAGAAATACTCTCAATTTTCTGATTTTGATAACTGCACTGTGGAATGTAGGAGACATTTAAAAAATATTTAATATTTATTTAAAATATTAATATTTTATAAATATTTATAATATATTAAATATATTATATTTATTATATTAATTATTATAATTAATAATTATTAATAATATTATTAAATATTAAATAAATATTTATAAATATAAATAAAATATTAATATTTATTTTAAAAATACAATTTTTTAAAGATTTCATTTATTTATTTGACAGAGACAGAGAAAGAGTACAAGCAAGAGGAGTGGCAGAGAGAGATGGAGAAGCAGGCTCCCCGCTAAGCAGGGAGCCCAATGCAGGGCTCCATCCCAGGACCCTGAGATCATGACCTGAGCCTAAGGCAGAGGTTTAACCCACTGAGCCACCTTTTTAGGTAGGCTCCAAACCCAGTGCAGAGGTCAATGCGGGGCCCAAACTCACACCCCTGAGATGGAAACGTGAGCTGAAATCAAGAGGTGGGCACTCATCTGACTAAGCCACCCATGCACCCAGAGAGCATCTTTATTTTTCTTGTATAATTTTTTAAAGATTTTTTTTTTAAGATTTTTTTTTTTTTTTAATTTGACAGAGAGAGCACACAAGTAGGCAGAGCAGCAGGCAGAGGGAGAAGGAGAAGCAGGCTCTCTGTTGAGCAGGGAGCCTGATGCGGGGCTCAATCCCAGAATCCAGGGATCATGACCTGAGCGGAAGGCAGAGGCTTTACCGACTGAGTCACTCTGGCACCCAGAGAGTAACTTTATTTTTAAGAAATAAACACTGTCTGTCAAAAGAAATGAAATCTTGCCATAGGCAACAACGTGGATGGAACTAGAGGGCATTATGCTGACTGAAATAAGTCCATCAGAAAAAGACAATTATCATATTGTCTCCCTGACATGAGGAAGTTGAGAGGCAGAATGGAGGGTTTGGGGGTAGGGAAGGAAAAAATGAAACAAGATGGGATCGAGAGGGAGACAAACCATAAGAGACTCTTAATCGCACAAAATAAACTGAGGATTGCTGGGGGATGAGGGGGAGGGCTGGGGTGGTTGGGTGATGGACACTGGGGAGGGCATGTGCTATGGTGAGTGCTGTGAATTGTGTAAGCCTGATGACTCACAGACCTGTACCCTGGGCAAATAATACATTATATGTTAATAAAAATAATTTAAAAACATAAACAAATGAACACTGCACTATTTAGGGGTGAAGAACCATCACGTCTTCACTTTACAACTGTGTAAAACACAGTTCAGGAATAAAATGAAATAAATATGGTATGTACACACATATACGTGTGTACAGGGAGAGAGAGAAAGAGATAAGGAAAAAGAAAGATAAAGCAATTGCGGTAAGACGTCAGTAACTGATACGGCTGGGCTTATAGGATTCTTTGTACTATTCTTGCCACTTTTCTGTAAGCCTGAAATCACATCAGAATTAAAAGTACTAAAAAAATATGCTTGGGAAACACTGCCCATAACTCTTCCTCCTGGGTTTTTCCAACATCCATTAGTACATTAAAGACTCTGATAAGACCTGCATTAGGAAGCCTGTTTGGTATCTTTGCCAGAATGTGTGTTTGTTTCTCCCACATCAGTGTGTGAGATGCTGAAACATCGTATTAGTGGACTTGAAAACATGCAGGGTTTAGTCTACTCTGAGGTTCTACAGAAAGTGCTTGCCCAAGACCCTCCCTGACCCTGCCCTGTGGCGTTCCCCAGGCTCACCCTCTCTGAGCGTCTCCTTGTGCTTTAGCATGCCCTTGACGGTCAGGAGGCGGGGCACAGCTGTCCAACCAGCCACTGTGTGCTGGGCGTGGCTCTGCAGGGTCAGGAGCTGGCCTCCCCTCTGCTCTGCGGAGGCCTTGAAGAGCAGCTGAGCCGTGCTCTGGTCCACCAGCACCTTATACAACAGCCAAACCCTAGGAAGGAATGTGACAGGGGTAACAGATAGTGCCCACCCCTGTAGCAGGTTATAAGAGGTGGGTCCCTGAACCCCACTGTCCAGACTCATCATAGCACTGCTTTTACTGGGTTCTCAACCCCCAGGGACACAGTGTAATAGGGGTTAAGATCATAGGCTTTGGAGTCAGCCAAACCTGGGTTTGAATCCCAGGGCTGCTCACTACTCACTAACTGTGGCCTTGGACAAGGACCTGACCTCTGTGAGCCCCAGTTTCTCCTTCCGTAAAATGGGGGATAAAACAGAACCACAGATGCGGAGCTGATGTTGCTGGTAAGTTATCAGTGCATCATCTGATGATGAGCAATGAGAAAATAAAGCTTCAACAAGCCTGGTATTCAACTCCTCGGAGAACTGGGGAAGAGGACACAGTCCCAATCATCCACCCAGATGTTCTTCATAGGACACCATGGGAGACGCCTCCCTGGAGGGTCACCACCAGAAACAAGATCAGTCATGCCTTCCTTGATGCATACTCACACAGGTGTGAGCGGGCATGTGTCTGTGTTTCCACATGGCCTTTGCAGATAACATCACCTGTTGGTTTCCCTTTTCACCTTGACTACTAGGATGCTCAGAGCCAAATTTTAAGCTGAGCTCTAAAAACGTCCAGGACCTCATGACATGCATGTTGTTCCCTAAAGCCACTTTGAGCACCTTCCTGTTTCCTCCATTTTTCTCTTCCCTTCACGCTCACATCCTCATGTGCTTTGAAAAAGCTAGAACAGATGGGAGACAATGATGGACATTCAGACAGATGGGTGAATCCACGGATGGACAGCTCTAGGTGGCAATTCTGTGGACAGGGTTATCTAGAACCATCCCCAGAGCCTTGAGTCTCCTCCAATTCACAAAAGCTGCCAATGCTGGGACGGCAGGGGAAACAGGGCACTGACATTTAACAGAGAACTGAACTATGCCAGAATGAGTCCTACTCCGAGGGCCAGTGACAACGGCAGCTGGTCAGTGGACATCCTCGCTGGTCAGGCACTGGTGAGGCAGGCACGTTAATGCTCTGTTAACCTGAGGACAACCCCAAGAATCAGGAGGAGAAACTCAGGCACAGGAGGGCATGGTGGCTGGCCCAAAGTCCCAGAGGCTGAGCTGGGGTTTGAACCCGGGCGGCTGGCTCCAGACCCAGGATCCTGAGGGCCATACTGTAATGGACAAACCCGCATGCGAAGACACAGTCCAAGGTGAAAGGCTGCACCCACACACTCCCTGTGACTATCTCTAGAGACTCGTGTTTTATGCTTCATGCTTTATTGTCTTTCAAGTGAGCGACAATGAATGCAGTTGTTACTAAGAAAGCAAAGAAAAAAGATTAACGTGGAAAACTGACTGCCTCCTCCTTCCTTTCCCTCAATGGGTTAAAATCAAGAACAGCCTAAGGAGCGGGGATTTAGACCTGGTCCCTGAGTGATGCAAGAGGGTTCCTCTCTGCGCAAGGATTTCCCATCTCCTAGGACACCAGCCCTTTGCTCTCGGAGGCCCTTCCCCTGCCTGGCATGGCCCCCGGAGACCCTCACCTGGCTGGGGCCACCTTGCTGGACAGCTGCAGCTGAACAGCTCGGGGGGCGCTGAAGACTGCCTGGTGGAGGAGGACTGTCATGTCCCAGCCCCAGCTGTGTCTCCGGGCGTCCTGGCTGGTGTCGGCCTCCAGAAGAAGCAGCTCCTGGCCGGACGTGTGTACAGACAGGGAGCCACTGAGGCTGTGGTCTCTGTGTCGTCGGGCAGCTGCCTGTACCTGAGAGGAGGCAAGAGAGGGCTTAGAAGTGGAGGAAGGACTGGAAGGGTCTGTGGAAGCCCGCTGGGTGAGAGGGCCCCTCCTCCAGGAAGCCTTCCTGAGCCTCACCAGCTCTGAGAACCACCAAGCACAACAGACAGCAAGCACACAGGAAGAGGGGAGGTGGAGGGAGTGGTGGTGGACTGCCTTCCCTGACCCCAGCTCCTGGCCCAGGAGTAGAGTCATACCTTGTCCTTCCCAGCATGTGTGCAATGGGGATTACCATCTTACAGCTAGGGAGACTGAGGCCCGAGAAGGGTCACATGTTTAATATGGGCCTGTCTGCGCTCTAAAACTCATGCTTGTGCTGGAAGGGAGGAGCTGGGGGAGGGAACAGAAGACCCCTGGGCCACTCCGTTACAGGAAAGGATGCCCACAACAGTGGCCCCCTGGGGGACCCAGAAGACCCACAGAAGTTCTGGAGCTCAAAGGGGAGGGTGCCCAGGGCCCAAGCAGGAGCTATACTGGGGCGGGGATGGGAGCAGGGAGCCCTGCTCCACCACCAACTCTGCAGGACCTGAAGCCCCTTTCCTCATCCAGGCCTCAGTTTACCCATCTCCAAGGCAGAAGTTGCTCCAGCCCTAGGATGTATATTGTAGTCAAATGGGAAACCTTTAAAAGCACGCCTGGTCCCTCCAAAGAGGAGCTGATGAACGGGTCCGTCCACACAAGGGAGTATCATTTAGTGATGAAAAGAAACGAGCTCTCAGGCCACAGAAAGACATGAAGAATCCTTACATGTATCTTACTAAGCGAAAGCAGCCAGTCTGAAAGGCTACACACTGGATGAGCCCAGCTCTGCAGCCTTCTGGAAAAAGGTAGAACGAGAGACGAAGGTGGTTTGGTGGTAGCGGGGCAGGGTTGGGGGCGGCGGGGGTGGGGGGGAGAGAAGGGATCCACAGGTGGGACATGGGGGATTTTCAGGGCAGTGAAACCCTTCTGTGTAGTACAGTAAAGATGGGTACATGACATTCTGTGTTTGGCAAAACCCACCGAACTACAGACCCCCAAGAGTGAACCTGGATGTAAACGAGGCACTTTGGCTGATAATAATGTGTTAATATCAGCTCTCCAGTTGGAACGTACTACACTAATGCAAGAGGTTTGTAAGACGGAACACTGTGTGTGTGCGGGGCGGGGCGGGGGGCGTTGTATGGCAACTCTCCATATTTTCTGTGCCACTTTTCTGGAAACCTCGAAGTGTTCTGAAAAATGAAGCTTTATTAATTTTTTTTTAGAAGTTCGCCTTAGGGGGTGCCTGGGTGGCTCAGTGGGTTCAAGCCTCTGCCTTCGGCTTAGGTCATGATTCCAATGTCCTGGGATCGAGCTGGGATCTCTGCTCAGCAGGGAGCTTGCTTACCTCTCTCTCTCTTCCTGCCTCTCTGCCTACTTGTAATCTCTGTCAAATAAATAAATAAAAATCTTTTAAAAATCAAGATTTAAAAAAAAAAGAAGACGTTTGCCTCAGACCCCCTGACCAATCAGCACAGCATCTCCAGGCCGGGGTCCAGGCAGGTTCTAAAATCCCCCATGGGGGTAGGAGAAGAGTAAATGAAACAAGATGGGATTGGGAGGGAGACAAACCATAAGTGACTCTTAATCTCACAAAACAAACTGAGGGTTGCTGGGGGGAGGGGGGTTGGGAGAGGGGGGGTGGGGTTATTATGGACACTGGGGAGGGTATGTGCTATGGTGAGTGCTGTGAAGTGTGTAAACCTGGCGATTCACAGACCTGTACTCCTGGGGATAAAAATATATTATATGTTTATAAAAAATAAAATTAAAAAAATAAAATAAATAAAATCTTTAAAAAATATTAAAAAACATTTTTAGGTAATATATAATAATATGTATCATTATACATAAATATATATATCAATTTTAATATCAGTATAAAATACATAAATATCAATGTATAAAATATATATATTTGTATGTGGTACGTAAAAATATAGAAATATATATAAAATATTAAAAAAATAAGATAAAATAAAATCCCCCATGGGAGGAATCCAACGTGGCTTGGGCTGAGAACTTTTAGGGTGCACCCGTGTTTTCCTCTGACTGGCCTCTCCGTGGACCTGAAGACTCCCACAGACCATGCATTCTCGATAGGAGCAGTATCGCCCCCAAATGCAAAACCTTGTTTGTTGGGGGTAGATTTAAATTATAAAACAACTTGGGGTGCCTGGGTGGCTCAGTGGGTTAAAGCTTCTGCCTTCAGCTCAGGTCATGGTCCCAGGGTCCTGGGATCGAGTCCCGCGTCAGGCTCTCTACTGCGTGGGGAGCCTGCTTCCTCCCATCTCTCTCTCTGCCTGCCTCTCTGCCTACTTGTGATCTCTCTCTCTCTCTGTCGAATAAATAAAATCTTTAAAATAACAACAACAACTTATGTGCAAATCACAGATGTGCATACAGCACACAAAAATACGGGATGTCCGTGCAATTAAAATATCACAGAGGGGGTTTATGGGATGCGCTGGCTGGATCGTGCAAGCACACACTGAAGGACCCTATTGGTCACTGTCTTAAGAATGTAGGGATCCCGGGCTCCCGCTATATTCCCATCAAGCAGGATATGCAAAAGAAAACATGTTCTGTACTCAAGGTCATGGGCTCTGACAGTGGCCAGCTTAGAGCATCTCCTTTGTAACAAAGAATGTCCACATAGCAGGCCTTGAGCTCCCTGGAGCACTGGTCATGCAAGGAGGGAGAGGCTACAAACGGTTGCTGTGCTATTCAAGCTTGCTGTGCAGAGATCCCAGCTGTGGATGTTGGGTCCAGTCCTCTGCTCCCGGACTCCCCGTACGTAAGTTCCCCCGCTAAACCTCTCTCTTGATTGCTGTATCCAGGCCATTTCTTCGGTCTCACTGGGCCATCCCCCAGCCTTGGCTTAGAGCCTGCCAGGGATCAGCAGCATAACTGGGGAGCTAGCTAGGAAGCTGGAGAAAACCCTATGAGTTCTGAGGTGCCGGAAGGGGGAAAAGGGAAATCCGTGGGGAGAAATGCCAAGTTGGCCAGTGACCTCTGTGTGGGGTGGAGCGGCCCACGGGTCAGATGCTTGTGGACCACCGCATGAGAACGGGGACGGAAATGCCAGCAAGTCTAATGGACGTGTGAGAAACCGTGTGCTGTGGCAGGGAAGGGACGGGAGAGCAGGATAATAAATTAGAGACCTCCATGCACCGTTGTGCGAAGCCAGGAGGTCCCAGGATGCCACGGATTAAGATCTGGGCCCTTGACTACTAGGTATTTATCTAAAGGATACAAAAATACTAATTCAAAGGGAAACACGCCCCCCGATGTTTACAGCAGCGTTATCTGCAAGAGCCAAACTATGGAAAGAACCCAAATGTCCATCAGCTGATGAACGGATCAAGAAGATGTGGTGTGGACACACAACAGAGTATGTCTCCGCCATAGAAAACGAGCGGAATCTTGTCATTTGCAATGACATGGATGGAGCTAGATGGGATTATGCTGAGCAAAACAAGACAGTCAGGGAAAGGCAAATACCATATGCTTTCACTCATACGTGGAATTTAAGAAACAAAGCACATGAACATAGTGGGATATAAAGAGAGACGAACCAACAAAAAGACTCTTAACTCTACAGAACACACTGATGGTCAACAGAAGGGAGGCAGGGGTGGGGGAGATGGGAGAGACAGGTGATGGGGATGAAGGGGTGCACTTGTGATGAGCCCTGGGTGCTGTATGGAAGTGTTGAATCCCTATATTGTGCTCCCGAAACTAATATTATATTATATTATAGTTATAATATTATAACCGAAGGGAGAGGCTTAACCCACTGAGCCACCCAGGCGCCCTTATTACATTGTATTTTAACTGAAATTTACATATAGTCTTGGAAAAGGAAAAAAAAAAAAAATCCAGGCACTTGTAACAAAGTCCGGTTAGGACACTAAGAGGTAGAATCTCTAAAAAGTGACCGATCTATCTATCTAGGGAAAACTGACGAGGAAACAGACAAAATTCCCCATGTTTTCTAACCGCCACTACAAAGAGAAAGTTTTTACAGCAATTATCCTCCTAACTCCTAGAAGAAAAACTAAAATCCTTTCTCTGTCTCTTGAAGTTGTAAATCTTGTCCTATCTTTATAACATGTACGCCCCAGGAAATAACCAAACATCAACACAGAGACTGAAGAAAAAAGAGGAGGGAAGAGACTCTTTAAAATACAGATTGCTAGGAATAATAAGGAAAGCCACTCAGTATGTAGGAAAGGCAGGAGATGCCTAAAAAAGCTTTCAAAATGAGAATATATTTTGGTTAAGGAGAAAAAAAGTAAATTTGTCCTGAAATGAGACTGGCTGTTTAGAGAGAGGAAAGCTTAGGACAAAATCTAAATGAAAAAAGAAAGCTGTAGAAGGTTCGCGAAGGGGACTCTTAGGAAAGAATTTTATGCCTGGTCAGGACTAAGATTGGAATAAGTTTGTAAACTACATTGGTGTAAGATTAGAATTTGATTTGTCCCTCTGTTAAAAAGACAAAAGGTTTCTTGGTCTGCTCTTGATAAAAAAAAAAAAAAAAAAAAAAAAAAGTCAACAATTTTTCTTTTTTTACTCTGCCCAGAAAAACAAAGTTTCTACATTTTGCCTTTACTGGGCTGAAAAGAAACTCTCATGAGATTTTTAACCACGGCCATTTTATGGAGACTTTGGTTGTTGGCAGAGTTACTGTTCTACTCTGCCAAATGCAAAATGCGTTCCTGCAAAAGTGCTCGTCTCCCCGGAAATTCATGGAAAGGACTTTGATGGGTACGAGTTTCTGGGAAGGAAGATCAATTTACCTTCGTGTAGGAGGGACCGGGGATGAACCTTTCCAGCGGTCCCCCAGGGCCACCTGTGTACTGCCACACTATGTCATGGGATGGTAGCCTGCGACCTCTCCCTGCTCTCCCATCCCCGCATCAGTGAGACAGGCACCTATCACTGATGATATTAACATTAGCACCCAAAGTCTTGCCTCGGCTGCAGGAAACCTTGCAGGCTTGGCCCGGGGCTCCTGTGAGGGAGACGGTGGGCCGGGAACCCACAGACACTTCAGGGTCCTGGCTTATCAGTCAAGCACTCAGGTGTTATCTGATTGGAGAAGACAAAGTTGTTCCTGCAGCGACCACTGAAAGACACAGGCATACCATGCCTCACCACCCCAAAGCAGCTGCAGGCCTTCCTAAGACTGTTAGGATACCAGCGTCCGCTCAGTCTTCACCTGGCCTCATTGCTTCAGCCTCTTTTAGATTGGTTAAAGAGAGAGAGAAAGAGAGAGAGGGCACCCAAAGCAAAGCATGTGACCAAGCCAAGGTGGCTGGTGGACAGACCCCAGCCTTGGGCATTCAGGGACAGGGACAGCCATGCAAGTTCAAGGATACGTTCCAAAAAGGCAGTGCACAGACCATGCCTACTTGCAACAATGCTGTACCTTGACAAAAACCCCCAGTGGGGAGAAGCACTACCCCCGCGGCCGGGTGACTCAGGTCATCCTGAAGGACAGCCATTCACGGGGACAGCGGCGCCCCTGCAGGGGCCATCCTCTGTGCCGGAAGGAGACGAACAAATCCCTGAGCAAGGGGCAGCCCCACAGCCATCCCGCCCTCCACGGGGAGTGTCTGCATAGACTCCAGCACTGGACCGAGCTTCGAGCATGGATGCTATAGTTCCGTGAGCCTGATCCCAGTGTTCCTTTTGTTTTGTTTTGTTTTTTTAATGATTTTGTTTTATGATTTCATTTATTTATTTGAGAGAGAGTAAGAGAGAGAACACGGGTGGGGCAAGGGGAAGAGGGAGAGGGAGAAGCAGGTGCACCCCAGAGCAGGGAGCCCAACATGGGACTCGATCCCATGACCCCAGGATCATAACTGGGGCAGAAGGCACCCACTTACCCTAAGCCACCCAGAAGCCCCTTCAGTGATTTTAAGTAATCTCTACAACCAACGTGGGGCTCGAACTTACAACTCCAAGATCAAGAGTCACGTGCTCTACTGACTGAGCCAGCCACGCACCCCACGATGCCACTGTTCTGTGCACAGACAGCTGACAGCTGGATGGTCTACGGAGGACTGACCTGTAGGAGGACCTCCTGTTCCTGCAGAGGCACAGGACAGGATGGGGGCAGGGCGCCCACTCCAGGGAAATGACCTACAGAAGGACATACTCCAATGCCTAAGAAGGATAAACATCACCGTTTTCCATGTGGGTGCACACACCACACACACCCCAGCTGGAAACCAACAGGCCAACGGGTTGGCCTGTGTCTGCCTCCTTACAAAGACCTTGCGCCTGTCTGCCAACAACGCCCAACCTGTGCTGGGAATGACCGTGACCTTGGCCAGGACACACTGGACAGGGAGCAAGGGGGCAGACTGACGGCACGGGTCCCTTGTTTCTCTCTGGTGGCTGCCATTCTGCTCGGAGGTGTGTGGACACTAAAAAAAGACCACCTGCAAGGCTGCCCCAGTAAGCGTGCTCCCCAGTGAGGCCACTGTCAGGGGCCTGGAACACCTGTGCACATCACGCGGGATGTCCACTGACATGGACAGCCACCAAGGCCCCCAGCGGCATTTCCACGTACCATCCCAGCCCACTGCAGCTGGACCGATGGACCGATGCAGTGCATGGATATAATGTTGCAACAGCTGGGATGACAAACCCATTCCCTGGCCTTGCGGACACGCCTCCTCTCAACAGCTGTGCGGACATGAATCCCCATGTACGACGTTCCAGTCGTCCCGGTGCTAGTACGCTCATCACCCTTAGAATACAAGAAGACCCAGCATGCAGGAAGGATGTTCTCTGCTGCAGGGAGGGACGCAAGATCACCTTTAATGTCCCCGACACAAGACCTACCTACGGGGGACATACAAAGAAATGACCCTGGAAATGGCCGACAAGTCCACTGTGGTTTGGGGTTTGGGTCCCATGGGGAAAAGGGACAGGAGAGGACCTCTCCACCGCCCCATTCCTCTACCCCATTCCGCCAAAAACAACAGAGGGACAACAACCCGGGCCTCGTATAAACAGGGATGCTATCATAATCGCCTTACGAGGGATCATTAGACATAGTTTCGCCCCACTGCGTAACAGAGTGGGGACAATCTGGTGTCGGTAAACACAACCACCGCTGGGGGTGCTGCTTTATCACCCGTGTTCTGTTACGCAATCGTGACTTGGTGCCCACTCAACGGCATACTTCTCCCACTTCGATTCGGCGTGGGAAGCTGTTCGGTGACTGGGCTAACCTTGGCTCCCACCCACAATCAGCCTGCCTGCTGGGGCCTCGTGACCTCCCACTATCAGCAACCAGGGCCTGCCCCAGCGAATCCAAATGGCCTTGAAACGCCTCTACCCTTAACATAATCCCGCTTCACTCATCTCTGGACTGACCCGTGTTCCAGGGCTGGGTGGGCTCCCCTCGGGGAAAGACACAAAGAGGCAAATCTTCCAACTGATAAGGGGGCAGATAAATCAAGACTCTGCCAGTAAGATATGCTATTTGGGAAGGCCTAGTATGGTCCTCGGTGCCGTTTATAGACGTAGCAGAGAGGTACAACGGGACCCTGAATCCTATAGGTTGTAATGTCAGGTAGACAGCCACACAACAATGCAATCACGCCATACTTGTTATCTCTGGTGTCTGGCTGGAGAGACCGCATGCACCCAATCCCACAGGTGCTTTCCCCTCGCCTTGGGCCTGGCTACAAGCATGTGGCAGCCCCTGGCCCTGCTTCCCCTATAACTGGGCTGAATGCTACACCCGGGAGCTCCCCCTACCTGCTGGGCCATATACTCATTTATAAGATGAGAGTGGCAGACGCACGGCGGGCCTCTAATTCCGCCTGTAAGGCAGTCCCCCTCGTTCCCTGGGAGAGTTCCCAAATAAGACAGGAACTTCCTGCAACACGAACGGCACATGACCTGAAAGCCACAGCACAAGGGGGGACGTGAGCTCTTCCTAAGACAGAACGCTGCCTGTAGACACCTGCGTATTCCCACAACGTTCCCTAAGCCAGGGCTGGCGTAAACACAGAGCAAAGCTGCTGAAATCCCTACTGACCCTTTTAGCAATTGCTTAGATCGCTTGCCTTCTTCCCAGCTGAAGTGTTTCTGAGCCATCTGTGTTTTCCTAGGACCTGGACACTGTGGCTTACACTGTTGCTGCGGGATTTGGTGGCAGGGCATCTCGGCGTAGCCGATACCACCGAAGAGAGGCGTGGCAAGAACCTATGGGCCACCCGGGGTGTATCGGGGAGGAGTGTGTGGTCCAGGCCAGGCCACTGGCTCATGCAAACCCACCCCGAACACTGTGCCAATGCACGTCTTGAGAATGTATACATTCTGTTTTCCCTCTATATTCCTATCAAGCAGGATATGTAGAAAAAACACGTTCAGGGTTCAAGGTCAGGGGCTCGCCAACCGGGTGTACCTCCTTGATAATGAAGAATGCCCAGATAACAGGCCTTGATCCCCTTGGAGCGCTGGCCGGGAGGGGAGGGGCTATGCATCGTCACTAAGCTGGCTGATATGCTATCAGAGCCGCCTGCGGACAGGGTGCACCAGCGGATGCTCGGTGTGGGGGGGGGGGGGCTTCCAGAGCGGGGAGAGGCTGACCAGGCTGAACTCCGCTTCACCTCAGATCTGGGATGCCAGGGGCTCTGAGGTGCTCCAGGATTTTACGGACCCCCTCCCCCATGAAAGCAAAAAAGCTGGTAACAAGACAATGTGCCTGTGGGAATTGGAAGACACATCCTGATTTCCGAGCTGTTGACCCGTGAAAGCAGGTGCCTCCAAGAAGGACCAGTTCCCATCCTCGAAAACTCTTCTGGGGCTCCTTTAGTGTTCCCAAAGCCTCCAGCACAGGGCTGAACACACAGCAGGCATTTAAACGTTGCTGTCAAGTTCTGGACCTCATCACAGGTGGAACTTCCCGTCTATACCTCCATCTGCAGCCTGGTTCCTGTGTACACGGCCCATGCAGCTTGCTCGGTGAAGCAATTAACATGTGGGGTTTTCTAAGCACCCAGCCCTGGGGCAACAGAGCCCATCCCTCCCGCCTGGCCCCCTTTCTCTGCCCTTTATTTCCTTGTAGAGTAAAACCCTTCATTGTTTCCACCCCACACCATGCAAACATACTCCCTAGTCCAAAAAGGTCCAGAAGGCTTCTCCCAATACAGGACAGGGTTGAGAGGACAGTTCTACCTCTCCCCATTTTCAAGGGTGAAATGTGATGCTTCTACCCCCACCCCCCGACCCCAGGGAGCTCAAACTCCTTCTGGCCTGGACAATCACTTCCAAATGATGGATTTGGAAACCTCCCTGCCATCTGTTCTTGATTCTTGGACTGGCTGTCTGGCTAAGCTCAACATCCTGGAGTGGCCTCCCCCGCCCCACACCCGGGCCTCCATCCTCCCCTCCTTCCGCCCCATCTCCCCGCAAACTGGCTGCTCCGCTCGGAGACAACACTTGGCCGGCGATTCGAGGTCATCCCAGATGGACCACGTCTGTACCTGTAAGTCTGGAGGAAATGCTGGTCTGTGGGGATGTCTGAGCTGGAAGAGGAATGCCAAGTGGGAGTCAGATCCATTCATCTGAACTGAGACCTGTTGAACAAGGGAGGCGGAGGAAGAGGGTCAGAGGGAGCAGAGGAGGGAGATGCAGAACTCCGGAAGGTAGCTGGCTGGGCACCCAAAGAGGGACAGGTCATCCCAGAATTTGCCCACAACCCAAGCCAAGAACAGATGCCAGAAATGAACTTCTGTGATGCTTCTTAGCCCCAATCTCACTCAGGCTGCGTTACTTGGAAGTAGGAGAAGCGAGGCACCAGGCATGGGGCTGGGATGATAACTCTGGGACCTCGGCCACCCTACGTCCCCTGCCACATTGCCTGCTCATGCCTCCAATGTCCACAGCTGCATTCTATCTGACCCTGACCGTGAACCAGGCACTGGACTACTAGCTTTGTAACTGTCACCTCATTTAATCCCCACCCCTGCTCTCACAGGCTGGTATCACTATCCCCATTTCACAGCTGGGGGGAAAAAAAACCCATATTCAGTGAGGTTGAGTCATTTACCCAGGGTCACACAGCATATCAGCAGTGGAGCTAAGATTTGAACTTGAAACCTCCCTGGAGATGGAGACAGAAACAGTCACCCGTGCATGCCCAGTACACACTGCAGAGCCGGCATGTGGCAGAGACACAGTCCGTGTAACATGAAGGACCAAACAAATACACCGATGGCACCTTCTATATAAAGTCACCAACCTGCACTATCTTTCCCTCCTGGACACACAGCTGAAACTACATTTCCCAGCCACCCTTGCAGCTGAGTAGGGTCATGTGATGACTTCTGGCCAATGGAATGTGGGCAGGAGTGGCCTGTCCCCCGCTACCACCCCCTTAAGGAACTGGCCCATGAAAACCCCCTGAGTAATTCTCACTGTTTCTGTGTCCCCCTGTGCCAGTGGCAGCAGGGACACAGAGCTGCACTACACTGTGACATGACCAGGCAAACAGGCTTTTATTACAACAGCCAGGGCATCCCGATTCATCCCACCCCCTCTTCAGCCACCGCACACGGGGACCCCTGCCCTCTGACAGGAACATCACTCCTCCCTCAGCAAGGAGGCTGAGCTGAGCCATCTGACCTGGGATGTGACGTTGTGGTTGATGGTGGCCCTTGTGTCCAGGCTGCCATCAAATGCTCCCCGGGGACCCCGTCTGAAGATGATGTCCCCATCCAAACGCAGGGCCTGGGGGAGCCTCAGCTGGAAAGAAACAGCACCACTCACTCTCTCCAACACCTGAGGTCCACGCAGAGGCCGCAAACCAGTGTTCGCCCAACCTGGGGACAGGTACCTGGGAGGCGTGAGCTGCATCCAGCGCCAGGCTGTGCCACATTTCCCCACGCTGAGATCGGTCACGGTGCAGACCCTCTAAGTGCAGTACGACCTTCTGGTTGACTTTCAAAGTGGCCTCGACCTCCCTGCTCTGAGCCTGGGTGAACAAGAAGCGGTGGCAGAGAGAGGACTTCCCATCTCCAAGTACCTGCAGAAGCCCCCCCTTAGAATCCAGCAGGTAGAAGAAACTGGCCCCACGATAGATGGGTTAAAGCTGTCTACACCATCCACATACAGGGCAGCAGCAAGGGACAGGTAATACCCCCCCCTCCCAAAGTTACCCACATCTCGATTCCCCGGAACCTATAAATATGTTGCCTTATATGGCAAAAGGGACTTTTCAGTACAGATCTTTAGATGGGAAGATTATCACGGATCAGCGGTGGGCTCAAGGTAATGGTAAGCGTTCTTATAATAGGGAGGCAGAAGGGAGTGGGTGGGGGAGAGAGAGAGAGAAGAGAAAATGATAATGCTACTCCTACTGGCTTTGAAGACGGAGAAAGGGACCATGACCCAAGAGACGTGGGTGGCTTTTAGTGGCTAGAGAAGGCAAGAAAATGGGTTCTCTCCTGGAGCCTCTCAAAGGAATGTAACTTGGCCAATGCCTGATTTTAGCCAAGTGACACCCATTTTGGATTTCAGATCTCCAGACAGGTAAGGTGAGCTTGTGCTGTTTCAAGCCACCAAGTTCATGGTATGGAGGCACAGTGGCCACAAGACACTAACACGCGTGGTTCGTCACGTGTTCACACTCAGCAACTTTGCAGCCTCTGCCACATGCCGAGCCCACGGAAGCAGGGGGGACGCCAGCTGTGCCCATCTGTGCTGACGGAGACATTCAAAGTGTCTTGCCACCGAATTTCATCGTCGGTGTGTAACTTTGGAAGAATCCATGGCTTGATTTTAGAAACAAGATAGCAGAGGAATAAATAAAAGCCCAAGAAGAGAAAAATAAATGTGTGTTGTCAAACAAAGACAGGGTTTTAGAAAGCACGGAGAGCCAAATCCAGCTCCATTCGGGGTCACCGTCGACTTGGTTCTCGCTTCCTGTTGGCGGGTAGGATTTTAGGCCCCGTGCTTCCGATCTTCTGATTTCTTTTTAATTAGAAGCAGAAATCTGGGTTTGGCCCCCAAATCTGATTTTTAAATGGGGATGATGGTTTGAAAAATGTGAAGTACAAAACAGGCCAAACAAAACACATCTGCAGGCTAGACCCAGCCCGTGGCGTCAGACTCTGCGATCTCCGGTTTGGGGGGAAAAAAAAAACACACTCAATACCATGGGGAGGCATTTCTGCAGGTGTGTTGGGCTGTCATTCTGTCCTTTGTTTCCTCTCAGGAGCTCCAAGGACTCTGGCTACCAAGCCTCTGGCAGCCTCCACAGCCCTGTTTAACTGGTGCGGCAAGAAGGGACCCTAGAAGGAAATCTCTGGGCTCGACAGCGGACCCCCCTTCATCCTTCAGCAGCTCTCTGCATCTCCCATGAGGGAGAACCCACCACGAACTTTCTCATCCAGGGCCTAGTACACAGTAGGTGCTCAATCAGTGCCTGCTGGAGAATGAGGTTAATTCCCAGGTCTTCTACTCCTCCGAGGATCAGGAAGGAGTCCGGGCCGAGTGGACGCGTGTCAGATTATTACCTTATGTCTCGGTCCCCACAACCACAGCCCAAGAGATGGGTACTGCTGTCTCCGTTTTACTGTCGAGGAAACGGGGGCCCAGAGACGTGGAATCATTCACCACGGGCACATGGGCAAAAATGAATTTCACTCCTGGGATGACTAATGCCAAGACCCTCTAAGTCAGGGGTCCGAGAGCCGCGGCCAGGGAGCTAAGCCTAACTCGTGTTTGTAAATGAAGCTGTCTTTGTCATTTCGGGTTGATCTCACAAAACTCCCATAGACTGGGCGGTGGAAACACCAAAATTTATTCCTCCCGGTTTTGGAGGCTGGAAGTCCGAGACCACGGCACCGACATGGTTGGAGTCCGGAGAAGGCCCTCTTCCTGGCTGGCAAGCAGCTCCCTCCTTTCTGTGCCCTCACAAGGTGGACACAAAGCTCATGGTCGGGGGGAGGGGGACCCAACCACCTCCCGAAGACCCCGCCTCCCTGTGTCTTCACATTCAGGCTTCAGCATACAAATCTGGGAAAGGGGGGCACACGAGCAGTTAGCCCAAAGCAAAAGTCTGATCGGAACACAGTCGTGCCCATTCCCTTGTGTGTTTTCTAGAATGTGTCTGTGCTACCAAGGCACGGGTGGGTTTGGTTCCCAACCGCCTCTGATAAAGCGAGTCTGGCAACGAGCAAGTCAGATGAAATTCTTGCTTTCCCAGCGCACGCAACAGTTTGGTGTACATGGTCATCAATTAAACGCGTACTGGCCACACAACTAAAGAAACAACGTTTGTATCTTCATCTGAAGAATCCTCATTGCAAATAAATGCTAACCATCATCTGAGCTTTCAACCAGCTGTGATCACAGATCACCACACTCGATAGGATAATAACGATAAAGGGAAATATTGCCGGAATCACCAAAATGCGACCCAGAGACACAAAGTGAGCAAACGCTATTTGGAAAAATGGCACCAATGGCCTTGCCGGACACAGGGTGGCCCCCGGCCTTCAAGCTGTATTTTTAAAAAGGCAACATCTGCAAAGAGTCACCAAATAAAAAGCCGTCCTATGAGAATGCAGACACAATCCCAATCACGGATCTTAGGGACTAGCAGGGGGAATACTGATTGGTTAAAGAATCATGTCAAAATAGGATTTGTGAAAAGTGCTAGAAACAGAAGTGTGGGGTGTGCAGGACCAGGGGATAGGAGGTGGTCTGGGGCCAGGAAAAGCTTCCTGGAAGACAGAATGTGTAAGCCAGATCCTCAGCAACGAGTACAAGGGAAGGAGGCAAAGATGAGGGAGTGACAGCTCCAGGCACAGAACACGCAAAGGTCCTGGGGCAGGAAAGAGCCAGTTGAGGAACCGGAAGGAGGCTGAGTGAAAAGAGGCAGCAAAAGGAAGAGAGTGGTCTCAGGTGGCCCGGAGCATGAGCAAGACCAGAGAAGCAGGGCTGGGGTCTTCATATAGAGACAAGAGTAGAATAATTCTGATATGTTGGAAAGCCCCCTTTGGCTATCAGGTAGGCAGGAACAGCGGGGGCAGAGTGGAACAGAAAACCCAAGCCAGAGAGCATGCTGCTCGTCTAGTTCAGAGGAGAAGGCAGTTTGGATCGGGGACCACTGGGGTGTCCGGTCCCCGGGGTCTGCTCACTTACGGCATGCTGGCTCCAAGCCACGGCGCACCCCTCCACATTCCTGGGGATGGCCTTGCCGTCGTACGGGTGAGTCAGGCCTGCACAGACCTGGAAGAAAGGCCACACGTGCACACACGTACAGAGACGGGTCAGCGACAGATGGGGGCCATCCCCTGCTCCCAGGCCCCTTCCCGGCTGCATTGAGAGCCCACTCACATAGGGGTGTCCGGCCTGGTAGCCCAGGACTATGGTCTGCAGGGTCTCCTCTTGGCTGTTCAGGACGAGCCTGGTTTCCAGGGAGCATCGTTGGTGATGCCCATCTGCTGTGAAGGTCTCCAGCAGGAGGAGATTTTGCGGGATGGGCAGAGGCAAGGCATGCCTGGCATGGAGAGGGGAGAAATGGGCCGAGCCATTAACAGGACTGGCAGGATCGGGGCCCAACTGGAGCTCAGAGCAGGCCTGTCACAGAGAGGAGAACGTCAGGACACACATCAGCCCTGCATCTCGCCAACTCACACTCATTTACCATTTTGCCACACCCTTGCGACAACCGGGTGACCTGGGCACAGCAGGGCTCATCATCACCCTTGGGCAGCAGAGACCCAAGGACAGGCCCTGGGGTCTGTTACCTTGGGCAGCAGAGGATGCAGTTGACTTCCTTGTGCCTCAGTTTTCCCATCTGTGAAATGTGGGTTCAAATACAAGCACCCCCCCCCATTCCCAACAATGGTTGCAATCATTGAGATAATGTCTGTGCAGTGAATGCAAGCTCCCTGAGGGCAGGAGCTCTGTCCTTTTTATTCCCTGTTTTCCCAGAAAAGTGCACCCAGGCTCATAGGAGGTGCTCAGCAAATCGGAACGAAATGAACGGAGGAATGAGGTTTCTGCAGATGACGGCTGCTGTTACTTCGTGGTACTGCTGTTTTGACAGAAGATGACTACAGTCAGGCAGCTGGTTTGGTCACAGGCTGGGGTTGAGGTTAGGTCTGCTGATCTCACCCCCTCCCCATCCCCTTACACTCCCCCAACCACAGGAACAACCTTTTCAACCAGCCGCACCTCCAGGAACTGGAAAGATCACCCCAGGAACTGAGGTGAGGCCAGACTTCTGCTCCCAGGTCTCTAAGCAACCTAATGGAAGGGGGCCAGGGATGCAGGGACTTTCGAGGAGGGCAGGCAGCTAGTCTCCGAGCTCTGGGTTCAGCCTGGGCCCCGTGGGCCAGCGTGGGCCTCCCAGGTAGCATCACTCACCCCGTCCCCCAGGACCCAGAATCAGAGGCCTGGCAGATGCCATGCATAAGGGGAAGGGGCCCCACGGACCTGAGGAGGAGGGTCCCCTGCTTCTGGTACAAGCTCCTATTGTGCGTCCCCTCCTTCAGGTTGCCCTCCAACACCAGGCCCCGAGGCTGGCCCCTGGCGCTGGTCACCAGAGCCGTCAACGACACGTGGGTCTTCCGGGGCTGCAACAAAGGACCAGGCTGGTGGAGAGGATGGCCCGGCGGGGACTGAGCTCCTTAAACATAGTGCCCAGGGGTTCAAGGAGCAGCTCCTACTGCCCGCCCTTCGTCCCGGGAGTGACCACCTGAGAAGCAGCTGCTGAACAGGACCACAGCCTCGTCCCAGAGCAGACCCCGAGACCACACAGGTGCTCGGCCATGTCTGGACCTCCCCAGGTGCCCAGCGGGGAATGGTCTCGGGCTTCTGGCTCCATGAGGCAGAGCTTTGCCCCAGGGTCTGCGCTAATATGGCTGGGGTCAGTTTTACAGATAAAGAAACTGAGCTCAGGAAGGTCCAGAATCATAGGCCAAGCACTGTGCACTTTCCCAACCCAGGTGAAGGATTTGGGGGTCTCTCAACAGCAGAGGCCTCCTGGACCCACCTGCTCCGTGTGCCTGTAGACAGCTGTTAGGTTCATCTCCTGCACGGGGCCCTTTAACCAGCAGTGAAGTATCTTAAGGCCCTGGCTGCTCTCCGCGTGGATCTCGCTCTGCACTGTGGCAGTCCAGGCTGACTCTATTTCACTCCGGCTGCGGAAGAGGCTCTGGGCCATGGTCGTTACCATGGATACCTACAGCAAGCCAGGGGAAGGTAACCAAAGCCTTTGCACACCTTATGCCCTCCCCTGGGATGCCCTTTCTCCTCATTCCCACTTGGTGAACTCCTATTCATCCTGCAAAACCCCATCGATACCACCTCTGTGAGGCCTTTCCTGAGGGGTCCAGGCAGAATGGGGTGTTCCCTACGGGGTCTTGAGGAAAAAGGACACACTTCCCTCCATCTCTTAGCCCTGAGCCAAGAGAGAATCTGAAGCATCAGTTATTAGAGAAGATAACTCCCTTCCCCCTCGCTCCTCTTTGGCTCGGAAAGGAGTATGATCTCAGTGGGTCACTATTATTAGCAGGCAGGGTCTCTGTGTCCTGAGGGACATGCACCAGCGGGTGGCCCTCTCTCCCTGCATCATTGCTGTGGTCTTCAGAGCCCTGGGGAGAGCTCAGGGAGTTAGAGCACTACAGCTCTGCATGGGGCCATACACCCCAGCCTACTGCCCCACACAAGCCCCATCAGGAATAGCACGGTGCCTGTACCCTGGAGGCTACTGTCCCCTGTTCACATGGCTCAGGGCCTCCCAAGTGAAGGTGATGGGGTCAAATGGGGTCTAGACATGACCGAACGCCTGGCCATATTCTAGAACTCCACAGCACCTCGTTCCATGGGCCCCAGACCTTGGGTTCCCCCCAGAACCTACAGGCCCCCCACGGCCAGCTTCCCATTTCAGTGAAAGTCCCCTCTGTCCACCTGGCTGTTTGCACTAAAACCTTGGGGTCATTTAGGTCCCGTCTCACGCTCCCTCCCCACTGCCCAATCACCAGCAAATCTGTCAGCAAATCTCTCGGTTCCCCCTGCAAACTAGTTCCGGAATCTAGACACATGCTTCCATCTCTACTGCCCTCCCCCCACCCCGGGATGGGCCAGCGTGAGGCCCCTGGTTGGGGGGGTTTGCCAGAGCTGGCTGGCTGAGCCCACCCTGCTACCACTCAGCCCTGCCTCAGAGGGGACTCTGCTGTCCCCAGGTGGACCCACAGAGCTGCCTCTTTCTGGGTCCAAGTCGGGGCCAGACCTCCTGCTGTGTCCACTCGTCATCCCAGCATGGGGCGAGGCCATGCGCCAGACCCCCATGGGTGACCCCTGGGGCATCTTTCATGGGCTGGTTTTCTTCCAAACTGTTATGTTTCAGAGAACCAACAGGTGCAAAGAAGCACAACAAATTACACCTGCATTTGCTGTGAAACTGACCTACGACCTTGAAGTTTTCATTCTGGTTTTCAGCAAAGGCCTCCTGTCTACTGGTCTCCCGAGTTCCCCCTTCAACCTGCTTTCGTATTTTAACCTATCAGCTGCTAAGCAAGAATATGGGAAACTGAGATGGGGGGCGGGGCAGGGCGGTCCCCTCTCCCAAATTCACTTGGCAACGAATTCTGAGGACTGTCAACCCTGGGTCATCCAAACTGCCCACATCTGTGAGCTAGTACCAGGCCTGGGTGTCTTTCTCCCTCTGTACACAAGAAGTTCTAAATGTCAGGGAACCAGGCTCCTGCGCCGGGAGTCCCCGGGTGGAGAGGGGAGCAGGGGGCGTGGCCAGCAGAGCAGGGGGCGTGGCCGAGCATGCGCACCCGAAGGTAAGTGGTATCCCGGGTATAGATGTGGATCCTGCCCTCCCCGCTGAGGCCCTGGTTCCTGTAGGCCACATTCATCACCAGGTTCTTGAGGGTCCAGGCCTTGCCCAGCGTCAGCTCCAGGACAGCCTGGAACGTGGGTCGGTGCGGCCAGTACAGCCTGTGAGCCACGGTGACCGTCAGCCACGGACAGTCCAGGTTCAAGGCTCCTGCAAGAGGTAGAGAGAAGCAGGTACAACCAGTAGGAAAAGAGCTACTGGCAGGTACCAAGAGGTCCCCCGTAGCCTCATCACAGCCACTGTGGGCATGTGTCAGAACGGAGGATGACGAGGATGGGACCGGAGGGGACTTTACCGAACGCTGGTCATGTTCTGAATCTTGATGGGGTGACACAGGTGTGTGCACCTGTCAAAGCTCATTCAGTGGTACCCTGGAGTCGTATGCATTCCACCCTAGTTAAGGGTGAACGCACAGAGGTCTACAGCTTAGTTTGAACTGCACCAACAAATAAGACGGAGAGATAAGTGGATAGATATGTGGGAGTAACACGTTAGCAGTGGAATCTGGGCTGACCGCATGTTGGCATTACCAATACAATCCATTGCACTTTTCTGGTTTGACCTTTTTTTTTTTCTTTTTAAGATTTTATTTATTTATCTGACAGACAGAGATCACAAGTAGGCAGAGAGGCAGGCAGAGATACAGGAGGAAGCAGGCTCCCTGCTGAGCAGAGAGCCCGATGCAGGGCTTGATCCCAGGACCCTGAGATCATGACCTGAGCCGAAGGCAGAGGCTCAACCCACTGAGCCACCCAGGCACCCTTGGTTTGACCATTTTTCATAGGGACAGGTTGGACAAAAGACACGCACAGAGAAGTTGGAGAGGGGGCACAGGTATGTGGTAATGAAGAAAGTGGCTTTTAATTTCCAAGTTGTGACCTCTTTGAGCCTCTGCTGCTATTATCTGTAAAATGGGTACAGGAAGACTGCTCACTGGGTACTGGGATAGAGGAAGCACTCATTAAGGAGCAAATACTGGGGCGCCTGGGTGGCTCAGTCAGTTAAGGATCTGCCTTCAGCTCAGGTCATGATCTCAGGGTCCTGAGATCAAGCCCCACATTGGGCTCCTTGCTCAGTGGAGGGTCTGCTTCTCCCTTTTCCTCTCCCTCTGCTTTCTCCCATCTACTGTCTCTCCCTCTCTCTCAAATAAATAAATAACGAAGTCCCCCAGGTCTGTAAGGTATTCTCTCGAGAAGTAAGAGGAGTTGTGTTCTCGGAGCAGAACACTGTAAGAAAAGGACTCTCAGGAACCAAGACGAGCTCTTGGAGATACAAGAGCCACAGTTAAAATGTAGTAGAAGGGGGGGCAGATGGAGTTGAGGAAATATGTCCTCAAAACAGAACAACAACAACAAAAAAAGATTAGGAGATGGAAAAAAAAAGAGAGAAAAGAAAGAAAATTAGAGGCTCAGTTTCGGAGGACCAACATCTGTCCAACCGGAATTCCAGAATCCAGAAAGAAGATTATCCAAGAGATGGTACAAGCCAATTACCCAGGCCCACATGATGTTCCCAAGTTGAGAGGGTCTAAGCAAAGCGCCCAGTACAATGGATGAAAGTTGACAAACACCAGGGCACATCATAAAAAGATCTGAAGACACTCGGAATACAAAGAAGTTCCTAAAAGCGTCCAGACAGTGAAAAAGTGGGCACGTACAAAAGGATCATGGCCCAGAAATAGGATCTTAACTATTTGAAATGACACTGGAGCGATGTCCTCAAAATCCCAAGGGGAAAACTATAATTCTCTACTCAACCAAATTACCCAGGTAGAACGAAGACAGTTTAAACATTCAGGGTGATATTCCACTACGGGTTAAATTGTTTCTCTCAAAAATACACAAAATGCCAACCGCCCCCCCCCCAGTATCCCCCAGAATGTGACCTTATTTGGGAAATGAGGTCATCACAGATGTAAGTAGTTACAATGAGGTCATACTAGAGTAGACTGGGCCCTAAAACCAATAGGACTGGTATCCTTATAAGAAGAGGGAATTCTAGGGGCACCTGGGTGGCTCAGTGGGTTAAGCCTCTGCCTTCGGCTCAGGTCAGGATCTCAGGTCCTGGGATGGAGCTCCGTATCAGGCTCTCTGCTCAGCAGTGAGCCTTCTTCCCCCTCCCCCTCTGCCTGCCTCTCTGCCTACTTGTGATCTCTCTCTCTCTCAAATAAATAAATACATAAATAAATAAAATCTTAAAGAAGAGGGAAATCTAAACACATACACATACACACACACACACACCCCCCATGAGAAAGCCATATGACAACAGAGACAGAGATGAGAGCCATGTCATTATAAGCCGAAGAACTCCAAGTAGCAACGGCCTCCATCAGGAGCTAGGAAAAGGCAGGGAAGAATTCTATCCAGGTAACAGAGGGAGCATGGCCCTGACAACACCTTGAACTCAGAATTCTAATCTCTGGAACTGCTGAGAGAATATAATACTGTTGTTTTAAGCCACTCAGTTTGTGGTCCTTTGGTAAGGCAGCCCTAGGAAACTAACACACTTCTCTCAGGAAGCTACTAGAAGATGTGCTCGATCAAAACAAAAGGGTAAACCAAGAAAGAAGATGACACGAGATGACACGAGTGCAAGAAACAGGACAGTGCCCCAGGGAAGTGGAAGGAATTCCCAGGATGACGGGGAAGGGATGACCCAGAATCAAAGCTGTGCAACTGGTCTACATCGGAAACGAAAGACAGAGGATCCAGGAAGAAGGTCTCCAAGAAAGATACAGGAACTAATTCAAGCTGATACATAATCTGATGTGTCTGACCACCTGGAAAAAGTTTTGTACTTACACTAAAACTTCAGGGAATAATTATAAAGAGGAAACTAGAAAATTAGTCAAATGGGGAAAAGACAATTATAACTCCAGGAAAAACATAAAGTTAGAATCTTAGTATACCATGTATCTCAGCTATGAAGGACATTTATACAGTCACAATTAAGTAACATTGACTGTTCACTGACCAACTCTCATAAGGGGGATGAAGGGAAATAGTTATGTGAAAAAGGCTGGTTTAACAGTTAAATTCTCATCCTCTCTGGTTAGAAATATATTGAGAATGCCTAAAGAAGAACAATCAAGAAATAACAATATAATTACAGTATTTTAAGAACCAAAGAGCTAACAGTTTACAGTGGTTGCTATTTTAGGCAAAACTTGGGATAGGAAGACATGAAACAGGAGATTACTGTATTTGTTATATGCTAGCTTTAAAAAAAACTTTTAAAGAATTATTTCAGGTATGCACATGAGTACAGAACATAACATGATGAACCCCTACATAATACTCACCCCCTTCAAGAATTACCAACTCATAGTTTCTACTTTACTTTTCAAACTACGTATTACTGCAAGAAAAATAAAATTAATTCAAGGATAAACTATGGCAAGTCCATTTTTTTTTTTTAAGTGAGAGAGTATTCCAGGGAGAAAAGACAGCAATTGCAAAGGCACTGCGGTATGTTTGGAGGAATGGGAAAGAAGCCAGTGGGGCTGCAGATAATAGGCAACAGGTAAAGTGGGATAAGAGAAGGCTAGAAAATCAGGCAAAGGGCTGGAACGCAGAGCTCTGTCAATGAGGCTAAGCTGTCAGGATAGAACTGTGTCACAGGACACATGGAAGGTCTGAGTCTTGACGGCCAGACCAACACAAAGGAAAGGTTATTCCAGGTAATGGGCACAGCCTGAGCAAAGGCCCTGGGGACCACAGATCTTAACTGCTAGCCCAAGAGTCTCCCCTAGAGGACACTCACCTTCCCACTTCCACAGGGTAGCGCGAGACGTGTCCTTCCACTGCAAACCTGCCACGAGGGGCAGCCGCCCATTGTACTGCATCTTCAGGTGTGTGTTGCTCTCCACGTGTGGCTGGCGAAGGCTTGAGTGATACAGCTGCATTCGGTAACTCACCTGCCTGTCAGGCACCTGCAGCACAAACTGGAGAAGAGGCATGGCTCGAGATCCTCATCAGACCAGTCTACTCCCAACCTAGAACATTCCACTGGCTCACCACGACAGCCAGGGGTTGGGCTGAGTTCCCCGGTTATCAGGAGCTGCCCAGCCCACTCCCAGAGAAGCCCTGCACCCATCCGCAGTTGGTCCCTGTTGTCCCTGGAAACCACGAATCTACTTTCTGGTTCTAAGGATTTGCCCATTCTGGACATTTCATATAATTGGCATCAGATAACACGTGGCCTTTTGTGTCTGGTTCCTTTCACTTACCATGATGATTTCAAGATTCACACGGGAATATATTCTAGTGTGTATCAGCACTTTATTCCTTTTTATTGCTGAACAATATTCTATATATGGATAAATCATTTTATTTATCCATTCACTATTTTTTTTTAAGATTTTATTTATTTACTTGACAGAGATCACAAGTTGGCAGAGAGGGAGGCAGAGAGAGAGGGGGAAGCAGGCTCCCTGCTGAGCAGAGAGCCCGATGCGGGGCTCGATCCCAGGATCCTGGGATCACGACCTGAGCTGAAGGCAGAGGCTTAACCACTTAACCCAGGTGCCCCATCCATTCATTGTTGAGAACACTTTGCGATGTTCCTCCTTTTTGCCTCTTACAAATAACACTCTATAAATAATCCATACAGATTTGTGTGAATATAGGTTTTGAATTCTCTCGAGGACCTAGGAGTAGAACGGTTACGTCATATGCTAACTCCATTCTTAACATTTTTAAAGATACACCAAACTGTTTTTCCATATCGTCGTCCTGCCATTTTATGATCTTAACCAGTATACGAGAGTGCTCACATCTCCATATTCTCACCAACACCTCGTCTTTTTCGTTTTTAGCCTTGCTTGTGGGTTTGTACTAGTATCTCCCTGTGATTTTGATTTCCCTAATCATGTTGAGCATGTTTTCATATGCTTATTGGCTGTGTGTCTACCCTCTGTAAAGAGATACCTATCTTTTTTTTTTTTTCCCCCCAAATCCTTTTTCTTGTTGAGTTGCCTATATATTTGGCGGGGGGAATCCCTTACCCGTCATTAACTTGTAGATGTCTTCTTCCATTCTGTGGGTCACTTCTCTTTTGTGATGAAATCTTTGGAAGCACAAACTTTTTGACTTTTAACGAAGCCCAGTGTATCTGTTTTTGTTGTTGTTTAATACACTTTTAGTGTCATAGCTCAGGAACCCTCGCCTATTCTAAGGTTGTAAAGATTCACTTTTAAGTTTTCTTCCAAGTTAAGTTTTATGGTTTTTCAGTTTAGGTCTCTCCAATCTGGTTTGCATTAGGTTTTATATATCTTGTATTAGGTAAGGGTCCAACTTCATTCTTTCGCACATGGAAATCCGGTGGTACCAGCGCTCATTGGAGAAAAGATTGTTCTTTCCCCTCTTCGATGGTCTTGGCAGCCTTGTCCAAAATCAACTAACTGTGAATATAAGGGTTTATTTCAGGAGTCCTAATTGTACTTCATTGGTCTCTAGGTCTATCCTTATACCACTACCATACTGTCTTAATTATCAGAGCTTTGTAGTCAATTTTGAAATTGGAAAGAATGAGTTCTCCAACTGTTCTACTTTTTCAAGGTAGTTTGAGCTATTCTGTGTCCCTTGCAATTCCATATGGATTTTAGGATCACCTTGTTAATGTCAGCCAAAAAAGATCAAATCGTTTTGATGGGGACAGATAGGGACTAGCGAAACTTAGGTGAATTTGGGAAATGCTGCCATCTTAACATTCGTTTTACGATCCAAGAACCTGGGATGCCTTCCCATTTATTTCAGTTTGCCTTAATTTCTTTCAACAATGTCTTGTGGTTTTCAGAGTATTAAGGTTACATTCTTTTGTTACACTTATGCTGAAGTGTTTATCCTTTCTTGACACTGTTGCAAATGGAATTCTTCTCTTAATTTCATTTTTACAGATTTTGTTGCTAGTGTAGAGAGAGACATCTGACTTTTGTGTATTTATCTTGTCTGCTACAATTTTGAGGAACTCGTTTATCAGCTCTAATAGATCTTTTTGCGGATTCATCAGGGCCTTCCACATACAAGGTCATCTGTAAGCAGAAATAGTCCTTCTTCCTTTCCAATCTGGATGCATTGTATTTCTTTTTCTCACCTAACTGCCCTAGCTAAAACCTCCAGGACCATGTTGAATAGAGGTGGGGAGAGCAGATGTTCTTCTTCCTGATCTTAGAGGAAAAGCATTTTGCCTTTCACCATGAAGTATGACATTGGCCATGGTTTTTTCATAGTTGGTCTTTATCAGTGTGAGGACGTGCTCTTCCATTGCTACTCTATGGGGTGTTTTTATCATGAAAGGGTATGGGGTGTTGCCAAATACTTTTTCTGCTTCTATTCAGACGATCATGTGGTCTCCATCAGTCCATGAATATGGCGGATTACACCTTGACTGATTTTCAAATGTGAAACCAACCTTGAATTCGGGGGATAAACCCCATTTGGTCACATTGTGTAATTCTATTTCTACATTGCTGAATTCAGTTTGGTAGTGTTTTCTTGAGGATTTTGTATCTTTATTTAGAAGAGGTCTTTAGTTTTTCTTTTCTCATGTCTTGGTCTGGTGTCAGCATCAGGATGATACCGGCCTCATAGAATAAACGGGGAAGTCTTTTCTCGTCTTGACTAATCATTGAGTAAATTATTTTTTAGTCAATTAATTCTGGCACAATCCAGCCCAGCCGAGAGGTTAAGAGCCTAAGGTGGGCACTGAGACCTACTGAAGTTTCAATTCCAATCTTGCCACACAGTAGCTGTGAGACCTCAGACGAGTCTGTTTACACAATTTATCCTCAGCAGAATGAGGATAGTGGTTAGTTACTTCGTAGGGGTTAAACGAAATAATACAAACAACGTATCTGTAAACATAGTCTGGCCTTAACAAATGGCTCATCACTGCCCACTCTGCCCTTCCCTCTTCTGTTCCCTGTCACCTTCTTAAGGGTAAACAGTATCTCACACGTGTCTCCCCAGAAGCTAGCGTGGTGTCTGCCACACTTGAGAGGGCTTGCAGAAACAAGCAGTCTTTAATCTCTTCCCTAAAACCTTTGGGACCAGATGCTTTCCAGGAATAAGAAATTTTCATGATTGGGTGCCTGGGTGGCTCAGGTCATGATCCCAGGGTCCTGGGATTGACCCCCCCATCGGGCTCTCCGCTCAGTGGGGAGCCTGCTTCCCCCTTTCTCTCTGCCTGCCTCTCTGCCTATTTGTGATCTCTGTCTGTCCAATAAATAAATAAAATCTTAAAAAAAAAAAAAAGAAAATTTCATGATTTAGAATAGTAACATAACACGTACTGCGATTATAGAAAAAACTACCAATTAAGTCAAAATTCTAATTTTCTTTCAAAGCCAATACAAAAAAAAGCTGTCCCCGGAAAGGGTAATGCAAAGGTAGGGGAAAAAAAAAATATAGAAAGATGGCGCAAGCTGGAAATTACAAAATGTTGCTGGAAGAAATTAGAGAAGACACAAATACAGAGAAAGACATCCTGTGTTCGCAGACAGACAGACTAAATATTGGTAAGATGGCAATACTCCCCAGAGCAACCTATAGTTGAACTCTACCCCTATCAAAATTGGAACGGTATTTTCGTGTGTGTGGCAGAAACAGAAAAATCCATCTTGAAATTCATATGAGATCTCAAGGGACCCCAAACAGCCCAAACAATCTTGAAAAAGCAGCGGAAAGTTGGAGTTCTCACAAAGCTACAGTAATCAAAACAGTACGGCAGGGACATACAGACAGACATACAGACTCACGAGATAGAACGGGGTGCCCCAAAATCAACTCACACATCTGTCCTCAAGTGATTTTCCCACAAACATGGCATGCACACTCCACAGGGGCAAGCACAGCCTGTCCAGCACACGCGGCTGGGACCAGGGGTTATCCCCAGGCGAGAGAATGTAGCTGGACACTTACCTTACGCCACACACAAAAATTAATTCAAAATGCATCAGAGACCTAAATGTTAACAGCTGAAACTAGAAGACGTTGAGAAGAAAGCAAAGGGGAAAAACTAGAACATTGTATGTGGAAGGATTTCTTAGCTAGGACACTCGAAACCCAGGCCACAAAAATAAAAAGATCAATCCGACCAAATGCACACATAAAATTTGGGGGGGGGATCAAAGGACGCTGTCGACAGGTGGAAAAGGCAATGGGTAAAATGGGAGAATGTGTTTGCAGACTATGTATCTGATTAGAAGTTAATATCCATATGTATCAAGAACTCTTGCAACTCAGTAGCAACAAAGCAAACAATCTGTTTCAAAAAAGGGCCAAGGACTTAAACAGACATTTCTCCCAAGAGGACAAACCAATGGCTGACAAGGGCGCAGAAAAGATCTCAGCATCACTCAGTATCAAAACCACAACGGGGTACCCCCAAATGCCTCTCAGCACAGCTACCCTCTAAAATGACAGAAAATAACAAACATGGGGGGAGTGGGGAGTGAGCAGTTCTGATTGAACGGGGACAGAGGCTCACGTGTTCAAGATGAACAAGTTTTGGGGACGGATGCCGGTGATGGCAGCCCAGCACTGTGAATTTAACTAATGACACTGAACCGTATGCCTAAAGATGGCAGGAACAGTCAATTTTATGTTGTATCTAGTTTATTGCAATTTGAAAAAAAAAAAAAAAAAGATATGGAACAATTTAAAAAGAAACACACTAAGTGCATGCCTTACAGCAGCACATTGACTGTGTGGTGGCTAAGCACTCATGTTTATGTTACTTACCAGGAACAGAGAACCCTCAGCTGAAACCTGAAAACGAAGCCATTTCCCAAATGCACTTACAGATCTGTGCTTCCCAAGTCCCCTGGCAGGCAGCTGATGGCAAATATCCTTGCAGCTGAACACCCCACCCCACCCCCACCTTGCAAATGTTAGACTCCCAGCGGGGAGGGGGTGGGGGCAAGTTCATGTTCTGCCGGAGTTGGGCTCACCTCCACAAAGTAATTGCTCAGGGCCGGACCCGAGTTGTTCTGGAAGGTCTGGCTGATGCGAAGCTGCCTCTTACCGCTGCTCTGGTTCCAACGCACGCCGTAGCTCGCCTCCAACTGGGAGTGCAGGGAGCCCACGCCCTCCTCATGCCGCACCTGAACCTGGGAACACACCCCACCAGGGAGAGCCCCAAGAAAGCCTTGTCTGTCCATCCCCGGGCCTCCTCACAGCTGCCCACCCTGGGGAAGGCAGGCTTGCTTCTCTGGGAAGACAGTTCTGTAGGAGGAGAATGGTCTTTGTGTTGATTTTTATTTGGCAAGACAGGGCATCCGAATCTGGTGCACCCTCCTGTGTTGTCAGTAACCCTTAAATGCTAAGCCTGAGGCGAGTGGCTGGTGGGCCTCACCCTGGTGCCTGCCCCATGAAGTGTCTGAAAGAGCCAGCTGCCATGGGAAAATGGCTCCAACCCCATGGTCCTCTACCCCGGACTCTCCCATGGCAGCCTCTGGCTCCCCAGATAGACTCTGAGTGGACAAGGCTTTTACACTCAGCATTTGGCTTTCCTCTCCTATCTCCAAACCACAGGTCAAGCAATACAGGTTCATTCATTTATTCCTTCCCTGAGCACATTTTCCCTGAGTACCAAGTATGATGCCCAGCACTGGACGTCAGATACCCAAGCATAAAGAATCGAGAAGACCTCGCACTCACAGGGGCTAGAATGCAGCGGGAGAGGCAAATGTGAACTAAGGAAATTAACAAAGGCACAGCTGCCTGCTTCTCCCTTTTGCTGACGCTGCCAGCCACTCTGGTGAACTGCTAGGTCCCATCGTTCCATTTCTCTTTCCTGTCCCAGGACCTTTGCACTTGCCACACCCTCTGCCTGCAGCATGCTTCCATAGGAATGGAACTGTTGCAATCCTTAAAGAAGCCTTCCCCATTGTCCCACTTGCTCAGTCTCTGCGCTATCACCCATGTCACTTATGGCTCTTTTGGTCTGGTCTGTCTCTCTCTGGGCCCCTGCCCAGCAATGGGACGGCACAGACCTAGTGCTGCTGTGTGCACAGCTCTCCCCTGAATGTTAGACACACTTCAGGTGTTCAGTAAAGACCAAAAGAACCAAGGCACAGGAGCCTGAGACCAAAGCTCCAATTCTAGCCCCGTTCCTGTACATGACCTTGAGCAAACCCCTCTCCGTGAGGACGAGCTGCGGGCTCTCTCCAGACCCCCGGCCAGCCAGGGCACCCACCTTGTGGCTGAGGACTGGGGTCTGCGTGCAGTGGAGCTCATGGTCCAGCTCCAGCTCGTAGGTCGCCTGTGAGCCACTCTGTGCCCGCAGCTTCTGGCTGGTGCTGCACTCATGGGCCAGCTGCCTTGCCTGACCTGTGCAGGGTGACCAGAGATACCTGCCCATCCTCCGCCAGCCCTCCCCCCCCCCCATTCCAGGATGAGGAGCGGCCAGCCCAGTCTCAGCCACCCCCGGCCCCTGCTCTGATGCACTCCGCTTCATGTCGCCCATTGAAACCTATGGCTAGAGAGGTTTTAAAAGACAGGCTTATGGCCCCCAAACACACACACTGTTTTGGTTTGTTTTTTAAACTGGCCGGTGCTCAGGGGCTACGGGACAGTGCGGTGAGGGCCAAACCAGGTGACAAGGTGGCACCTGAGCCCTCAGAGCGGGAGCCCCAGGATACAATGTGGGTTCTGCCACCTCCCACCTCCCCCCAGCCCAGCATGCGGCGCCGTACCCAGGAGGCCGTACTTAATCCTCAGGGAGCTGGTCCAGAGGCCGCGGTGTGTCCGCAGTAGGCCCACCAGGTGCAGTGCCACCACACCGGGCACAGAGAGCTCGCTGCCCACGGCCACCACCTGCAGCCCGTCCTCTGCCTTCCTCTCGAGCCGCACTGTGTGCAGGTTTGGGGAGGGAGGGGCAGGCAGTGAGAGGGGCAGGTGTGGTGCGGCCACAGCCCATAGCCTGGGACTGACACCACACCCCAGCTCTGGGCAAGCCAAGGAAATGGGAACCGTCCAGGGGACCCAGGAGTGGGGGGGGGGGGGCGGGTTTCCCAGCAGAACCTATGCCTGCATCTCTGCTGAGGAACCCTGGTGTCCAAGCGCTCATCACGTTACTGGGCGGCAATGGTGGGTTGCCCGAAAGTCACTTTGGTGGGTTCAGCCAAAATGTTTAAGTAGAACAAAATAAGGATAAAACAGAAGGGAAGTGACAGTGCCTTCTAGGCCATCTGGTAAATCTCGCTCCTGCTCCGTGGACATCCAGCCCAATCACACAGGGAGAGCAGGGCCCGGGACAATTCCCGAAGTGCCCACACTGGGCGGCCAGCACCCCAGCCCCTGACATCGTTCCCTCAGAATCTCCCAGAACATCCCAGACAGAGCGTAGCTGGGGGCCGCATCCCTGCTCTGCTCTCAGGGCAGGGATCTGCCAGACCGGCCATGCCCAGGCCAGGCCAGGGGTTCAAGGTTTAAACCGTGCCCCGGGCAACTTGGGTCCCGACGCAAAGTGTGTATTTTACGCATGGTGTAACACAGGCCAGAATCAAAATGGTCCAAACGCTGCTGTTCTGTGGCTCCTGGAGGGCAGTCAGTGCTCGGGGACCGGCGGAAAGCAGTGAGCACATGTGCAGACCAGGTTTTCCCTGGGGTGGGATGTTAATACTGGCCGGGGGAGGGGACGGGGATCCCACGTGAGCTCCTCAGCCCTCCAGCTCCCGTAGCCTGGCCTGCTGAAGGGAGGGAGTGGCAGGAGGGGGTCCCTCTTCCTACCTGACAGGTGGGCCTCGTCGCTCAGCAGGTTGCTCAGTGACACGGAGAAGGCCAACTTGCGGCCGGCCTGCCGGCTGAGGTTCGCCAGGAGGGCCACAGGGCTGCCTGCCGTCACCAGCTTCCCCTCCAGCTGGGCCTCAAACCGCTGGGCCTCACCGCCAGCTGCTGGCCACAGGTCGCTCCGGCCCTGCAAAGGCCCCAGCATCACCTGGGTGGGGGGGTGGGGGGGGTGGGGAGTGGCTCGGCCGGAGATGGGGGTGGTACTTGGCCAGCAGGGCTGGCTTTGCCCGTAAGAACTGAGACAGGACAGAGGACCGAGCTTAGCCTATGGCCTTCTTGGCTGGTTCTTCTCCAATTTCTTCATCTTGCCCTTTTCCAAAGTAGGTAGTCCCTGTTGTAAGTTCAGATGTAAATGTAAAGGACTCCTCTCTCTCTCTCTCTCTCTCTCTCTCTCTCTCTCTCTCTCTCAGCAGTCAGCTCTAGGTCCGCTCTCCCTGCAGAATATTCTGGGATCTGACCACTTGGGCCACCTCCACCACTCCCCCGGCTCAAGCCCTGGCCATCAGCCCCTGTGTCATCACAGCGTCCTCGTCCTGGCTGTCCTGACTCCCGCCCTGTGCCCTGATGTCTGTCCCCCACCCTTTCCACCAGAGCAACGCCTTTGAGGCATGTAGGATCACACACTCCCATTTACCTAAGGGTCCTTGCAAAGACCAACAAGGGTGAGACTTTCTCTAGAAGTCAGCAGCGCAGACCTGGCCAAAGGGACTGCTTGTGGGAGGACACTGGCAGGCAGGACACACACAGAGTCCAAAACACACTCTACACATCACCGTGCTTGAGACTTTCTGAAAAACCCACAAGCAACTACAACCATTATTCCTGATGGTCACTGCCAAGTGTAGACCAATCCCACAGACCTCTGTGCTGACTGCCAGCTGACCTGCTCACCCCAAAGGTGTAAAACTGAACTCACCATTCCCAGACTGTCTGCTATTTTAAGCGCTCTCGAAATCCCATTTCTGCCTTTGTTTCTTGACAGTCATGATTTGCTCTCTTCTGATTCCTCGGTGGCAAGGCCTTACGTGATCTGTCCCCCCACCTCTCTGTCCCCTCTCCTATTCTGCACCAAACACATGAGCCTGTGTGCTATGCTATTAACACTCCAGGCACATTCTCACCTCAGGACCTTTGCACATGCTGCACCCTTTACCCAGAGTCCCTTCCCCCAGAGAACTCCATGGCTCTCTTCTGCACATCCTTCATGTCTCAGCTAAGAGTTATCCTCTCCATCAGGCTTACTTTCCCATCCTGTTTAAAACTGAAACCAAGCCCCAGACTCTTCTTCTCACGTAACTTCAGACCCCTGTGCCCAGCTCAATGATTCCCTTTTCCTACAGCACATATATCCGGTTATCACTGTACAATTTGCTTATTTAGTTCATTTACTGGCTCTCCCATCACAGTGTAAGCTCCAAGAGGAGAAAAGTGTGTCTCCTTCACTGAGCTGTCTTCCCAGTACCTGGGACATTGTAGGTCAGCAGTGCAGACTAATAGCTAAAGAAAAAAAAAAAAAAAAAGAAAGACACTGAAAAATACAGGTTTTGATCCCCTCCTTCGTCTCCCCATCTCCCTCCATGGCCGCCCCTGTGCCTGGCTTTTCGTGCATTCTTGAGAAAATTGAGGCTCGGTGGGGAAGGCAGTCTCCCTGACATTTGGTTTTCTCCCCACCAGGGGAAGGGAAGACCTAGGTGACTCGGGTGTGTGTGTGTGTGTGTGTGTGTGTGTGTGTACACGTGCGTGAGCTCAGGCACACGTGTGCACAGAGGCATACACTTAGAGGCTCCCTCTTGCTCTTCCCAAAAACAGATGGAGGCTCTCCACTCTGCCCTGCTTCTCTCTTCAAGGGGGGGGTCTCGGTGATAATTTTATGTTGTGATCACAGAGGCTGCCTGGCGTTAGCCAAGTGCGGCCCGCGAATAGGACGACTGGGGAGTATTTCATCCAAACCGGGACCCTTAGCGGATGAAGAGTTCACTAGCCACAGGGAGCTGGGTCGAAGGGAAACTGGGGCTCCTGGGGCAGCCTGGGACTTCGGGATGTCCGATCCCTGCACAGCGGGAGCAAGCCCTCAAGGCCACGCGCTCCTCCACGCCATTCTTAAGCCCCGCAGACAAGTCCTCTGCCTGGGTGCCCTCATCTCCTACGGGCTTGCTGAGAGGACTGAAGGAGGGCCTCCGAGCCCAAGGCAACTCAAGACTGCCTGAGAACAGGCTTTGGAAAGTTCCAGACCCTGGCTGTTACCATTGCATCTGGGGCAGCTGAAACTGGAGGTTTTCTACAAGCCAGTGTTTGCAGGCTGCAGACAGCCCTCTGGGGGACAGCCGGGAGGTCTGCAGGGAAGTGGAGGCAATTAGCACTTGTGTATTTGGCAAACGACCCTGCCCTGGGAGGCTGGCGGGCTCCTGGGAGTTTGGCATTGATCTGTAGCCTCAGGAGTCAGGCAGCTGGGACTTTAGGAGAAGGCGCTCTCCCCTGATGCTTGGTGTTCTCCCCACCCCCGGGGAAGGAAGCAGATCTGGGAGAGGAGAGCCTGTTTGTGCAACCAAATCCCAGCCCCAGCCACAGAGTCGCAATCCAGACCTGAGAAGCCCCCAGAGACCAAGGTGGACAGGCCAGACCCAATGCCACTGGTGCCCAGATGTCCTGTTTGGTGGGAGCAAGGCTAAAACCGCTGTTTTTATCCAGACCAGGTTGAACACCAGACAGAAGGTCTCAAGCCTCTCCCCAGCAGGGCAGACCGACAGACACAAAACTTAAGCACAATGGCGGGGACCTCAATGGCCCCGCTGAGTCCCAACCAGGGACCTCTGGTGTGAAGCTTCAGAAGTAGCTTCTAAGAGAAAAATGCAAGTGCCCTTTGCTCTGGGAATTCCACTGCGGAGAAGGTCTCTCTGAGAAGACTCACACACGAAAACCTGACAGTGGGCTCTGGGGAGGTGTGGCAGGGAGAGTTTTTAATTCTAGACCTGTCCTGACCCACAGAACTTTCGGCAGGGATGAAAACATTCTTGAGAAGTGGTTCCTGCCACTAGGGAAGTAAGTTAACCCTAATTTACTTTAATAACCACGTGGGCTATCATTTGGATGGGACACTTGGTTCTATACCTTTTCATATCCTTCTGAAAACAGGCAGTTTGGACCCAGACGGAGGAAGACAATGCAAAGACATAGGAAGAAGATGCTAGAGGCCAAGGAACACCCAAGGCCACCAGGAGAGGGGAGGGAAGCATGCAACAGTGCCCCCTCCTCACCTCCCAAGAACCAGCCCTGCCAACACCTTAATTTGGGACTTCAAACCTCCAGAGCTGTGCAAGAGAAATGGTGCTTCGGACACCCCATTTGGGCAACGCTGTTAGAGCAGCCCTGAGGCACTAACAGCGACTGCCTAGGACATACACAGCCGTTTCTTCTGGAAATTCGGGGAGCGCCAGGTTTCAACGTGCCCCCTTCCACTGACTTTCGCACATGCTCCTGTATTCCTAATATTATCAATTTTTGACCTAAATGGTAGTAAGTTTCGAGCCCATGTTTTCCTTCTTTGTATGTTTCTGAACATCGGGAGGTCACACATGTTACGGTAGGAGGAAGGGGAAAACCCACTAACACACAAAAGGTGATGGCGACTATTAAGTAAGGACTGTGGGACCGAGGCCGGAAGAGCTTGGAAGGTGGCAGGTGCTCACACAGGAGGCCTGAGGGTGTGGAACAAACCTTAATGTAGTAGACGTCCCTGTCATCCAGTATCAGCTCCAGGTGACCCACACAAGTGCTCTGCAGAGTCTCGATCTTTCCTAGGGAACAAAACAAGAGTTTGGGGACCAAGCTTTAAGCTCTGCCCCTGCGTTCCCTAGGGGACAACCTCCTGCCGGGTTTCTTATCTCTGAGCCCCAGCAACCGACCCATGGAGGGGACACTTATTACCATCCAGCTGCATTTTCTTCCTGGGATGCAGAAGCTTGAGGCGGAACTTCCCCTGGGGCAAGCTGTACCTGACGTCCACCCCGACGTCCCTGGGCACCTCTGATTTGGGCGTGCCCATGAAGAGGTGAGCCGAAGCTTCCTGAGGGAGCCAGCTGTCCTTCTGAAAGCGCAGAGGACTTCTCAGTCTTGAGAACCTCGTCCAGCTCCAAAAGTTCTCCCTCTTCCCGGGAAAAGACCCTCAGCCCCACCATTCAAAAATGTGTGTTCTTGAGCTCCTCCTTGGCCCTCACAAGACAAGAAACCACACTGGGAGTTTGGAACTCTCAGGCGGTATCTGGAGAAGAACAAAGCCTTGCAGGACAACTCAAGACCACGCGTACAAGGTCTCATCTTGTCCGGCAAATAGCCTGGGGGGGTGGGGCACGAGGTATGGCGTGCACCATGGGCACCCTGCAGAGACCCTCTCGTGTCCCTTATCCAGCTCTGCCCGACCGTGTCTCAGCCTTTGCAGGTACTGCTGTTAACACCTGGCACATGGGCCTCCAGAACATTGCCCTCCTTTATGTTTTCCCAGGAGTAAAAAATACCCCAGCTCCTCAGCCTCAAGGGGACCCCACTCTGAGACGTAACCCATGCTCCAGGGCTTCCCCGGGATCAGGTGGAGGCTGCCACCTCACCTGACATCACCACCACCCCCCCCACTCAGTTCTTCCCTTCCCTGGCCTAACTTCCCCACTCTCTTATACTGGGTCCCCGGGAGACTTTTCTTAACCTATCACTTTTACCCAAATCCTTAGCTCAGGTCCGCCTTAAGGAAAACACAGCCTAAGACACAAGCCCCCTTTAAGACCGCGCACTGACGAACATTCTTACACCACCAGCAAAGGGTCACTCCTCTGTACGAGGCTAGTTGTAGGCACAGGGAGTGCAAATGAGCATTAGACCCACAAAGACATGCACCCTCATGGCACCTACATTCTAGAGGGGAAGCACAGGACCACCAGACACAAATGAAGATTGCACAACAGCTGGAGATGGGTGCTCTGCTAACAAACTCAGTGGGAGTAAGGGGTCAGCCAGGGTGGTCAGGGAAGGCTGCCTCAGAGGAGGTGGCATTTCAGAAAGCGAAGGAATCGAGAGAGAGAGAGAAAGTGCCAAGTGGGTGTGTGGGAGAGTGTTCTTGGCAGAGGGAAGCGCCAGTGCAAAGGTCCTGGGGCAGCAATGTGCCTAGCATTAAAAAAAAAAAAAGGTCAGTGTGTGGAGAGTGATAAGCCTCGTAAAGAATCAGGAGACGGGGAGGACAGCCCAGCAGGCCCAGGTATCCAGCTCCCATTTAGAGGGATAAGAGCCACTGGAGAGCTCTGAGCAGAGAAGCGACAGGATGGTTTTAGGACTTTGAAACACCTGTCTGGCTGCTGGGAGACAAGAGATGGCAAGGACACGAGCAGAAACTGGGGGATCACGTAGAAGGGTGTTGAATGCCCATTTAGGGCCAGATGCTGAGGACACAGGAATGAGAAACACAGGCATTAAAGCTCTTCCTCGGAACTGAGTGACTGGAACAGAAAAGGGGGAAGTCTGGTATTAGTCAAGCATCTTTAAGCAACAAACGTAAGAGGGATCGGGCACCTGGGTGGCTCAGGTGGTTAAGCGTCTGACTCTTAATTTCGCCTCAGGTCATGCTCTCATGGTTGTGAGGCTGACCCCTGTATCAGGTTTCATGTTGGGCAGGAAGCCTGGTTAAGATTCTCTCCCTTTGCTCCCACCCCTTCTCTCTCTCCCTCTCTAAAAAAATAAAAACAAAAACAGAAACAACAAAACCCCAAAACAAAACAAACCACAAAAAAAACAAAACATAAAATTGATCTAAAGGGGGAAAACATGGTCCTATTAGAGCAAGTAACAAAAGAACATGACCAGTTGGGGATAATTCAGGCAGGCTTCCCGGAGCAGCTGACCCCTGAACCGAGATCTGAAGACTGATTCAGCATTAACAAGTCACAGAGCCAGAGCCAGAGGATCAGCATGTGCAAGGGTCCTGAGGCAGGAGGGAGACCACAAATGGACCAACCCAGCCCAACAGCTCCAGAGAGGAGCCCCATGTCCTTATGAGGCTGATTCTGGAGGGGAAGACCTAGGGAGACCCACAGCATGGCTGGGAAAGAAGGGGCCATTCCACAGGGCGTACCTGGGGTTGGAAGGTATAGGTAGCTTCCAGCAGATACTGTCGGAGGCCCCGGTCCTGCTTCGTCAGCATCACAGCCACGAGCACAGGCACCGAGAGCAGGTAGGGCTGCCCTGCTGCCGGCCAGGTGACTTCCGTGCACAGCTGCCAGCCCCAGGTCCGGGATGCTGTGGAGAAAGCGGGGCGGGCAGCTCTGGTCACCAGAGAGCCAGAGAATTCTAGGCGGGAGCCTCGGCTGCTCATCCAGCAAAGGCAAGGGTTCTGTCGGTCTTTTCGACAACCTCGGCACCGCTGACATTCAGAGCTGCATAAGGAAGGCTCTGTGGCGGGAGCCGTCCTGCAGGGTAGGAGAGCAGCCGCGCTGGGCTCCGCTCAGTGTCAGTCAGGAGCAACCCCAACAACAGTTCGGACAACCCAAGCGTCTCCAGGCACGGCCAAATGGCCCCTCGGGGGACAAAACCAGCCCCGCCTGAGGACCCCTGGGGGAGACTTTCAGAGCGCGAGTGTGCGGAAGGCAGGCTCCAGAGTCAGACCGCCTGGGTCTAAATTCCAGCCCCTCCACTTGCCAGCTGTGTGACCTTGGGCAGGTTACTTAACATCTCTGTGCCTCAGTGTCACTCCTCTGTACACTGGGACCAGTAACAGTTCCTGCCTCATGGTGTAGCTGTGGGGACTGACCGTCTGTGTCAGCGTTTATGACAACGCCCCGCCTAAAGGTGTCCATTCATTTAGAGCGGCCTCTCCCCAACCTGACTCAAAAAAAAAATGACCTTCAAGATCCGCTATTGTTTGGTGTATTTCCTTTCCGATCTCTTATCAATTTTGTTGCTTTTCACCAGATGTTGCTATCAAAGAATTTTCCAGTGTTATTGAACTATCTCCTTCGTGATGGGGTTTTTAAGCTACAGGGTAGCTCAGGTGTTTTCCCTCAACTTGAAAGTGGAGAATTTTTTTCCATCCACGGCCAGACAGTAGATGCCTGAGGCTCTGCAGATCACAGGATCCCCTCACAATGGCTCAGCTCTGCTGGTGACTGACCAGAGCAGCCAAAGACGACAGGGAAACCAATGGGCGTGGCCATGTGTCCATAAAGCTTTCTTTCTGGCCATTCGCAACATCAACTTCACAAATGTTTCCCGTAAGAACTATTCTTCGATGACTTTCCCACCCTTTGAAAATGTGCCAACCTGCTGGCAGCTTATAAGCTGCTGTAATGAGCCATTCACCTATGACCGTGCCCTTGTCAATAACGATGCAGCGATCATCTCTGTGTAGTGTGCATTTTTAAATGATTTTGGAGTATTTTCCTGGGGTGGAGTTCTAGAAGCAGAAGCAAATAATTAAGGGATATAAACACTTTGAGGGCAGAAGAGCCACTGCAGCATTTGGAGCCGACACGGCTCCCTGCGGTACCCAGACATCTGCCTAGGCAAAGGCAAAGACCCCACCGCCTACCTTTCTCGTCAGTACAGGACTGGGCCTCTGAAGGGTTGTGGGCGTTACTGAGGCTCCTCACGCCGTCCCCAGTGACGAGATACAGCTTAGAGCTGGGTGAGGGAAGAGGAAAGTCCCAGATGGTCATTTTCATTCATTCACTGGACAGATAGGCCTGGAGCTGCCATAGCTTGACGTGGGGAGAATTCCACCATGAACAGGATGGGCCTTTGGGGAACTCACCCACAGCACTCAATGACGAGTGCCACGACAAACCTGAATGGGGGTGGATGGGGTCGGTCTTGGGGAAAGGGAAAGGCCTCCTTTAGACGGAGGTGGGGGTCTCTGCAGAGGTTAATGTGTGAGCAGAGACTCAAAGGATGAGAAGGAGCTGGACAGAGGGAATGGCAGGCACAAAGGTCCTGTGGTGGGAATAAAGTGGCCTCTTTAGGAGAGTAAGAAGAGTGGTTCAAGGGGGTTAGGGTGGAGGGGGAGGGAGTGAGTGAAGGGCAGGAGGTAGTAGAAGGAAACAGGTGAGATGTAGGCAGGACCCCCAGGAGGAAGGACAATCATGAAGTCCTGGGTTATCCTAGAAACAAGTATAGGGTTTTAAACAAGTGGGTGGGGGGGGAGTGACATGACTTGACATTTTAAAGGACCGCACTGGTTGCTGCTGGGAGAAGGGCCTAGAGGACAGCCAGAGGACATAGTGTCCCTGTCTAGGGTGGGACAACATAGACAAAGCAGGTGTGACTGTGGGGAGCCTGGCTTCCCTCCTATTTTATCTGAAAGAACTCACTCTCCAACTTTCACCCCTCTGGGAAGCTGGGAACAAGCTTGTCCCAGGAGGGACCCTAAAGAGCTGAGAAGTATGGGAGCTCCCCCATCCTCCTTTTAGCCACCCCGTAGTCCCTGTCACAGACACCCCCCACATGCTGACACACACTTACACACAGGACACTCACAGACATGCCAACACCCCCTCACGGACACATGCACACGCTCACACACACACAATCAGACAGGCACGCTGCACTCACCCACGTGCCCAGACACATACCTGTGCACGCACAGACTCAGAAATCCACCCTCACGCGTACACACGCTCATGCAACAAGGGTGCAACACACCCTCACACACACGTGGTCACACACACACACAGTCTCGCACCCACACACAAAAACATGGGCGATCATGCACACGTGCTCACGGGTGCTCCCAGACACACACACTCCCAGACACACATCCCCAACCCCTCAGGCCACACCCACCCGCGCACGGGCTCCCTCCCACGTGTGCAGGACGCCTCACCTGAAGCTGAGGAGCTCCACAGCCGCCTCTGGGGTGTTCAGATGCACCTTGAGATCCCGGCCCTTCCTTGCGTGGATCCCCCCATCCAGACTGGCAGCGCCACGGACGCTGGTCACCCACTGCAGCCCGGCCCGCCCCAGGACACCGGTTGTACCCATCTGCGCCGAGATCCAGAGCAGGGCACTGCGGGGAGAGCCAGGCACTGGCTGCAGCCTGCAGGCCCCGGGTGGCCACGCACACAGCATCCCCTTGTGCACCGCCCCTGCCGTTCTCGGCAGCCCCTGCCCCGTCGTCCCCCTCCCGACCTCCCTGTATCCCCCCACCCCGTGCTCTCTGGGCACCACGCCCCCCATGTGTGCCAGGCACGCCATCTGGTCTGTCTGGACCTTGCCATCACTGGCCTCAACTTAGAGACACAGACCCAGGCTGGGAGCAGTGAAACCACCTGCTCAGGCCCTGTCGCTGGGACATGGGGCAGTAGGACCCGGACCAGGAGGCTGTCTGAGCCCCAGCCAGGGTCTTCGTGCCAAAGAGCAGGTAGCACGGGATGCCCAGGCTCCCCACATCGGACCCAGAAACCACAGACAGGACAGGTGAACGGGGGACACCTGTGAGTGGACAGTCGTCCAGCAGGCCCCGGACCCCTCCAGAATCAGACCAAGCCCTGAACCAACTCTGCCCACGCTGTGGGGCCTGGACCAGCAGCGCACCTGCCTGGGGCCTGTTTTCTCAACCATTAGTGGGAATACGGAGAGACTGCCCGCCTGGTGGGTGGTGATGCGGGGTCACTGGAGTCCCAGCCCATACATCTTAGATGGTCCTCCCTCCCTCCCTCCCTCCCTCCCTCCCTCTTCCCCTCTCGGAGGCAGAGTGGAGCAGAGGGAAGCATGCCACGTGGCAGGACACCAGAGTCCTGTGGCCTGGCCCTGCTTCATCCTTGGGCACATGATGTCACCTCACTGAGCCTCAGTCTTCCCACCCGTCAAGTGGGCACAGCTGCCCAGCATCTCCTCACAGTCTCTTGACACAAAAAACACTCAGTCATAGGATTGACGGTGCGATGGTACCAGGGACGGTCTGCAGGGCAGGGATCCCCTCGAGCCCGCGCTAATGGCTCAGCACTCTGCGGCCCTCTGTAGGGGGAGGCCCCCGCCCACCCACCTCCCTCCTCCAGCTCCAAGAAGCCAGCCAGCTACCTGGGCTTGACGTAACCATTCACAGAGAAATCCAGAGGGTGCTGGAAGTTGGCAGTCCCCCGGACTTGGAAGCTGGCGGCAGCCGAGGCATTGAGGGTCAGCCGGGCGGGAAGGCCGGATATGGTGGGAAAGGTGAGCTCCTGCACCGCTAGGTTCAGCCTCCGGGTCACCTGGACCTCCTGCCCCTGCGGCCAGAGGACCGTCATGACGCAGGTGACAGTCCCTGGTGCAAGCCAGGCACACACTGAGCACACAGTCTTATTTGATCAAATAAGATTCTCACACCAGAGCGGTGTGGGAGGAAGGGACAGGATCATTACGCCCTCTTTCCAGAGGAGGAAACGGAGCCCACAGACAGATGAAATCACCTGGCCAAACCCACGTGGGTAGAAACCCGGTCAGTTTCCTGCAGAAAAGGGTCAGAGCTGGGGGATCCAGGGTGAGTCAGGTAAGGGGGAATGTGGGCCATGCCCGGGATGCAGAGCACCTAGTATGCGCCAGGTGCATCTTAAATGCTTTGGTGCATTTTTACTGCGTTATCTCATTTAACACAACAGCCCCATGAAGCTGCTGCTTTTGCTACTACTGTGTTTGTTACACTATCATGCCTATTTCACAGATGCACAAACCCAGGCCAGGACCTGTGAACTCTCCCAAGGAGGTAAGAGGTGGAGCCGCGATTTGAGCTTGGGCAGCCTGGCTCGAAATACCGCTGTCTTGGGTCTGAAACGGACTTTAGTACTTCCCCCCCCCCCCCCCCCCCCCCCCCGCCCGGAGCACCGAAGGAAACAAGACGGGGTCAGCGGGGCTGGGAGGGGCCAAGCCCAGGCGGAGGTACCTTCAGGAGCTTGACGGCCAACTCGGCCAGGTTCAAGGACGGGTGGTTCACACGGCTGGCCATCGCCGCGCAGTTCACGAAGCTCAGCTCGTGCCCGAACACCTTCACACTCAGCTCGCACCGCAGCGCCTGCCGCTCTGCACGCCTCCGGGCCACCTGAGGGAGAGCCCAGACCAGACGGGTGACTAGGAGCAGGTCTGCTGCCTGGACACAGGTGGGGGTCCGGAGCAGCAGAAGGGCAAGGTCAAGGGCTTTTGGTGTCTGGAATATGGCTTGCAAAACTGGTGGTCTTCAGGCAGAATCCCCAGATGGGTTTTCTTTGGCCTGCACGGTGCTGCTGAAATGCCCTGGGCAGTGTGTGTGGGTGCGAGCCTTCTCACCATCCTCTTGTTTTGGAATAATCTTACATTTACAGAAAAGTTGCAAAGATGATACAGAGAGCTCCCACACTCCCCTCGCCCTGTCTCTATTGGCACCATCTTTCATGGCCAGCGTGCAAGGAAGGCAAAAAAGCCAACACGGACATGTAGTATTAACAAAACCCCCGACATTCAAATTTCACGTTTTTCCAGTCTAGCTCTCCCTCCGTTCCAGCAACCCCACTGCATTAGCTTGTCCCATCTCTCCTGTCTCCTCCCGTCTGTGACCATTTGTCTTTCTTCGTGTTTTTCACCGTGCATGTTTTTTTGAGAGACAGAGAGAGCATGAGCAGCAGGGAGGGGCAGAGGGACAAGGAGACTCCCTGCTGAATGCGGAGCCCAACATGGGGCTCAATCCCAGGACCCCGAGATCGACCCGAGCAGAAGGCAGATTGCTCCACTGACTGAGCCACCCAGGAGTCCCTCACAGTGCATTATTGTTTTTAATTTGAATTTGTTGGGGCACCTGGGTGGCTCAGATGTTAAGCGTCTGCCTTTGGCTCAGATCATGATCCCCGGGTCCTGGGATCGAGTCCCACATCAGGCTCCCTGCTCAGCGGGGAAACCTGCTTCTCCCTCTCCCATTCACCCTGAGTGTGTTCCCTCTCTCGCTGTCTCTCTGTCAAATAAATGAATAAAATCTTTAGCCAAGAAATAATGAAATTTGAGTTTGTTTCCAATGTTTAAAAATTAGGAGACTACCTATAAAAATCCAGATTCTCTGGCTTCTCCAAGCAGAGAACTATTGGCCTCCTGCCCACCACAACAAGGGGCGGTAAGAAACCAGAGTGGGATGGTGGCCGCCGCTTTTAACTGAGGCATGAGCATTTCCCACCTGCCACAGCCCCCACCACTCCCTATCGCCCCTCCAACACTGAGGCCAAGCGTTGTTCCCACTATCGCTGTGCTTGTGCTAAACCGATCTTGGGATTAGGACTCTCTATCCCAAGTGGGAAAATAACAGACAAAAAGGATGCAGATTCTAAGGAAAAGTCTTCACATTCCACCCACCACCCTCCTTCTCGTTGCCTGCCAGCCCCAGCTCCAGTCCAAGAGGCTTTAAGGGCACAGACCGCGTCCCGACCATCTTTGCGCCCTTGGACCCAGGGGTTCACACCTGATGACTGGTAAAGCTGTGAACATGTGAACCAATGCCCCAGCCACTCCTTGATCACCCTCGGATGTACACGGCAATGACCTCTTACAAGAGTAAAAAGGTGCCCACAACTAAATGCCCATCAGTGGGAGAATAATCACGTAAAATAGAATTCCCACCCACAGAATGGATATTTTAAGACCCCATGACCCACCAACTCCATTCCTAGGCATTTCCCCAGCCAAAACACATACATGCCTTCACCAAAAAGACAGGTGCAAGAATATTCATAGGAGGGGTGCCCAGGTCACTCAGTGGGTTAAAGCCTCTGCCTTTGCCTCAGGTCATGATCTCAGGGTCCTGGGATCGAGCCCCGCATCAGGCTCTCTGCTCAGCAGGAAGCCTGCTTCCTCCTCTCTCTCTGCCTGCCTCTCTGCCTGCTTGTGATCTCTGTCTGTCAAATAAATAAAATCTTTAAATATATATATATATATATATTCATAGGACTATCTGCAATGAGCCCAGAAACTCTTAAGTTATCCAAAAGCCCACCGCAAGTAGGATGGACAAAGAAATCCTGGTGTGTTCACACCACAGCAGCGCTGTTGCACAGCGGGGAGGATGAGCAAAGCATGACTATATCCAGCCCCGGAGCTGGATCTCACCCACAAAATTTAAGCCAAAGAGGCCAGACAGACAGACAGACACACACACACACAATGACAGGAATAGAATCATTCACACTTGCCAAAAGGCGGAAACCACCTGCAAACCCAATATCCATCAGGAGCGAGCGGGTAAACACAAGGGGATCTACCCACACTGTGCAATGTTCTTCAGGCCTCAAGAGGGATGGAGGACTGATCCGTGCTACACGGATGCGTCTCAAAACATGATTGATGCTCAGTGAGAGATGCCGGACACGACAGGTCATGTGCCGTCTGACTCCATCTATAGAAAGTGTCCAGAACAGGTCAGTCCACACAGACCCAAAGCAGGCTAGTGGTTGCCAGGGGCTGGGGGAGGACAGGCTGGGGTCTCCTTTGGGGTGATGAGAATGTTCTAGAATCAGACAGAAGTTGGTGTTGCTCATCTTGGTACATGCGCATCCACGTGTCCAAAATTACCAAACTGTATACTTGAAATGCCCACCGCTTATTCAAAGTAGACGATACCTCTGCAAGGCTTATTTTTACAAACTAGAACTCATTGGCGCAGTTAGGAGGCAGATTAGTGATCATCCTTGTTGGGGCTGGGTAGACTGGTAGAGGGAGGGGGTGCAGGGGGGCCTCTGGGGGACTGATAATGGGCCGGGCATTGATTAGAAGGAGGCGTTCTGTTGGTGGAGATGCATTTAGGACTTGGACACTTTCCTAATTGTATGTGACACTTTGATCAATACGTTTTCGAGATAAAGCAGGCCAACAGCTGACGACTGAGCTCCGGACCAGCTCCTTGTCTCTATGAGCCTGTCCCAGGTCTCAGAGCCCGTCCCAGTCAGAGGTGATGGAGGCCTGAGTCCACAGCCCAAAACCTCAGGCTGGTGAGGAGAGGGAGCTGGATGGGTACAGGTTCCCCGCTCCCCTTACCTTCTGCTGTATGTCTCTCAGCTTTCTGGACCTTTCTCCTGGACAGTCAGGGTGGGGTCCCCATGGTGTGGGCTCTGGTTCCGGCTCTGGGGATTTCTCTGGCTGGGCCTGTGTCTCCTCTTCCTGTCCCCAGAAGGACTTGCTGCCAAACAGCCTGTGGACGATTTTCTCTGCATTTTCCAGCCGGAGGCCAAGCTGGGAAGAAAAGCCAGGGCTCACTGAGGAGTAGCGTGGTTGGCTGATCCAAAGCTGCAGAGCTGGGGGCTCAAAGTGAGGGGAGAGGGTAGCAGGCTTGGGGAGTGTACTCTGGGCTCCCCAGGGTCCACCTGGGCCCAAGGCAAGGGGCACCACCTTTTCAAATCAGCAAGTTCCACATATGTTGGGCAAATGTCCCTCAGCAAAAATCCTTACCGATTCTTTAGGGCCTGGTTCCTATGTCACTGCCTCTGGGAAGTCTTCCCTGATTTCCCACATCACTCCCTTCCCATATTCCCCACCCCCAGACCAAATCTATCACTGCTTCCTCTGAGAGTCCAGCAAAGAATTTCTGGGTCACACTCATGCTGTCATCTGTGTGTCTCCCTTGCAAGATTCTGAGCTCCCTGAGAGCAGGGACCCCATGTCTCCTTCACTAGGCATGCTGAAGGCCCGGTTGGTGGGTCATTTTGTATTGATTTGACTGGGCCATGGGGTCCTGACATATTTGGTCAGACAGAATTGTGAGTGTTTTGTGAGAGTGTTTCTGGATGAATTTAACTTTTTTTTTTTTTTTCGATTTATTTATTTTAGAGAGAGCACGCAGGGGAGGGGGTGCTGGAGAGAGAGAATCTTAAACAGACTCCATGCTGGGCTCAGAGCCTGTCGCAGGGTTCCATCTCATGACCCTGAAATTACGACCTGAGCCAAAACCAAGAGTTTGATGCTTAACTGACTGAGCCATCCAGAGGCCCCTGATTTAAAATTTAAATCAATAAACTGAGTCAGGCAGAGTACCCCCATAATGTAGGTGAGCCACATCCAATCCATCGAAGGCATGACTCAAACAAAAAGCAGACTCTCCCCCAACCACGGGATAGTTCCTCGTGACTGCCTCTGAGCTGGGACATCAGGGGTTTTTTTCCCACCTTCACCCTAAACTGAAACATCAGCTCTTTCCAGGTCCCAGACCTCCAGACCGAGACTATACTATTGGTTCTCAGGCCTTCAGACTCAGACTAGAACAATGCCATTGGCTTTCCTGGTCTCGAGTTTGCTGACCACAGATCTTGGAACCTGTCAGCCTCCATAATCATGTGAGCCAATTCCTTAGAGTAAATCTCTTTCTAGATATAATATATTCTGCTACTTCTGTTTTTCTGTTTCTCTGGAGAACCCTGACTAATACACCTAGCCTGGTCGGTTCTCAAAATTTGATGGATGAATGAATGAGTCCTTTCTGTTCCTCCTTCCCTCCATCTGCCCGTTCACCCAGGCATCTGTTCAGTCACCCTTTGGCCCTTCCCATCCATCTATCCATCCGTCTATCCATCCATCCACCCGTCTTTCCATTCATCCGTCCATCTATCCATCCAACCATCCATCAATCCATCCATCCATCCTTTTATCCTTCCAGCCACCTTCCCTTCTTTCCATCTATTGTGCCTTCCATCGTTCCACCAAAAAATGTTGAATTTACCCAGAAACACTCCCACAGAAACACCCACAATTCTGTGGGACTAAACATGTCAGGATCCCATGGCCCGGTCAAATCAACACAGCATGACCCACCAACCAGGCCTTCAGCGTGCCTAGAGAAGGAGACATGGGTCCGTGCTCTCAGAGAGCTCAGAATCTTGCAAGGGAGACACACAGACGACAGCATGAGTGTGACCCAGAAATTCTGTGCTGGGCTCTCAGAGGAAGGAGTTATCTCCAAGAGCATCTGTACAGAAAACACCAGAGGGCCAGCCATTGGCAGATCTAAGCCCACACCCCTAGCTGATCATGTCTGGACAAGCTCTCTGTTCTCCATACATTAGAAGAGGTCGGGAGAAGGCACAGAGCACACTCCCTTGGACAAGCCTCAGGGGCCTGGGGGAAGGAGATGAAAGCGCACCAAGGTAATCCAGTATGCTCAAGTTTGCTGGATATAGGACCTCAGAGACACTGCTTCTTTTGTTGCTACACCCCATAATCCATTCTCCACATGACTGCCAGAATGTTCCAATCATGTCACATCCCTCTCCAGCTTAAAACCCTTCGATGCCGTGGCCCTGGTCCTCTCTGCCCTCCCATCTTACTTCTCCTCACTCCCTGGTCTACTTCCGCTCCTCTGACACATCAAGTCCTTTCTCGTCCCAGGACCTTTGCACATACTGGTGCCCCTGCCTGGAAGGCTCTTACCCCAGCTCTTCACCAGGTTGCTCACGCTCCTTCTTCAGGTCGCAGCTCAAACCTCACCTTCGTACACAGTACTTAGAGTTGCCATTGTTTTATCAATGTGTTTACTCATTTTTTATCTGCCCACCTCTCTGGGCAAGGATCACGTCTCTCTTGTTGACTGTCAGATTCTGAGAGCCTAGCACAGCACCTGGTTTATGTCAGGTTAGAAAACAGGTAATTGTGCAATGGATGGCAAGTGGGTGGGTGGATAAGTGTGGATATGTCGATGGATAGATGGATGGGGAAGAGCGTAGATGGAGAGAGGGGTATAATTGCATATTAATGAACAGATAGAGGAGGAAGGAAGGAAGGAAGGAAGGAAGGAAGGAAGGAAGGATAGATGGATGGAGAGATGGATGGATGGATGAATGGATGGTTGGGAGGATGGACGGGAAGATGGATGGACAGATATACAGATGTATATAGGGGTGGGTATACAGACAGATGAGTGTGTGGGTACATAACTGTGTGTGTGTGTGTGTGTGTGTGTGTGTGTGTGTGTGTATGACTAGAGAATGCAGGGGTGAGAGCTTGACAGGGAAATGGATGGGAGGCTACATGAATGGATGGATGACAGGGGTAGATGGTTGATGCACGAAGGTAGACAGATATACAGCTGTACGGGTGGCTGGGTGCACGGCCGACTGACCGGGAGAACAGGCACAAGGCAGAGCAGTCGATCCATACAGTGAAGAGGTCATCCGTGGAAAGAAGGGGGGATGCGATTGTTTCTGGCCCCAAATCTAGAAGAGGCCCCAAGAGACCACAGCAGGCCCCCTCGTACCTCCAGGAGGTTGAAGGCATGACCTAGAACGTGGATGGTCAGGTTGGTCGTGGCAGAGCGGGGGAGGAAGGAGGCTGGAGAAAAGAGAATGGTCCTCTCCAGGTTGGCTCCCAGGCTGCCAGACACTAGGAAGAGAGAGGGAGAGAGGGTCAGTCCACTCCTGCCCCTCACAGAGCAGGGTCTGGCCACTGAGGGGCGATAGCCTGGGAAAGGGAAAGACGGGGTGTGTCCTCTCCAGCAGGACACGTGTCTCAGCCTTAGGCCTCATCAAGAGCCCAGGAAAGGCCGGAAGGGTCAACCCCTGCTCACAGGCAGAGAGAGGGCACAGCCAGGGCACCCCACCCTCCACCCCCAGACCTCCAGAGTGGCTGAAGTAGTCTGGGTGCCTGGGCTAGAATGGGGTTTCCTTCTGGACGCTCTGTGTCATTGTGATAAGGAGGTGACAGCCCCAGCGTGGAGCTAATCTCCTTGTAACACCGGGGAGAAAGTTCTCCAACTCGCAGGCGCACCACAGAATCAATGCCGATTTACACAGAAACAGATGACACTAGGGAACGAACATCCTTGAGCCACGTGTCCTCAAAGGTTTAGAGCTCCTGGGTCCCCAGGGCTTTGTGGCCCCAGAGCAGGACCGCACCTGCCCAGGATGGCCATACCAGAGCGGAAGGTGACATCAGAATAGGACGAGTGTTTCCAGGCCTCTGGCTGGAACTCCCGGCTCAGGATGTCCTCGGGGAGGGCGTCCTGGAGAGCTCGCTTCAGGGGGTCGCCGGTCTCCAGCAGCTGTGTCAGGTGACTCCACACAAAGGAACCCACTGGAGTCGGGTCACAGCCAGCAGGCAGGGGAAGGAAGAGGAGGGAGGAGGGGAAGGATGAATCTGGAACTGACATAGCCCAGAGAAAAGAGCCCCCTGAACCCCGATCCCGAGTTCTACTATGTCCTCATGCCAGGGTATCCACATTTTCTTTCCAGAAATACTGGCAAACAGCTGGGCCTTAATGGAACGTGGAAATCTAGCCTGTGCACAGCCCTGGGACATGCCCCTCCTGAAGGGAGAAGGAGGCATTGTGGGGAAAGCTCTAGCTTGACAGTCAGACCCAAGTCTGAATCTCGGTTCCACCACTCAGGAGCTGTGTGACCTCAGGCTGGTTACTCTCCCTCTCTGAGGCTTAGTTTCCTCATTTGTGAAATGTAGTAACCACCCATCTCCCAGGGCTGTTGGTGCAGACGAGTCAAGAGGAAGCCTGGGCCCAAAGAACAGAATGTCTTTCAGGCTTGGCAAAGGTGTGATAAGCAATTTGTGATGGGGGTCCTCTCTCTCAGGCTCTCTGGAGGAGTAAAAGTCAAATGACAGCATCAATGGGAGAGTCCAGTTAGGGATACTAGAGTTTAACTGGGAACCCTGAATCCTCTTGGTTGTCTCAGGCTCTCAGAAGGCCCAAGAGGGAGCTTCTAGAACAATCCATCAAGGAAGAGAATGGAATCAGGCTTTTGTTCTCACTGGGCAGCACACATAGGCCTGGTGCCCCAGGGCCTCCACTGAAGCTGAGCACTTTGGCTGATCCCCAGGTGATGGGGCTTGGCCCAGTGGCCTCCCATCCCTCACACATCTCACCCCATCCTTGAAACTGCCAACGAACAGTTGTATCTTCTAGCAGTACCGTTTCTTTTCCCTTTGGGGGGGGTACGGTTTCTTTAGAAGGTAATTCAGCAGTATCACAGACTTTTAAATGTGTATGCCCCATAACCCAGCCATCTGCCCTCTGGAAAAGTATCCTACGGCTAGATTAGCACAAGGTCCCAAAGGTGGATGCATGGAGAGGTTCAATTTGCTGGTTGTTTCTTGTGACAAAAGCCCAGAAATGACCGAAATGCCCATCAGTGAGGACAGGTCAAGGGGAATATGGTGTAAGCTCCTAGTAGGATATCATGCAACAGGAGATAAGAGACCACATGTCCTGATGTGGAAGGAGCCCCCAGAAATGCCAAAGGCAAAAAGCAAAGGCACAACAGCCTATAAAACATGATCCTGAGGTGCTGGTGTTTGGGAGATCCACGGACAGGCTCATCTGTGCGCTCCGAGTTCTGCTGGGATATAGAAAAGAACTGTTCACCGTGAATGCGTTCAGGCAGTGGGACTAGAGGGCCCGGGGAAGAAGCAGGTAGGTTTTAGTTTGCCACTTCTACTTTCCTGTGCGCTTTGAAACTCTAAACAGTCACACACACACACACGCGCGCACACACACAGCCCTTAAAATGTTCTAAAGGTCTTTGTGTATTAACACAGTTTATGCTCCCTCAAAGAGGAAGGTACTGTGATCATCCCTACTTCACAGATACAGAAACAGAGGCTCAGAAAGGCTTCGTAACTTGTCCAAAGGCACGCAGGTAGGAAGTGGCTGAGCTGGGATTGGAATCCACGCTGTTGGGCTCCAGGCACTCAACTCACTATCCATCAGGGAGAGATTTGTTGAAAATCAGCTGAACTTATTTTTTGAAGTTTCACTTTTAGGTTTAGGAACTGTGGCCAGAGACCCCTGTTTAAAGGAACCTCTCTGACCCCAGAAGGGATCTGAGATTTGTAGATGCCATCCCTCCTCTGTCTCGAGTGTCCCTTCCAGGTACTAGGTCACGAACTGGCCAGAGCTACAAGGGAAGCCACTGACTTCCATCTCTTTTTACAGATAAGGAAATGGAGGACCAGAGAGGAAAAGGGATGCGTGCAAGTTTATCCCATTGCCATACGTATGAGGCAGGGGTATGCCAGGCCAGTTGGTCAGGTGGGGTGGCAAGAAAAGGAGAGCAGGAAGGGGTTAAGAGCACCCTCCAGGAAGCTCTGGGCCGGCCCCAGCACCCCCTCTCCCAGCTGCCCTGCTCACCCTGGGTGGACTGCTCGGCTGCCTGGGTCCGCCGCACCTGCGCAAACACGGCCTCGCCAGGGCATCTCATCAGGGCCAGGTAGGCATTGATGCGGATCTCGGCATCCTCCTCAGGGTTTTGGTATAGATGGGAGAGTGCAGTTCGCTGGCTTGGGCAGAGCAAAGGCCATCACCTGGGGCCCGTCCACCTCCATCCGCCTCCACCCAGTAGCACAATGTCCCTCAAGCTGTTCTGGCTCTGGGGGCGGTGGGGGGGGGGGGGCGGTGGCCCTGCTGCCCTGTCCTAGCTCACACAAAGTCACAAAGTACTCACTGCAGGAGGCCTCCCTGACACGCTCATCTGTGGGCCAGCTGTAGCCAGTGGTAGGGTCACTGCTAAGCCCATCCTCCCCCAGTCCTCCCAGCACAACCGTCCACCCATCTACTCTTGCAGAAATATTTACTGAGCACCTACTATTAGCCCAGCACAGTGCTAGATGATGGAAGCCACCCGAAGCTTACATTCTAGTGCAGGAAGACAGACAGCAAACAAGGTTAAGTTGCAAAGTATAGAACACATTAGGTGCTAAGTACTAAAAAGGGAAAAATTAAATGGGGAAGCAATTTCAGGTGAAAGAGCCAAGAAAGACCCCACGGTGAAAGTGGTTTTTAAACAAAGACCTACAGGAGGTGAAGAAGGGAAGCCTGGGGATTTCCAAGGGAAGGGGAAACAGCACATGCAAAGGGCCTGTGGCAAAAGTGGGCCTGGAGTATCTGAGGAACAACAGGCAGCTTGGCGTGTCTGGAAGCAGTGGGGGGCGAGGGAAGGAGGAGATGAACCCACAAGGTGCTAAGCGGGCCTGTGGTCAGAGCACATAGACCTTGCTAGGTCACTGTAAGGACTTTGGCTAGTGGCTCCCTTCTCAAAGGGGCCAGCAAACCTTTTGGCAAAGGGACAGATGGTAAATTTTTCTGGCTTTGCGGGCCATACCGTCTCTCCTGCCACTGCTCAACTCCACAGCAGCACAGACAACACACAGAGAGCAGGCACAGCCGCATTCCAGCAAAGCACTGTGTACAAAACAGGCAACAAACAAGGAGGGGCCTGCGGTCCAGAGCTCACCACCCCCTGAACGAGAGGGTTTGCAGGGATGGCTTCTCTGTGGTTTGCAATCATATGCTTATCTGTGTGCTTATTGGACAAGTATGTGCCTCCCACCAGACACAGGATTTGTGAGAACAGAGACACGGGTTCTCATTCACACCAGGGCCCAGCACATAGTAGGTGCTCAGTAAACATGTGATGAATGAATGACCACATAAAGAGGTGAACTGGCCAATGGTGGTTCAAGACCCACAGTTGCCCCATCGTCACCCTAGCCGATGACAAGCAGGAGCTCACATCTGCAGAGCAGGGGACCCTCCGGAAGGCCTGGATGGCCCCCAGGCGGACCTCAGGGGGGCAGTCCCTCTGAGATGCGTAGGTACTTAGTGTTGGGGTGAGAGCCGTGGCCGCCAGGCCCGCATTGCCAATCGCCTTCAGCACAAGCTGGAGCTGGAAAGAGATGGCGTTGGGGCCTTGAGGCCTGGTGGGGGAGCTCAGCCCACCCACCCACACAGCCTTAGGCTCCCCTGCATGGCTTGGGCCCCACCAAGGGGCTGTGCCCAGGATTCTGCCTGTCCTCACCTGCTCAGGGTCTGATGGCTCCCGGAAGGTGCAGTTGGCCCCCAAGGCCTCTTCCAGCATCCTCACGAGGGAGCTGACACCAGGCAGGTGTCCACAGGGCCCATCCAGGGAGGCACAGAGGTTGTGCGTCAGGGCCGAGACACCAAGGAGGGCACTGGGGCTGGTCCCCGAGGTCTGCAGAAGAGGCTGGGGACAGAAACCGGCCCCCACCCAAGCCCAGAAGGCTGGTGAGGTGGCCCTTCCCAGGTCTCCCCACATAGAGCTGAGCCCCCACCCTGGCTGCCCACGGATTCCTGAAAAGACAGAGGCCTGGCCCCCCTGAGAATCTGAAGAGGCTGCTCCGAGAGGGGACTTGTCCACAAGTGTCCTTCCTAAAGCACCCAGGTAGCCCCGTATATCAAGGAGGGAAGACCACGCCATTGGGCTGACCGGGGCAGGGCCCTCGGCCATGTCTGAGGACGGTTTTGGCTGTCACACCTGAGAAGCAGGCTTGTCGGTGTCCAGCAGGCAAAGACCTGGGCTATTGCCAGAGGCCCTCTACTACGCAGGGCGACCCCCACAATGAAGAAAGGCCCACCCCCACCATCCACAGTGCCGTAGTTGAGAATCCCTGGGTGTGGTCACCAGGTGGGAGGAGCGAGGCGCTGGCGGGGACGTCCTCAGAGCAGGACACGGTGGAGTGGCCAGAGACATTAGGGTAAATTGTTAACAACCAACCCGCCGCCCCCCACCCTGGGGAAAATGCCAGCCCTAGCGTGGAGCGCTTGCCAGTTTCTGGGGTGTAAATGCTCCCACCACGTGCTCTCCAGCGCTGCGGGGCCAAGAAGAGCTCAGGTCCGGCATGCGGGGTTGGAGGGGGGCAGCGGCCACACGGCAGGTGCACACGCACAGCCAGCGTACGGAAGCCCAGCAGCAGACACGCGTTGCAGGACCAGAATGGGGAATTAAGTCTCTATTACTTCTGCCCGTGTGAGCTCATCTGGGCGGTATGAGCGAACGTGTGTGTTCTTGTATGGGTGTGCACGTGTCCTCCAGCACACACGTCTATCCTGGGGCGCGTGTCCCCATGCATGTAGCTGCACGTGCTTGAGTGTGTCCCAGTGCATGTGTGTGCACATGGGCCAACATCAGTGTGTGCCTTGTGTATATACATGCGTGTCTTGATGTGTATATGTACCCGTCCCAGTGTATCCTGGGAGGCACGTGTGTAGCCAGGTGCGGGTGGCTGTCCCCACTTGTCCCTATGATTCCAGGCGTGGAATCATATATGGACATATATGATGGAATGCACATATATGATGCATCTGGGTGTGGACATCTACATGTTCAGGTATGTGTGCGTGCATCTTGGTGGGTATGTCTCCATATGTTTCAGTGTGTGGGGGTGTGGCCCCCTGTGGCCTCAGGGGAGTGTCCTTGGGGTATGGGAGTCTCCATGTGCATGTTTTCTTTGTGAAAGGAAGGGGATGTGCGGCCTGGAAAAGTGCGTCCACCGTGAGTGTAGATCGGGCAAGTGAAGACAAACCCTCCCGATTCTGTATACCGCGGAGAGAGCGCAGGGGTTATGAAAAGTGGAGAGAAGCCACTCGAGCACGTGGGAGGAGGGTTCCCGCTGGCCAGAGGTTCTGCTCCAGCAAGGCTGCGGAGGGGAGGTGGGGTGGACTCGGGCCCTCCCGGCACCCAGACCCAGATGGAACTGGAGAGACGGTAGGGAGAAATGGTAGAACGCCATGGGGAAGGCCGGGTGGCTGCAGCCACTCCACTCGTCGCAGGACTCGGACAGCCAGGCCAGCTCAGGCCAAGGCTCCCGGAGAAGCCCAGACAGGAATGATCCCGCGTGGATGGCCGTCCTGGGGGTCTGCCCCAAACTGCCAGGCTTCCTTCACAACCGATTTCCCTTTTCCAATGCGACTTGAATACTCACTCCTTTTGTCCCAAAACAACACTCTCCAAGACGCCAAACCACAAAACTAGTAGGAAACAAAGAAGAAGGAGGAGAAGGAGGAGGAGGAGGAGAAGGAGGAGGAGGAGGAGAAGAAGGAGGAGGAGGAGAAGAAGGAGGAGGAGGAGGAGAAGGAGGAGGAGAAGAAAGAAGAAAGAAGAAAGAAGAAAGAAGAAGTAGTAGTAGTAGTAGTAGTAGTAGTAATAGTAGTAGTGACAGCACCCTGGGGAGCTCAGAAGGACCGCCAGGCTGGATTTCCCAAACCAGGAACTTCTAACTCCCATTCTTCAAGGGACACCATTTGGAGAAGAAACGGCAAAGAGCCTGAATGCGGGTCAGCAATGGAACAGAGTCTGCACATGCGCGCGCACATGCACGCGCATGCATCTGCATGGGGATGCACGTGCACGCACACACATGCACATGCGCGCAGAGCACGGACGACTCTGACAGAGGATGCGGGAGAAAGAAGCCACACTTCAGGTGCACATGAGCTCACGGTATGACGGTCAAGAGCAGGCAAAACTGAGTGATGGCCAGAAAGGTCAGCATCCCTGCGACCTGTGCGTCACGGATGGGGAGGGGCATGAGAAGTGGGTGGGGAGAAGCAGGAAATGTCCTCCCATCTTCTAGGAGAGGGTACGCCGGTGTAAAACCATCAAGCAGGACGCCTGGGCGCCGTCTCCTGATTGTGTGGTTTAATGCGTAATTTAAAACACACCCCCTCCCTGCAGTGGGGAGCCCTGGTTGGGACCGTGCCACAGACGGAGTCTGTGGGGCAAGCAGTGGGATCTGAACTGCTGGAGTTTGGTTAATAACAACATACAAATGTCAATTTCTCGGATGAGACAATGACACCCTGGTGACGGCGGACCTTAACACTGGGGGACCCTGAGCCACAGATACACAGAAACTCCGTACTAGCTTTGCAACTCTTCAGAACACAAAAAGTTATTCCACAATAAAAAGTATATTAAAATACTCTCCTGCCTGCCTCCCATCTCCCTCCTCCACCCTTCTCTAACCCCCTCCCTCTTTTCCCTGGCCCCTCTCCCCATCCTCTCCCCACCCCTTCCAGGCTGCAACAAGCGAGCCTGCACCCCCAGCACAGGCCTGGCACGCATGCGTCCTTGTGGACCGGACAAGAGAACAAACAAACCCATCCAGAGAGATGCCAGCTCTGGCCTGGAGGACAGGTGAGGCAGGGGGTGAAGATATTGGGCTCTGTGAGCAGATGGACCCTGCCGGCTCTGCTCACTGTGTCTCCTTGACAAGGGGTCACAGTAGTGACCCCTGCCGCGTGCAAGACACTTGGGACACATCACAACTCCTTAATCGACAGAGTCTCCCCACCCGTTGCCCCCACCACACGATGGAGAAACTGAGGCACAGAAAAGTTCAGTGCCTGGTTGGAGGTCATCGCGGTAAGGGACAAAGCTGGGGTCCAAATCTGGATCACCCCTGCTCCCTGCTGGTGTCCTCTGAATCCTCACCCACGACCTGCCTGGCACAGCAGGGTGAGGGGCGACAAGAGATGGTGCCCCTAGGGCAAGCGAGGACACACCCCATGGAGAAGAGGGGAGCAGCGGGGGGGCCTCAGTTTCCTGCCATAGGGGCACCATCCAAGCACCTACCTCCCAGAGGCATCATCAGGGTTCACTAAGACCTCCAGGTTGTTAACACACCCTCGGCCTTGACTTCACACACATTTCTTGGTTTCAAGACTCAGTAGACTTATGTGTTTACAATAACAAGAGTGGCTCTCATTTTAAAGTGCTCAGATGCGGTGCCGGACTCTGGGAGAACGAATTTACATGCATCATCCTGTCTCTGAACCCCAGCCCAGGAGTAAAGTACTTGTTCCATCCCCCTCTTCCAGATCAGAAAAACGGGCTCAGAGAGGTTAGGTCACCTGCTCAGAATCACCTAGCGGGCAGAACACTGTTGAGACTCAAACCCAAGATCTCTCTGTTCTGTCCCCACCAGTACCACGAGGGTCTGACACGAAGGCCTGACAGAAGCGGGTCACCCCCAGCATCCTTTCAGCAGCCAAGTGGGGGAAGGAGAACAGGGGGCTGGGTCGGGGGGTGGGGTGGGGTGCTCACCAGCAGCGTGTGGACCATGGCATCTGTGGGCTGCGGGACAAAGGCCAGCGACCAGAGCCACGCCTCCATCTCGTCCGCCTCCACCTCCCCCGACACGATGAGGTCCTTCATGAGGCCCACACAGGGCTCGGTGCCGCAGGAGGGCAGGGCGTCCACCAGTGGCTGCCTACAAGAGATGCCTAGGGAGGTCACGGAGGTGGCCTCCACCTGCAGAGCACCTTCCAGGCCTCCTCTGGGCATCCCGGGAATGCTTTGAGGCTCCAGGAAGGGCGACGGACATGTGTCCAGGATCACACACGCACATGTGTCCAGGATCACAAACCCTGACATGTGTCCAGGATCACACACCCACACAGCCCTGAGCTAGGGCGGGGACCCTAGCTTTTAGGGTCTACAGGGACAAGTGCAGCTCATTCCAAACCCTGGCAGGTCTGCCCCCACCCTCGCCCCCAGGAGAGAGTGGCTTCCGGCAAGACGAGCCCTGCCCACTCTTCTGCTAAAAGGCTTGCCACGGTCACCAGGGAGGGGCCGGCACCCCTGCCGTCAAACAGGAATCAAAAGCCAGGAGGTGCTTTCTCCCCAAGGTCAACATCAAGACTCTTCTTTTCTTTTTGTAGATTGCAGAAAGGTTCAGAAGCTCAGAAAAGGTTTTTAACTTTTATGCAATGGTGGCTCTGAGTAGGGATGCGACTGAAGGAGAGGACGGTCCCCGGGGGCACAGCAGAAACAGGACGCAGTAGGAGCCAGCAGGGCACACACAGGCAGACCGGGCCACCCACCCCCTGATGAGTGACGCCAGTGACTGGAGAGGACCAGACGCCCCACCCCAACATGCCGAGCCACCCTCTGCCTATAAATGGTCCCTGGCCTCAGTTTGCTCATCTGGAAAATGGGGATGCTGATGAATGAACCTGCCCCGCCGTGCCCAGGAGCCCTTGGAAACACAGAGGTCACTTTGTCCGAGTAACGTCCTACCTGTTCTTCCCACCTCCCACCTTCACACTCCTCTTTTCCCTACAGATTTGGGCCCTGGAGAACCATGCTCTGGTCCCATGTGGAGGAGACCTCCAAAAGGATCTGTCCTCTCAGAAACTCCTAGATTTGGGATGGGTCTCCCACCTCCCTGACTCCCAGCATCTACGTGGACCAGGGAGACACGGGCTTGTAGGAAAATCCAGAGTAGCAGGCCCGTTATATGTTACCGGGGAAAGAGGCAGTTCCTCCCAAAGTCTCCAGGCCCTTGCCTACATCAGACAACATTAAAACGTGCCTAAGTCAGACATCACTTCTATTTAAGCCCATGGATACCAGATGGAGAAGCCCAGACCGCTTAGGTTCAAATCTCATCTTGGCTGTGTGACTCTGGGCCAGAAGGAAGCCTTGGCTTCCTTCTGCACATGTAAAGCAGGAAACAGAATAAAGCCACCTAGCCCATGGGGTCCTTGCGGGGGTTAAATCAGAGAATACGGGGGCGCCTGGGAGGCTCTGTCAGCTAAATGTTCAAGTTTTGATTTCAGCTCAGATCATGATCTTGGGGTCATGAGATCAAGCCCCTGCATTGGGCTCTGTGCTCAGCGTGGAGCCTGCTTGAGATTCTCTCTCTCCCTCTCCTTCTGCACCTCCCCCTACCCCACACACCCCCTCTCTTTCAAATAAATAATGTTTGAAAAAGTAAAATGCGAGAATACAGAGAGAGGGTTTCAGAAGGTGACTTTGCCATTCCGTTTTGCAGTCATTCGGTTAGACACTTGGCAATGCTGACTTTACAGGGTTCCCCCCTTTCATATTTTGTAGCTGATAAGACTTTTGAGATCTTCTCGATAGCCTTTGAGAAAGTCCCAGACGTCTGGATCTAGGGGCCTGGAGAGCGGCTGGACTTCGGGAAGGAGCCCCAAGCTTCCTCCTACCCTGCACAGCCCTGAGCTCAGGGAGCTCCTCAGAGATCCCACTTGGCCCCAGGGTCTCTACACACCCCCTTGCAGGCCCCACATCAGGAGGGTCGAGGTGGTGGGATCCTAGCCTGGCCGGCTCCCCCAACCCACAGGCAGAGGGGGACCCAAGGCACATTGGAATGCTAATTCCAGCTCGAGCCAAGAGGGTCCCAGTCTGGGGAGAGAACAAAGCCTGTATTTATCCTGCCAGGCCTTTCAGCTTCAGTCCCAAGAGGGCCCGGCCCGTGGGAACCTCCAAGCTCCCTGCTTAATCACCTTCTTGGCAGCCATCCCCAGACTGAAGGACAAGTCAATATCCCAGGGATGAGAGGGGAGGAGATATCACCGTCCATGCCTCCATGGGGACCTGGGACAGTATCAAGACCAGCCAGCCCCACCCCCATCCCCCGGAATGCCAGCCAGCTCCTGGTCCCCCTCGTCCCCGCAGAAAGGTCCTTACCAGTTGTCCCGGCATTTAAAGGAAGACTGTCTCCAGAGTATCCTCAGCTCGTCTGGGGAGAGGCCCTGGAGCTCGGACACCAGCGTCGAGAACAGTTCTGCAGCCTGGGAATCAGAGGGAGGGGCAGAGTAAGAAACCAGGCAACCTGGGGGGCAGGAGGGGACACCAGGGTCATCTCAGCCATTCCCCTGCCTTCGTGCAGGACTGCAGAGAAAGTGGGAAAGGCATTAGCATCATCTTCCGCCCGAGGTGTCCTGAGACCCAATGAAATGAGGCTACGTGTCTGGGCTTTTCTCCATGGAATCCTTGGCACACAGGCTGGCCCATTTTTACTCTTTAACAAGCATTTATTGGGCGCCTACTGTGTGCCAGGCCCTGCACTAGGAGCTAGGGACACGGTGGGGAGAAAAACAGACATGATATCCACATTTGTGGGCTTTATGCTCTAATAAAATCGTTAAGTGTTCACTGTGACCATATCTAGTTATTACAAGGAGTCTTAGCAGATTTTGTATAGTGAGATAGCAATATTTCTAGTATTTGTAATGAAAGAAACACATAATTGAGAAAAAGAAATACAAGAACGTTTTTCAGAATTCCGAGCAGAGATGGCTAAGGACGATGTTGCCGGTTCTCTCTCTTGTGGGCAGGCCTGACGAGCACAGTCCCTTAAGGTCCAAACACACCCAAGGAAATAAAGGACTATATTCAGAGCCCGCACCGCTTAGATCTTAGGAGATACATGGTTTGGTTCTGGCTGGCTGCTGGCAGCGCCCACGCTTTCCCCAGGCTTGGCCAAGGCCAGGACTGAGCCCTTCCCCCACCCCCACCCCACCTCCTGGACACCCAGGGGTCCAATGGGGCTGGGAGCAGCGTGTCTGGCCTCAAGCCTCCTGTGCTGAGTGGTGGGGACCCAGTTTCCGTGCACACAGCTTGGCTCAGCAAGACACAGGCTGTAAACCAGACCCCTCACTGGCCAGCTCAGCCCACCCCCGGACTCCTGCCAGCACGTCTGCCCCCCAGGGTCCAGGCAGCATTCCCATAACGTGCCTTCTGTTAGCAGAGCTGGTGGCTACTCTTAGTGCTGTCTTTCCTTCCCTGTGCAGAACACCCAAGCCAGCTCCTTGTTGGGGCGGGAGGTGGGGAGGTGACGGCTGGCCCTGGCTGCTATCAGCCTTGAAGACTGTGTCTCCCCAGCTCGGGGCAGCTACCCTGGGGCCTCTCAATTCCAGGCCTGCTGCGTGCCTTCTGGAAGGGCTCAGACCCTTTTCCTTCCAGCTGGTGGCTGCCTTTCCCCAGCAACACCCGAGATCCTCTGGGCTCAGCCACCCATGCTTCTAAGTCCTCCAGCTAGCATGGACACTGTTGTCCCTAGCCAAGCACGCCGCCTCCTCCAGGGAGGCCTCCAGCTCCAAGTGTTGGCATCAAGACGAGCTTTCCAGAGCCAGGCATGGCCAGAAGGATCTCAACAGCTCGTCCTGGTTTCCCCCCTCAGCAGGGAGAGAAGACAGTAGTCTATCCACTAATAACAAGAACACACATCACTAATACCATCAGCACCGGTCACCTTGAACGGAGCCTCTGCTGTGTGCCAGGCACCATTCTAGGCCATGTGCACGCATCATCCCGTTTGACCTTCACAACACCCTATGCAGAGCAGCTGTCACCGTCCCCACTTAACAGAGAAGATCTGCGACTCTCTGAGCACTTAAGTCAGGGGCCAGGGGGCTCAGCACTGAGTTAAGAAGTGAACCCAGACCACTTAGCTCCTAAACCCACAGCCTTAACCAGTGTCCTCCGGGTTGGTGGGCGGGCGGGGGGGGTGGGAGGAGTAAAAACAAACAAAAACCAAAAATCACAAGAGAAAGGAAAGCTCTGATTTGTAGCAGTTGCTGACTTCCACGGTGCCAGTAGCCCCGCTGCGGCCCCTCCCCAGCGGTCCACGGGCGGCACGGGATGCAGACTCGGGAAGAGCAGCGCGGAGGCGCCATGGGGCGTCCTATTCCCACAGGCGCCAACAGCAGGCGCGAATGACCTCGAGGGTGGAGGTCACAGGCAAGCGACGGTTCTGAGTACTCACTACTTTTGTTTCTAACGGGACTTATTTCTAACTCAATCGCTCATAATGTCTGCATGGGACAACCAGCCTGCAGAATTCCTACCATCAGCTCTGATACACCATGGTCTACCCTTGGCTGTACACAGTTGGTGTTTAATAAAGACCCATGATTTGGGCTCCCTATTCTTAGAATACTGGATGCTAACCCTGAGCCGTGCTGTCTCCCTGAGTCCCACCGCCCTTCGGCGGTAGGTAGGGGGAGCTCCGGCGGTGGTAGGGGGGAGCTGACCCACCCTGCCTCTGTTCAGGCCTCCTCCCACATCCCTGACTGATGCTCACGGCTCAGCAGCCCGCTGCCCCCCACGTCGAAGCTCCTGGGCCTCTCCTCAGAGGGTCAGTCTGGGGAATTTGCTCTCTATTGAACAGAGTCCCGGTTTTGTTTCCAAACCGAAAGCCAATCTTGTCTCCTGCCCACCGACAATGGAGAGGGGCAGGGGCATTCCAGGCTGAAGCTGTGGATGTCGGTCCCCCCGGCAACCAGGCGGGGCCCCCTCACCCCTCCAGGGGGTGGGGTAGGTGGGTGGCAAGGAGCTGCTTGCTGCACACTGAGGCATCCCTGGAAAGCCATTTTCAGGAACAAGGTCTCAGCCACTCACCCCCACCCCGGGGGACCTCCCCAGTGGGAACAATGTACTTCCTTCCTCAAGCTATAAATACACAGCAGCCGACCTGTGCCCTCTGGGGCTGGTGCTGCCAGTCTCCCGGAGGGGGAGCGGCAGGCTCGCAGCATGCCTTGCCGTGAGTCACCTCTGCCAGGGGGAAATGCCCAGTCTGGGAGTCAGAGCGTGCTCTGGGGACCAGACGAGAGGAAGCAGGCCTGTCCTGCGGCTTCCCAGCGGGTCACAAGGACCAGCAGCACGACGGTTAGCCCAGAGGCTGTAAAGCGGCCATTCTCAAAGAGGGGTACTGGGCAGCACCTGGAGACATTTTGGTGCTCACAACTGGGGAAGGGGGTGCTGCTCACACCCTACCATGCACAGGACGGCCCCCACAGTAAAGAATGATCTGGCCCAAGGGGCCAGTCGCGTCAAGGTAAGAACCCCACTGTGGGGGCAGGCCGCCTGGCTTGACGGCTGGCACGGTCACTTACTGGCAGGTGGCCTAGAGGACCATCTCATGAGGCAGGTGGCCCCTTTCCCATGGGCTGCTCTCTGACTCCCACAGAAGCCCCCGGTGAGGCCCACCGGATGGACAAGCTGGGAACCTGGCCCCCAAAACAGCGAGGATAGATATCCACACAGACACAAAACGTATAGTGTGTGTGCGTGCGCGCGTGTGTGTGTGCACGCGCACTATGCATTCGATATGCTCATATGTAATACAGTCTGCTTATTCAATATTTTCTACCACATATTTAATATGTAGTCAATAAAGACAATATTGTCTCCCTACGTATTCAATATATTGTTAAATATTATATATTTTCTCAGGGTCTTTCTGAATCTGACCCTTCTCTCTCCACCTCCCACCCAGACCATTGTCCTTCATGTCACATCCCCCCGCGTTACAGCAAGAGCCTCCTAGGGGGGCTCCCGGCATCCTGCCTGGCCCTCGGTCCATTCTCCAGCCCCAGCCTGCGCGTGAGCGTTAAAATGCACATCAGATTGTGACCTCCCTCCTCTGCACAACACCTCCCAAGGCACCCAGACGCCTGATCTCAGCCCACACCTGCCCGGTCTGAGTATCGGGGCCCGGGGTCTGGGCATCGGTGTATCTGAGAAGCACCCACACCCCATGCTGCCAGGAAGGCTGAGCTTTGGAAAGCAACGGTGTGCCTGGAACACTCGGCACCATGCCTACAGCTGGGGACAGAGGCCCAGCTCTGCCCGTCCCAAGTGACCAATTTCGGTTCCCCAAATCCTGGGTCCTGTGTAAGCAGCCAGTGAAACGGGTATTATCCAGAATAAACAAGCAAGGATGGGGGAACCCTCCCAGGCTGTTACAGGACCAGAGGAAAAACACTCCTTTCTGTTCTCAGCACACAGGCGCTGGGGCCTGAATCAGAAAAATCCCCGTATCTCTCATGCCTTCCATGGGAGGCCAGGGCTCCCACGCTAAGTCAGCAGCAACTCTCGATTGGGGCAGAAATCGTGGCCATGGAGGAATTCTCCATAATGTCAGTGGTGGTGGCACCCAGTGCTGTGAAGGGCAGGATGGTGGGAGAAAGATCGCTATGTGGGCTGGAACATTCTAGAAATCATCCTGACCGTAAGACCCTGCAGGAGCCACCCCACTGGTCCTCACCATCCAGCTCCAGGGAGGCTGGGTGACCTGCTCTCCAGACCTGTCCTCAGGGCTCAGGCTCTGGATTCTGGTCTTTCCAAGCTCTTTTCAGAGCTCCTTCCCCCTAGATGTCAAAGAGACCACCCCAGGTCTCAACTCCAATGTCTTCTGCTTGAGACTCGTGGTCCAAAGTGGTCACTCAGCCACATCCCTCCCCCATTCAGAAAGCCAGCCTGAGAGCCCAACAGTACTACTTGTCCATATACAGAGAGAGGAAAGAAAGGCCTCCTCTTTGCTCACATCCTATCTGTACTGGGGCACAAGGTTGGGCACACACCAGCTAGATCTCTTCCCCTTCTTTTGCTTGTGTAACCAGGCACAGCTGTGCAGTGCACAACCTGTGCAACTGTATGTACATAGCAGCTCTGATCCTGAACATGTAGATCATAAAAGATTTGACAAAAAAAGAACAGGGTGTGCCAGGGACCCAGGCCAAATTCTGGTTTAGGGCTAGAGAAAGCACTTACCTCAAAGCTTGTGGTCTGAGCCAGACACAGTTTCCTCACTGATGTGGCCACCATGACCACCGTAGCCTGAGACGGTGTTTCCTCCCATTCGTACAACAGTCTGCTTGGAGTCACATCTCCATCATCTGGATCTGATATAGGAAGCACTAGATGGAGATGACCATATGGGGGAATGCCAGAATGAGAAGAATGTCTCCTGAGAGCCACCTCCAACCCTACTAACGCTTCCTTCTGCATTCTGACAAGGGGCACAAGGAGGTGGGGGTGGGGACATGCGCAAGGAAAATCATGGCAGCACTGTTGCTACCAGCAAAAGATGGGAAACCACCTTTATACCCATCTGTGAGCGATAGTCAAATAAGGTAACTCCAAAGCCCTCGTGGGATGGACAGAGAAAACGTGAGAAGTCCCTCCATGCAATCAAATGTTATTTCAGAAATAAAAAGGTCAGACATCTGCTACAATGTGAACAAACCTTGAAACATACTAAGTGAAAGAAGCTAGTGATAGAAGGTTACATACCGTATGATTCTATCCACATGGTATGTCCTGATGGGGCAAATCCAGACAGACAGACTGGTTGCCCGGGGGTGATGGCAGGGGGGGTGCGAAATTTGTTTGTGGAGTCACGGAAATGTTGCAAAGTTGGTAGCCATGGTAGGGGTAGGACTCTGACTATACTAGAAGCCATCGAATTATACACTTTAAATGGATTAATTGTACAGCAGGCCAATTAAAATTTTTTTAACTAAAAAATAAAAAATAAAAGTAAAACCACTTATGCGGCACCTGGGTGGCTCAGTCAGTTGAATGTCCAACTCTTGGTTTCAGTTCAGGTCATGATCTAAGGATGATGAGATCAAGCCCCGCATTGGGCTCTACGCTCGCATGGAATCTACATGAGGTTCTCCCTCCCTCCCTCCCTCTCCCTCCTGCTCTCCCTTTCTCTCTCTCAAAACAAGTAACTCTTTAGGGGCGCCTGGGTGGCTCAGTCGGTTAAGAGTTTGCCTTTGGCTCCAGTCATGATCCAGGGGTCCTGTGATCGAGCCCCGCATCGGGCTCCCTGTTCAGTGGGGAGCCTGCTTCTCCTTCTCCCTTTTCCCCTCTCCCACCCCACCCTGCTTGGGCTCTCTGGCTCTGTCAAATAAATATGTAAAATCTTTAAGGAACAATAAAAAATAAATATACCTTTAAAAACAAAATAAAACCACTCGTATCCTAGTGAAGACACGATTAGACACAACTAGCTGCTCCCTCACGGCTAGCACAGTGCCCGAGGGAGCGCTCAGGGGGCAGGTTCTTAGCCCGTGTTCCATGGGGGCAGAGAAGGCGCTGGGAAACCACAGGGCTCTGTCCCCACCTGCCAGGCTCTCCTGCAGTGGAGCAGTGAGCCTGGGCTCAGAAGCACAAGGGCTCCCGTCCAGGGCTACAGAACGGAGCTGGGGTTTTGAGTCTCGGCTCTGCCTCTCACTAGCCGGGTGACCTCAGACAAGTCCTCTTACCCTTGGAGGCACCGTTTCCTTATTCGAAAATGCAACTAATAACAGCACCTTCCTCATGGTACCCTCACAATAAAAAACAAATTAAATAATCCACATGAAACACTCAGCACAGCTCGTGGCCTGAGTAAATCCTTCCCAAGTGTCAGCAGTTAGAAGCATTTTCATTATTCAGAGAAACAGTTTTTCAATCATGCAAAATTATCTTTTCCCCTCAGATGCACACCTTGCTTCTTTCTTCCCATGCAGAACTGGAGGAGAGAGCCAGGCTCCAGGGAATGCTATATGTTGGCAGAGACTTCCCAGAAAAATCAGGAAAGGTGAGTCAGCTTGCCCCCTGCTCCCCAAAAATGGTCAGGTCATCAGATGGAAGGTTTTGTGGGGGAGGTTCCCCACAAAAGCAGGGAACCAGAAGATTCTAACTCCACTGAAGACAACCCAGGGGGAAGGTCAAGACCAAGCCTGAGCCCTCTGAGCCGGCAGAAATTTCTGGAGAAACTTCTAGAAAAAGAGCCTGACTCTTCTGATGATAGCCATTTTCAGAAACGGTTCAAGACAGAGCCTAGGCCTGCTTGAGCCCCTCCACCAAGGGAGGTCCCAAGACTCCTCTGAGGGCCCTCACGTCCACCCTTAGTCACCTGTGACATCTGGCTCCAGGGACATCTCACGCAGCAGGGTGATCGAGTTAAGGGTCCGCATCTGCACAGCACTTGCCTTCTCCGAGAGGGGCCCCACAGTGTCCAGCTCCGTGCAGGAGGCCTCCCTCAGCACACCAGCCTGGAAACTCTGGAGGCAGATGAGGCGGGAGGCCAGGCCAGCCTGCGGGACCACAGGGATGGGGAGAGGCAGGGGCTCAGGGGAGGCCCAGGCTGGGAAGGAAGCCGGTGGCTAATGGGGCCCCTGGAGGGCAGGAGGGAGTGAGGTGGGGCACACCAGGGCCTTCAACAGGGGACCTCAGCACCCACCCCCAACCAACCTGGGTCATAGTACCAGTAGCCCAAGCAAAGCCTGATTGGGGGGGGAGGGGGCTGGTGAGGGAGTGCAGGGGAAGGAAGATGGTCCCAGAAACAGGCACCTGTGTGGAGGCCAGATATCAAGACTTTGTCTAATAGTACTTAAGGGTATCAAGGATCATCTCTTTTTCTTCCCTAGAAACATACTATTTACAAGACATATTCTCTGCAGGCAGCTGTGGGCAGGAGGGGAGGAGAGGAAGTGGGGATCCAGGCCGCCAGCAGGAGCAGAGTGGAGAGGGAGAAGGGAGAGCGAGGGGGGGGGGGGGAAGCTGGAGATGGGGCCGGAAGGGAGAAGTTTGGAGGAAAGGAGAAAGAAGGAAAGGGAAAGGGAGGGACTGATGTGTAGATGGGGCAGGAGAGGGAGTTGAGGGAGGAGGAGAAGGCAGGCGGGACTGGGGGACTGGGTGGGAGGACCCCGAGGCACTTACCTCCTCCCGCGGCAGGGCCTGGGAGCGCAGGAAGGAGCGCACTCGGCGCAGGGAGCAGCGGGCCAAGTCCTTGGTCTTGCGCAGTCGGGCACCCTGTGGCTGGTACGTGGTGGGACACCTGCCCAGGACGTCCATCTGAGCGAGCGGGACCCCCGTCAGCTCCCCGTGAGCCCCCAACTCCGCCCCCGCCCCCCTCCAGGCTCCCGGCCTCACCTCTTCGAGGGTCTGGGGGCCGCCAGCGTCCGGGAGCCCCTGTAGGAGGCTCAGCACTGCGCGCTTCACGTTCAGCGCCCAGCGCGGCTCTGCGCGGCGGGGACACAGGCGGGCCACGCGCCCTGCCTGCAGGGCAAAGCGCAGCGGGTGGCGGCCGAGGGCGGCGCTGGGGACGGTGGGGGGGAGTCACGCAGAGGCCCTCCGAGGCGCCTGGCCGCCTGGGCCGTGGTACCCCTGCTCCCCCTGCTTTAGGTCAGTGGGTCTAGGAAGCCCCCTGGGGAACCCAGCATCTTCCCAAATAGCCTTGCTTCCCCCTTCAACTGTGTTCTCCGGCAACTGGTAACTTCGGAATCAAACACAAGGGGCAGCCGACTCTGCTCAGAGCTGCCCGCCCCCTTATTAACACTTGCCCCCAAATTACCTGTGCATGCCCTGCCTCAAAGAATACAAGTCCGCACTTGTAAGAGCTTTCTGAACAAAGATTCTCATGCGCCCAGCCCACCTGGGAGGCACCTAGCATCCCTCCCCACACACATGTTACAGAGGAAGGGAATGGAATGTGACTGGTTCCAGGCACCAGCTGGGATTTGAACCCAGGCAGGCAGGCTCCAGTGTCATGGATCTCAGAACTCTCATCACCCCCCATCTGCCACCCCACCCACCACAGGAAGTGACTTGAGACTCCATCACTGTGCAAATGAGGAAAAGAGACCCACCCATCACCTGGACCAATGGAGCCTGCATCCTGCATCAGGTGAGCGGATGGGAGGGGGGAGGTGATGGGCAGGGACATCCCCACCATTTTGGGGGGTGGGGTGGGCAGAATAGAGCCAAACTCCAGCAAAGTGTCCCTACTCGCACCTCCCGGGGAGGTCACTGCCCCTTCTCCAGCCCCAGCAGGAATCTGGGGGCCTTCTGGGAGTAGCCCCCCTGGGTCTCAGGCCTGGCCCTAGAGAAATGCTAATGGTGCCCGCCCCTTCCAGAATAGCAAATGTCAGTCTGGCCTCAAGGAGCTGACAGCCCCCAGCCCCGTGACTTAGCATTTCTGATGAGGGGCCCACGGACAATAGCCCGCACTGCCCCCGGAGAGGAGACCACCCTAGGCCTTTCAGCGGGGATCCATCTGCCCCCACAGCATCCCCCATCCCTGCACCCCCCCCACACACACAAAGCCTTTTTTTTTTTTTAACAAATGAATTTGCAATAAAAAAGGAAGAGGAATCTGCAGAGATGGGCTTGTCTTCAGTCTTGCGGCTGGACTGAGCTTTGAGGCCACAGAGGCCACTGTCAGCGAGTCCTGGGAAACAAGCCGGAGGGAGAATTCCAGGCTTGGTCCTTGGTTGGGTCACAAAAGGGAGGCTTAGCTTGGGACGGGAAAGGCCATGGGTCTCCAAGAAAACCCCCATCTCAGCAGAGATGGGGGGGGGGGATGCTGCTTTAATGGAAGATACCAGTGTCTTCCAGAATGCACTCAAAGAAAATGCCCAGAGGCTGCCTGACAAACACAGAATTTGGACAAGCTGGAGGTGACTGGCAGGGGAATAGGAGGTGAGTTCCATCTACCAGGTAAGGGAAGGCCACTGAGAGTGACTTAAGCCTCCTATATCGGTCTTCATCGATGATCTGCTCTGGGAGCCTACAAGGTTAAAATCAAAGGGGGTGTCATTCTTCCAATCTAACATGGTGCAGCCAGCACCTGGCAGCTCTCGGAAGAAGATACGGGGCTCGCACGTCCTGTCCCATGAGGAGCAAGGCCTAGTGTCTTACCTCAAATTCTCTGAGTCCTTCAGAACTGCCACCTCGGACCCCAGGATAGATGTCACCTGGAATTCTTGGAGCTGAAGCGGAAAGGCCCATGAGTCAGGGACCTCTCCCAGGATACCCAGGACCTCACTAGCTCCCCTATGCGCAAAGCAGTTCTGGGGTCCAGCAGGAGACACAGCCCCAGGTAGGGGGGTAGGCAGAGAGATCCCTCCCTTGGGCAGAAGGTTCTAGTTCCCAGGTAGGGGAGGCCAAGTATCTCCAAAGGGTAAATAGGAAAAACAGCCAGGGCCTACCGCTCTCCAGTAAATGTTCAAAAGGTTCACCCTACTTTTTCCTTTTGCCCAAAAGGCCCTGGAAATTGGAGTAAGAGATTCCTATGGCTATCCAGTAAAAACAAAACAGGTTCGGACTGCTAAGCAAACAAACAAACAGGAAAAAAAAAAAAAAAGACTTTGCCCACCATGAATAAAACACTTGGATATCCCCATAGCACCACGGGCATACGCAAGTGCACGCGCGTGTGTGGGTGTGCGTGTGTCCTTCCTGCCAAAGAAGGTGGACTTCCTAAAGAAGAAAAATAAAACCGCCCCTAAAAACTGCCTCCCTAACCTGACGGATCCCACTTTGTAAAAAACGGACTCTTCCGAGAGCAGTCTTAGGTTGATAGCAATATTGAGAAGGATGTACAGATTTCTCATATACCCTATGGATACCCATACCCACGCCCCGCCCCCAAACTGAAACCCCCACCAGCATAGCACACATGTCACAAACACATCCTCACCACCCGAAGCCCATGGTTTTCACCGGGGCTCATTCTGGGCGGGGGGGGGGGGGGTGCATTTTGTGGGTTTGGACACACGTACCACGACACGGATCTACCATTAGAGCATCGTATAGACGTTGCCCCGCCCCAGGATTTCGCTTTTTCCAAAGTGACTTATCTTCACTCATCTTGTCTAAAACCCATTTCCTCTCTCTCCTGCAAACCAGCTCCCCTCCGCCAGCAGAGGGTCTGTCATCTCCCCAGTCACCCAGGCTTGAAATGTTGGGGTGAAATACAGTCCCCCTTGGCCCCGAGAGGCTGTCCGGGACAATGGATCCCTCAGGCATGGAACGGACACCACTTACGGGCCGAACACTTGGTTGAAAGCTGCCCACTACGACTGTATTCCATATGCCCCAGGTTTTCCATAGAAACATAGAGACATGGAAGATCGTTCTTGAAAACCCACTGCACTGTATACTTCAAAATGGTTAAAAAGAGGGCGCCCGGGTGACTCGGTCTGTGGAATGATCCAACTTGATTTTGGCTCAGGTCATGATCTCAGGGTTGTGAGATCGAGCCCCACAGTGGACTCCCCTATCAGCAAGGAATCTGGTTCTCTCTCTCACTCACTCTCCCTCCCCACTCCTTCCCCCTCTAAGATAAATAAATCTCTAAAAATACATATTAAAAAAATGAAGATCTTATTAAAAAATAATAATAAAAAAATTTAAAAAATGAAGATCTGAATAGAGCTACCCATGACCCAGCAATCGCACTGCTGGGTATTTACCCTAAAGATACAAATGTAGTGACCTAAGGGGCACGTGCACCCGAATGTTTATAGCAGCGATGTCCACAGCAGCCAAACTATGGAAAGAACCTAGATGTCCATCAACAGACGAATGGATAAAGAAGATGTGGTATATATACACAATAGAATACTATGCAGCCATCGAAAGAAATGAAATCTTGCCATTTGCGATGACATGGATGGAACTAGAGGCTATCATGCTTAGCGAAATAAGTCAATCAGAGAAAGATAATTATCATATGATCTCCCTGATATGAGGAATTTGAGAAACAAGACAGAGGATCCTAGGGGAAGGGAGGGAAAAATGAAGCAAGATGAAACCAGAGGAGACAAACCATAAGAGACTCTTAATCTCAGGAAACAAACTGAGAGTTGCTGGGGGGTACTGGGTAGAGGGAAGGGAGAGGGCGGTTGGGTTATGGACATTGGGGAGGGTATGTGCTATGGTGAACGCTGTGAATTGTGTAAGACTGATGACTCACAGACCTGTACCCCTGAAACAAGTAATACATTATATGTTGATTTAAAATATAACAATAAAAAAATGAAGATCTGATACAGACTGTGATGTGGGTGAACCTTGAAAACATTTCACTAAGTGAAAGAACCCAGACACAGAAGTTGACATGTTGATGGCGGTATCGATGGCGATAAGGGATTCCACTTCTGGGCAGCACCTCCCCAGCAAATTCCCAGAGGCAGGAAGTGAACTAGAGATCCAGGGGGCCAGCAGGGAGGAGGAAGAGGGTGTTACTGTGTGGTGGGTATAGTGCTTCTGTTTGGGATGATAAACAAGCAGCTGGAGATGGTAGCTATAATCACATATGTAATTTGTACGTATGTACACATTTACAGAACTTCGTAAATGCATTTGTTGCCACGGAATTATACACTGAAAATGGTTAATGAAATAGGAGGGGCGCCTGGGTGGCTCAGTGGGTTGTGTCTGACTCTTGATCTCAGCTCAGGTCTTGATCTCCGGGTCCTAAGTTCAAACCCCACATTGGGCTTCACGCTGGGCACAAAGTCTGCTTAAATAATTAAGCAAATAACTAATTAATTAATTAGTAAACTTTGTGATATATATTTTACCATAATTTTTAAAAAGGACTAAGGGTATCTGGGTGGCTCAGTTTAAGCATCTACCTTTGGCTCAGGTCATGCTCTTGGGGTCCTGGGATCGAGCCCCATCCTACTGCCCTAATCCATGGTGTTAGAACTCAGCAAGATCTTTGGAAAAGTGACCGGAAGGGAGAATGGGGCAAGGTTAGAGGGTTTGTGTTTCATTTCTTGATCTGGTGCTGAGTACACACACGTTTTGTTTGTGAAAATTCATTGTTCTGGAAACTTCTTTTCACACTTTAATTGATGGCTTCCTGAGTGCACGTAAAATTTCCGTTTTTACCAAAAATCTTTGATAAAAGCCAGTTTTTTTTTCTATTCTTGAAAACAATGGACATTACCTATTTTTTTTTTAAATTATTTTTTAGAGAGTGCAGCAGGGGGAGGCGCAGAAGGAGAAAGAGAATCTTAACCAGCCTCCATGTCCAGTGTGGAGTCTGACAAAGGCTTCATCTCACGACCCTGAGATCGTGACCTGACCTGAAATCAAGAGTCGGACGCTCTACTGACTGAGCCACCCAGGGTCCCATCAATTTTTTTTTAATGCTAAGAACAAAGCAACCAAATCAATCAGCAGCAGCAGAACACCATTTGCTTTGTGAAAACTGGCCCTGTGGGGGAAAAAAACGAGTGGCTGCTGGTATTTTGAGGGACACGAGCAGGCAAAGACACCACCAAAATGGCAGGTCTGAGCCAAAGAGACATTCTGGATGATTTAAGAATCCATAGGCAAGGCTGCCTCCGTGACTCAGTCAGTTAAGCATCTGCCTTTGGCTCAGGTCATGATCTCAGGGTCCTGGGATGGAGCCCCACATGGGGCTCCCTGCTCTGTGGGGAGTCCGTCCCTCCCCTACCCCCACTTGTGTGCTCTCTCACTCACTCTCACTCTCTCTCATAAATAAAATCTTTAAAAAGGGAAAAAAAATTCAGAGGCAGCTCAGAGTCACCCCATGGAATACCCCATCCTGTGATCTACGTGAAACATAAAAAAATAAAAAGTTTTGAGAAACTCTTGTCAGCAAGCACTCCAGCCAGTTCGAAACTGCTTCTCAAGCCTGAGAGAAGACTCCAGTGAAACAAAGTGGCCATTTACGCAGGGTGGGAGGGTCTGTGCAGGAGAATCAGCAGGAAGGAGACAGGAAAGAAAGGGCAGGCACTTCCACTACTGAGAACACAAGGGAGCTCTGGGGAAATCCTGATGAAAGGCAATCTGTGACCACCAAGTCTAGCTCATAGCTCTGCCTTGACTGAACCCAGAGCAAACACCACCACCACACCACCTACCGTTCACCTTTAACCTGAGCCATGGACCCAGGCACTGCAAGGCCCAGTGCCCAGTATAAAGCTGCCCGGGGCAGGCCTGGGGGCCCCATCCAGGCCTCAGGTATCCACTCCAGTGTTCATTTGTCTACAAGGCTCTTGACTCGGTTTGGCTTTGCTCACTCCTGGGGCTGGCGGGTTCCCCAGCTTTGACCCTCATTCCTACCAAAGACACATCCCCCTGTCCCCATCCCATGGGTCTACTTGCTCCATGGAATACTGACACTCTTTTTTTAACCACTGCTATTCCCCCCATGGGGCACTTCCTTCAACCACAATGGCGCCATGCTCCTACGTCACCCTCCAGAGTCCTGACTTGTTGATTCTGAGAATCCTCAGAAATCTCCTCTCTGTTGGAAAGCTGGGGTCTGTGGCTTCCCCTTGGCCCTCCCCAGTATCACTGTGACTTCTCTGTTGCCCAAAGACACTCACCCATAAGGCCATCTGGCACGGGCCCAGCACATCGATGATGACCAAGCCTTGGAGGCCAAGGCCGCTCCCCTCCACTGGGTCCCCCTGCAGGCCAGTACTGGTGTTGGTGGAAAACTGATAGATGTATCTGGTGCCCACAGGGAGGTGGGGATCACCTGACCCTGGAGAGCAGACAGAGGGCACTGGGTCACCTTGACAACCCATCACCGTTGGGTACCCAACTGCATGGAGACTATCTGGACATGCTTGTTCCCACCTCCCTCCCTCCATCTGGGCCCTGAACTGCCTTCCCCGAGTACAGGAGAAGGCTGGGGGGTTGTACCCTCCTATGAAGGCAAAAAGAAAATTAAAATATTAACAGTTAGTGCTTAATAAATGGTAACCCGTGTTCTCAAGTACTAAGAGCTCCTTCGAAGAGCTTTAAATGTCAACTTTGGCCTCTTCCCACTTGATGGGGGACCCAGTTGCCATACCCAAAACCACCTCTAGGCTTTGCAAAACATCCCTGAAGGGAACAATCGTGCTGGTTCAGAACCACTGATCTACACCCACGTGAACTCATTCAGGCCTCTTAACCAACTCTGGGATGGGTGCTCTCATTTCCCCCATTTTACACAGGTAGAAACCAGAGAGGTTAACTAACTCATGCAAGGTCACACAGCTGGGACGCCAACCTTGGGAGTCCGACTCCTCGCCTACTGCCTTGAGGACTGGAGTGTGTGCAAGGAGAGCATTGCCCTAACCCCTTACCAGGAGCAGAACCATCAAGCTGACCAGCCTCAGGGGCACTGAGGTTGCGGAAATGGCTGATTTAGGGAGCAGACAGCTCTGTACTTCTCTAACCCTCTATTTAGGCCAGGGGACCAATTGCAAAACCTGAGTGTGATACCCCACCCTTCTCTGGGGCTTGCAGGTGAATTACCGTGTTCCTGAGCTCAGACAGAGACACACCTTCCACTCCCAGGATGCTCTTCTCCCTCCAAAGAATTTGCCTGAGGTTCTCTCATGTGTTCCACCCCAAAATGCAAATAGAATCACCCAGTACAGATGTTTATTGCACTGGAGGACCACAGGGGCATGAGGCCAAAGCCCGAGGCGTGTTACCTTGGGTGTGTTGTTTGCTTCCCTAACTGCTGATGACCAGATGGCCTTTCCAGAACCGGCCTCGCTCCGCCCACCCCGCCTCTCCTGGGAATGGGGACATGCCCTCTGAGGCTGTCCCTAATCACACCTGGCAGGCGGTCAGCTTTGTTCCTACCACCACCCCCGCCCCATCCCGTCTCCTGGTCACCAGAGGTGTGATAAGGTCTCCCCGGAGAGCTGCTTACCTGGGCACGACATCATGCAGGAGGCCGCCGGTCTCACCAGCGAGTCTGAAATCACAGATCAGGTGGAAGGAGGGCAAGGCCAGAAGGAGGACAACCCACTGACCTACTTGTGAATGGGACACTGAAGGGTTCAAGGGGATAAGAGGCAACGCCGGCTTCCCGTAGGGCTGGGAGTGACCTCCCCACTCCTTACCCAACCTGCTCTTCCCCATCTTGCTCACCGGCACCACCGTCCCGACGGCTTAAGCTGGTGAGGCAGGAGTCATCTGGGCTTCTACTCCCTTCCCTTACTGCCAGCCCTGTGCCAGCGCATCAGCACGATCTGCCAATTCCGTCACCAAATCCAAGTCTCCCTCCCTCCCACCCTCCATCCCTCCATATCCATCCCTCCCTCCCTCCCTCTCTCCATCACTCCTCTGTGAGTCTCCATCTCTCCGGCCATCACTCCAGGCAACGCCATGCCTTCTCTTGCCCAGATGATAGCAGCAGCCTCCTAACAAGTCCCCATGTCCCCAGTTCATCGTCCACAGCTAGAGTCATCTTAAAGACCTAATCCTGATCGCAACACTCCTGGTGTAACAGCTCCTAAGCCTCCTGCCCACCACGTGCACTGGCAAGACGTCCTTAGCGCAAGCGCCGGCCTCGCTCTGCCCGCTGGCCACATCTCACCCCGCCCTCAGCGTCCAGCCACACTGGCTCTCCTTCAACTCAAGGCCTCCGCCCATCCTATTCCCTCCTGCCCAAACACTCTTCCTCCTGCTTGTCACACCCCAGGCTCCTTCGGGTCTCGCCCCAGCAGGGCCATCCCAGACCACGATCCAACACAGCCAAACCAAGAGGCTGCAGCAGTGAATGGTGGGGTCTAGCGCTGCTGCCTGGAGGGTCTCAGGACATCTCCTCCCGGCCGCCCACCACCGCCTTCTCAGCGGCAGAAGACGATCACAGCAGGAACAGCATGGGCTCCCGACCTCCTTAGCCCCCACATTGGGCCACTGAGGTCCCTCTGCAGGCAATCTCCCAGCCCCCCTCCCCAGGATCCCTCCCTCCACCCATCCCAACATGAGGCCTCCCCATTTCCACCTGCTGTCACCCTTGTGTGTCCTCCCTTCCAGCCACTCCTCTGGGTCTTTCCAGGCTACCATCTGCCCTCCTGGGACAGCCTCAGCTCCGAGGATCCTTCTATCCACAGCCGTTTTCATACAATGGCTTTTCAATAACATCATTTCTATCCTCAAAACCACCCCACTGTCCCCCAACTGCTAATCATGACCCACGCCAGCCTGCTCAATCCCTTGACAGACAAAGCACGTCCATCAGGCCTGGGAAAGTGCATTTTACACCATTTCGTACAGACCCTTTCTAATGAAATAAACACAGTAGGATGTTCCCACCTCCGAAATGTTGTGTGTCGTCTAACAAGATGCTCTTTGCATTCAAGAAGATCATTTACTGATGGATAAAGCTACATTTCAAAAACATTTAACTCAGTGCATTTCTCTCCCAGTTGTCCTCCAGCTCTGTGACATGTACTCTGGGCACCAAATTAAACCTGTTTACATATAATCGTTAATTTACGCATAATGCTTAAACTCCAAATCGTGCACAGATCCAGCATTCTGCTTGCTTGCTCATCCAACAATCTCTACACCTGCTTTACACCCCAGCTAAGGCTGAAAAGCAGCCGAGCCCTCGAACCCCCCATCCACCATGAGCTCCAGAAACCAGGTGTGTTGCAAAGAGCATTAGTACCCAAACTGTGTCCTGCTCCCTTTCACTTCCCATGCACTTAAAAAAACATTTAAATTAAAAAAAAAAAAAAAGTTTCAAAACGATTCAATAATCCTATGCAAGAGATCAACAAAGGAGGGGGAAACACAGAATCTTGGGAGGTAATAAATCTTCCCATCGGATCCTACTCATTTCTAGGGGGTGAGTTGAAAGAGACTGAAACTCTTATCTCTACAGCCTGGAAATGAGATCAGGTCTCATTCCAGCTTTCTCAGATGTCAGTTCTGGTCTCTGTTCATTCATTTATCCTGCACAGATTTACAGAAGAGCTACTGTACATTGGGCAGGTAAGTGCTAAAAATATAGCAAAAACAAAACCACAAAAACAACAAAAAATATAAAACAAAGCAAAACAGGGAAACAGCTATAATCTGACCTGCACCATCCAGCTCAACAGGCAGACACCAGCGACGCGTGGCTATCAGGCATCTGAAACGTGACTGGTGCTATGGGGGAACTTTTCATTCTGTAATTTGTTAATTTAATTTTTTTGTTATTAATTTTAAGTAAAAACTGATCCTAAAGTCAGCCACTGGAAAACTTAACTACATTTAGAACAACTTAGGATATGAAACTCCTTTTTCAACTCTAAATCCTAGGAAATCAAAATATATATCAAGTACTTGCAATGAAAATTTAACATCCGAACCAGAATGCGGGGGTGGGGGGGGCACCTGCCTGGCTCACTGGGCAGAGGGCGTGACTCCTGCTTTTGGGGGTTTTAAGTTCAAGCCCCACGTTGGATGTAGAGATGACTTAGAAATAAAATCTTAAAAAAAAATGAAATAAGCTCTCAGTATAAAATATACCCCAGATTTCAGAGAATGGAAATTTTGTCTCATTAATACTTTTTTTTTACATTGATTACATTTTATAATGAGACTTTGGCCCAGTAAAATATATTCTTAAAATTAATGTCACCCGTTCCTTTTTAACATCTTTAAAACATGGTTGCTAGAAACTTTCAAAGTACACATTGGCTCCCATGATATTTTATTGGATAGTGCTGCCCTGGGCCCTTCTGCAGGAAGCAGACAGCAGATAAAAGCTCATTCCACCCAGTCACCCGGCATCGAGAGCTACTTAGTATCTTCAAGCTCACTACCCCTCTCACTACCCCTCTACCCCAGTGGACTGCGAAGCATCCCTGGAGCCCAAGGTCAGCATTTCCTCGCTCGGGATTGCAGATCTGGTCTCAGGTTTCAGAGGATGTTGGTGCAAGACAGGAGCAAAACATGCAGGACCACTTGGAAGCTGGCTCTCCTTTTCCCCATCAGAGGCCAAACCAAGGGAGGCAGAGGAACAGGTGACCAGGTATCTAGCTGCAAAATACACCGTCCCAGGTGGACCAGCTGCTGTCCCAGCCCCACCCCAGCTTTACTTACTCCCGGAAGTCACTGCCACCAGCGCCCAGAGCAGGACCAGACCGAGGGGCCCCATGGGCACCAGCACCGCCACCAGCCCAAGGGAGCCCTACACCATCAGCCTCTCTCGGAGGGCATGGAGCTTTCCCAAAGGGGCGGGCTCAGCCTGGATCAACGCTCCCATCCCAGGGCCGGTGGGGAGGCAGGGAGGGGGCTTCCTGAGCAGAGACCCAGCCAATCAGAAGCCTCTGATAAAGTTCTCAGCGCTCTCCCGGGGAAAGGCGGGGGAGAGGTGGCTTTTGACCACCGAGGGGGAAAATCCCTTTTCTGGATAGGGGAAAGGGAAGAAAGGTTTGCCTCTTCAAGCCTTGTAAATGGAGCTCTCAGGCCAGAAGGCAAACAAGGCCATGGTCCCATTTCTTTCTTTCTTTTTAAAATGCTAATTAAATTTACCATTTTAACCATTTTTAATGGCAATTTGATGGCACTGAGTGAATTCGAGAGAACAATGTCGAGAGAACCATCATCGCTGTCAGGTCTGGCCAGTCTGTCCCACTGCTCCAGGCAGGCAAAGCCAGGCCTTAGGCATGGCTGTCCAAACAGGGGATAGCAGCAGGGTCTCTCAGAGCTCAGGCCCAAGGCCTCCCTCCCTGACACATCAGGAGCAGTTAAGGGAGGGGGAGGGGCGCCTGGGTGGCTCAGTCGGTTAAGCATCTGCCTTTGGCTTGGGTCATAATCCCGGGGTCCTGAGATCAAGTCCCATGTCGGGGAGTCTGCTTCTCCCTTTCCCTCTGCTGGCCCTCATGCTTGTGCTCTCTCTCTGCTAAATAAAATCTTAAAAAAAAAAAAAAAAATTGGGGCACCTGGGTGGCTCAGTGGGTTAAAGCCTCTGCTTTCAGCTCGGGTCATGATCCCAGGGTCCTGGGATCGAGCCCCGCATCGGGCTCTCTGCTCCACAGGGAATCTGCTTCCCTTCCTCTCTCTCTGCCTACTTCTCTGCCTACTTGTGATCTCTGTCTGTCAAATAAATAAATAAAATCTTAAAAAAAAAAATAGATGGGAGAGGTCTGCTCACCTGTGCTCCGTGTCCTTTCCCAGACCCCACCTCCTCTTTCTAAGCTTATAGTGGCCTCCACACACACTTCTGGTTTTAGGCTCCAGGCAGCCTGAGCCGCTACCTCCTTCAGGGCTGCGGGCCCAGCACCTCCTCACCGGCACCTACCCCCTGCAATAAATCTGCTTTTTATAAACCACTTTATTACCATACAATACAGATCCCACAATTCTCCCACTGAAAGTGCACAACTCAATGGTTTTTGGCCCATCCAGAGCTGGGCAACAATCACCACAATGGTTTTAGAACATTTTCTTCACCGCGAAAGAAAACCCCATCACCAGGAGAATCCTTAGTCCCTGTCACCCCAGTTCCTGGTCACCACTGATCTGCATTCAGTCTCTATGGATTTGCCAACTGTGGACATTTCACAGGAATGGGATCATTCTCTAGGTGGCCTCTAGCGACTGGTCTCCTGCACCGGGAGTCATATTTCCCAGGCTCATGCACATTGTAGCAGGCTGACCGTGCTTCCTTCCTTTTCATGGCTGTGTACTATTCCACGGACAGAGAAACCACACTGTTTATTCACTCATCCCTTGATGGACAGTGAAATGACCATTCAATTTAACTTTCTTGGAGTTAAACTGAGACACAGTTGACAGGCTAACACATGATGTTGTCTAGAAACAATTCAAGTTTTTTTTTTAATTTTTTAATTTATTTGACAGAGAGAGGGAGATCACAAGTAGGCAGAGAGGCAGGCAGAGAGAGAAGGGGAAGCAGGCTCCCTACTGAGCAGAGATCCCAACGTGGGACTCGATCCCAGGACCCT